GAATATGGTCAAACAAGCCTACGCCAACTTCATTAAAATCTATTGAATTGCTTGTATTTAATCCGACTGAATGAATCTCCAAGGCGGAAGAAATCTGGAGAGAAAAATTCCTGGATCAAACACTAGTTAGCGAACCAGCGCAGGTACGTGTCTAGAGGACCCCCACCACTACCACTATTTACTTTTTGACGGGTTTCATTATTAGTATAGTTTAAATAAAGGAGTATTCCAAAATAGTCAATAGCGTGATGTGTTGTCATTTAGCTGTCATTTATAACTAGAACTAAGATGAGTGATCAGGAACTAGGGTTTTTTGTTATTCCGACCCAATTCAAAAATTGTCTACTGAAATATCCCACTCTGATCATATATTCCTGGCAGGTTTTCTAGCATACGTAAACTGGATTCATAAAATTCTTTCACATATTAATTGATCACTATATTTACAACAGAATAATAAGCCCATGTTGTGAGATTGTGACATGAAGTTTTTAAACTGAGAAACATCTGAAAGCTTTTTGAACACACGTCGGCAAAGGGAAATAACTATGATATTCAAGTTTATTTGGAAGCAGACCACCCAATATCCTCCAGTTCATCTTAACACTACTCTTTTTGTCCCCAAGAGCGGAGAGCGATCGAGAAAAAAAAAGTCCATTCATCACATTTCAAGACTAACATATGGAAACATTTCTATTTGAATCATGCGCTTACACGTAGGGGTCTTTAACAGTGGGAGGAAACCAGGATACACGGAGAAAACCCACGAGGTTGGATATCCGATCATACTCCTTGTCACATATACATGCAAGTTTGTGTGGGATCAAAACCACGCCACGTTAGACCATTCCACCAACCAACCCCAACACGCGGAAGGGCACCTGGCGAGAAATTACACCCATGTTAATCCAAGAAAAAAGTAAACAATATGTATTTGAATACACAATAATAGAAGGTGTGTATCTTTAGGAAGAAAATAATTAATTTATGTTTTTTCTCGGATATATATTATGTCATAAATCACAGCCTTAACAAGCCAACAGTGAGGCTGATGTCCCCGCAAAAATCCCAAAATAAATAGATGCAACATATTGATTAATTTATCTTTTTCAAAAGTATTGAGCAACCAAACTGATTATCTGCACTTAGAAGCATAAAGTCAAGGTTTTGAAGTACCTGGTAGTGAAACTATACACTAAATTTCATCACTCCCAATCTGTTAGTTTACAAAACTGTAAATTAATTAAAACTGTAAATTAATTTACAAAACTGTAAATTAATTTACAAAACTGTAAATTAGTTAACAAAGTTAAAAATTAATAAACAAAAATATAAATCAATTAACAAAATTGTAAATTAATTTACAAAAATAAAAATTATTAACAAAATTGATTAATAAAAATAAAAATAGATTAACAACATTAAAAATTTACGAAATTAAAAATCAATTTACGAAATTAAGAATTAATTAACATAAATAAGAATTAATTTACAAAATTAAAAATTAATTTACAAAATTAAAAATTAATTTACAAAATTAAAAATTAATTTACAAAATTAAAAGTTAATTTACAAAATTAAAAATTAATTTAAAAAAATTAAAAATTAATTTAAAAAAATTAAAAATTAATTTAAAAAAATTAAAAATAAGTTTTGAAAAAATAAAAAATTAATTTACAAAATTAAAAATTAATTTACAAAATTAAAAATTAATTTACAAAATTAAAAATTAATTTACAAAATTAAAAATTAATTTACAAAATTAAAAATTAATTTACAAAATTAAAAATTAATTTTGAATATAGTGTTCAAGAAAACCTATTGATGGTATAGTTCTCTGTTAATGAAAATAGAGTAAAGTTTCATAATCTAAAAGTACTTTAAAACAACGTGTGCAGCCTAATACATTAGAAAGACTATAATAATTATTATATGGTACTTCAACATTTGTCTGAAAAGTGCAATCTATTGATTAATATTAAGATACTGTTATCTTCTCCAATGAAAGTTTAATGATAGAATTGTTTAAGACATCTGCCATTCTCCGGATGCCCTGCTTGACTGCAATTCCTGGCCTAACTGACACATAACACATTGATAACAACAGGCCAAATGACAGAAATCGCTCATAATGTTGCCCTGAAAAAAGTCATGAAATAACCATTTAATACAAAAGAATCAATATGATCGGTAAAAAAACGCCCTGGAACCAAGTCGTCGATATTATTTTAGCGGGATATAAGTGAGGGTTAATGGCTGCTTCCACCGAAGGTGATATCTCAGACAAATTAGAAACTTGCTAGAAGGACCCGTCATGGTTTAAAGGATAGGAATTAGGAGGACTAAAAAAAATCGTAGGCCCATGTCTAATGGAAACTTATCAGAAGTATTCTCGATCCAATCTAACACTCACCCTGGGAATACTTTCAATTCCGTTCAGTATTTACAAAAATATGTTGAATTGAAATTTCATTGACCTAAGCTGCTCGCTATGTAATAAGCCTGTCCCGATTTTGTTGTTCGCGAACATCAAATTAAGGCCTGTTTTAAATCCAATTTAATCCAAACGGGAGATTATCTAGCGTTGGTATTTTGATTTTGTGTTTTAATTAAACTTTAAAGATGCATTATGTAAGATTTCGATAAGGAGCTGACACTTCTCGCTATAATAATTTAAACAAAATATAATGAAAAGGGAATACAAAGAAAATTTCAGTCAAATTAGCTCATTCTGAGCGAAGTTATGGCCGTTTGAAGAATAATATAGTGTCAATTGAAATTCTTACCGTTGCTACGATAATAAACAATGTCTCGATTATCCATAATTAAATTAATTTATTAATGATGTAATATGTAAGATTTAGATAAAGAACAGATAATACAAAACGACAATATACGTCCACATAAAAATATGGGCGTATAAAAATGATCTCCATTCCGCTGAACACTCGACGACCATTCTGCATTTTACGATATAAACGGAATATGGTCAAACAAGCCTACGCCAACTTCATTAAAATCTATTGAATTGCTTGTATTTAATCCGACTGAATGAATCTCCAAGGCGGAAGAAATCTGGAGAGAAAAATTCCTGGATCAAACACTAGTTAGCGAACCAGCGCAGGTACGTGTCTAGAGGACCCCCACCACTACCACTATTTACTTTTTGACGGGTTTCATTATTAGTATAGTTTAAATAAAGGAGTATTCCAAAATAGTCAATAGCGTGATGTGTTGTCATTTAGCTGTCATTTATAACTAGAACTAAGATGAGTGATCAGGAACTAGGGTTTTTTGTTATTCCGACCCAATTCAAAAATTGTCTACTGAAATATCCCACTCTGATCATATATTCCTGGCAGGTTTTCTAGCATACGTAAACTGGATTCATAAAATTCTTTCACATATTAATTGATCACTATATTTACAACAGAATAATAAGCCCATGTTGTGAGATTGTGACATGAAGTTTTTAAACTGAGAAACATCTGAAAGCTTTTTGAACACACGTCGGCAAAGGGAAATAACTATGATATTCAAGTTTATTTGGAAGCAGACCACCCAATATCCTCCAGTTCATCTTAACACTACTCTTTTTGTCCCCAAGAGCGGAGAGCGATCGAGAAAAAAAAAGTCCATTCATCACATTTCAAGACTAACATATGGAAACATTTCTATTTGAATCATGCGCTTACACGTAGGGGTCTTTAACAGTGGGAGGAAACCAGGATACACGGAGAAAACCCACGAGGTTGGATATCCGATCATACTCCTTGTCACATATACATGCAAGTTTGTGTGGGATCAAAACCACGCCACGTTAGACCATTCCACCAACCAACCCCAACACGCGGAAGGGCACCTGGCGAGAAATTACACCCATGTTAATCCAAGAAAAAAGTAAACAATATGTATTTGAATACACAATAATAGAAGGTGTGTATCTTTAGGAAGAAAATAATTAATTTATGTTTTTTCTCGGATATATATTATGTCATAAATCACAGCCTTAACAAGCCAACAGTGAGGCTGATGTCCCCGCAAAAATCCCAAAATAAATAGATGCAACATATTGATTAATTTATCTTTTTCAAAAGTATTGAGCAACCAAACTGATTATCTGCACTTAGAAGCATAAAGTCAAGGTTTTGAAGTACCTGGTAGTGAAACTATACACTAAATTTCATCACTCCCAATCTGTTAGTTTACAAAACTGTAAATTAATTAAAACTGTAAATTAATTTACAAAACTGTAAATTAATTTACAAAACTGTAAATTAGTTAACAAAGTTAAAAATTAATAAACAAAAATATAAATCAATTAACAAAATTGTAAATTAATTTACAAAAATAAAAATTATTAACAAAATTGATTAATAAAAATAAAAATAGATTAACAACATTAAAAATTTACGAAATTAAAAATCAATTTACGAAATTAAGAATTAATTAACATAAATAAGAATTAATTTACAAAATTAAAAATTAATTTACAAAATTAAAAATTAATTTACAAAATTAAAAATTAATTTACAAAATTAAAAGTTAATTTACAAAATTAAAAATTAATTTAAAAAAATTAAAAATTAATTTAAAAAAATTAAAAATTAATTTAAAAAAATTAAAAATAAGTTTTGAAAAAATAAAAAATTAATTTACAAAATTAAAAATTAATTTACAAAATTAAAAATTAATTTACAAAATTAAAAATTAATTTACAAAATTAAAAATTAATTTACAAAATTAAAAATTAATTTACAAAATTAAAAATTAATTTACAAAATTAAAAATTAATTTTGAATATAGTGTTCAAGAAAACCTATTGATGGTATAGTTCTCTGTTAATGAAAATAGAGTAAAGTTTCATAATCTAAAAGTACTTTAAAACAACGTGTGCAGCCTAATACATTAGAAAGACTATAATAATTATTATATGGTACTTCAACATTTGTCTGAAAAGTGCAATCTATTGATTAATATTAAGATACTGTTATCTTCTCCAATGAAAGTTTAATGATAGAATTGTTTAAGACATCTGCCATTCTCCGGATGCCCTGCTTGACTGCAATTCCTGGCCTAACTGACACATAACACATTGATAACAACAGGCCAAATGACAGAAATCGCTCATAATGTTGCCCTGAAAAAAGTCATGAAATAACCATTTAATACAAAAGAATCAATATGATCGGTAAAAAAACGCCCTGGAACCAAGTCGTCGATATTATTTTAGCGGGATATAAGTGAGGGTTAATGGCTGCTTCCACCGAAGGTGATATCTCAGACAAATTAGAAACTTGCTAGAAGGACCCGTCATGGTTTAAAGGATAGGAATTAGGAGGACTAAAAAAAATCGTAGGCCCATGTCTAATGGAAACTTATCAGAAGTATTCTCGATCCAATCTAACACTCACCCTGGGAATACTTTCAATTCCGTTCAGTATTTACAAAAATATGTTGAATTGAAATTTCATTGACCTAAGCTGCTCGCTATGTAATAAGCCTGTCCCGATTTTGTTGTTCGCGAACATCAAATTAAGGCCTGTTTTAAATCCAATTTAATCCAAACGGGAGATTATCTAGCGTTGGTATTTTGATTTTGTGTTTTAATTAAACTTTAAAGATGCATTATGTAAGATTTCGATAAGGAGCTGACACTTCTCGCTATAATAATTTAAACAAAATATAATGAAAAGGGAATACAAAGAAAATTTCAGTCAAATTAGCTCATTCTGAGCGAAGTTATGGCCGTTTGAAGAATAATATAGTGTCAATTGAAATTCTTACCGTTGCTACGATAATAAACAATGTCTCGATTATCCATAATTAAATTAATTTATTAATGATGTAATATGTAAGATTTAGATAAAGAACAGATAATACAAAATGGCTATATCTAAAAATTAATTTATTTTGAACAAAATATCACTGTTTGAAGTGTTGACAAGATTTTTGATTGTCGTAACAGCGGTACTTTTTATGCGAGACGTAGTCTCGATTCGCCATTTTTCGTCTTTTAATCCGTTTGCATCTCCGCCATCCAGCATCTAAACACTGAATCCGCTAAATAGACAGTAGGCTAGTGAAGTAAGGGGGGTTTACGATAAGACGGGCCTGGCACCTAAAAACAAAACCACAAAGATCCACTACCAAACTATATGTTTTTTATTATATAAAGCGAAGAACTTCCCAATTCCCACTAATACCAATTCATGGCCAAAGGCTTTAAATAGAAAGACTGCAAAATCGTATTCTAAAAACACAGGAAAAAGCTTCGGCTCTCCTAGGTCTTGTCTTTAATATCAGCTATGTGGAAGCAGACGTTAAAGAACCAATACTACAATACTGTCCGTGTAAAATTTCCCTCATAGCACACCGTATGGCGTATTCATTAGCCCAGTTGGAGCAGAGCAGTTAGACGTTATAAACCCCATGGCTTTTCATATTAGCGGGATTAAGTTGTAAGAAAATTGATATTTTAGAGAAAAATGCAAATGATGTAGTAGGACTTTAATTAAAAACGGAACGAAAATAACATTTGGTTACACAGTCTTGCATAATGTGATAAAGTATATTTACCTCTATTCCAAGACGTCCTCTGACGTAAGATCGGAGCGGTAAAAGATAACCAGGGCAGCAGAAAGCCGTACAACAAGATTCATCAGCTTGGGTCATCAGATAACAGCCGTAACATTGTCCACAAAATGTGACCATACAGCCTAAAATAAGACGTAGCCTACTTTTTAATGTTGGAATTATTAACAAACATCGAACCTTCAGCTCCACCCCACCCGCCTTAATGTAGTTACACTTGGTGGCGGGGTGGAAGAGTGTAAGCTATATCCAAAAGGTCTCGTTCATCAAACACCTGCAGTATTGTTTTAGACAATCTTACTTTCCTTGAACTATATATGGATGAATTTTAACATATGGCGAGAGATTTATTGTTCACTCGATTCAAACTAGGTCATTTTGGGACTACATGGAAGTGTCCTGGGTGGAGACAACGTCAAGTTTGGGGTGAGGTCTGGGGAAATTATCAAATCGGAAGCTCTGAGACACCTGGACCAACACATTGTTCAGTTTTTCTATTTTAAAAACACGGCAGTCGGTTCAGTGGCAAACCATATATCGTTTAGACCATTTGACTAAATGACATCCATTATGATCTAAAGCAGTGGTTCTCAACCAGTGTGCCGCGGCACACAGGTGTGCCGCGAGATCTTCCTAAGTGTGCCGCGAAATTTTGCACGGCTCACTAAGAAAATGCGAAAAACCACGTGATCCTAATTGAGTATTCACTGGAGTTCATGGCTGTGTTTTTCTTTATTTAGTTTGAGTCATTTTGTAAGTCTATGACTAGTTTGTGTTTACGGTTGTATTCCGTCTGACTTATCATTTTATTTTGCAAAATTCAATTTTTCTCACATATATTTAGCCAGGTGTGCCGCTATTTTATCATGTGTCTCAAACTGTGCCGTTGGCAAAAAAAGGTTGAGAACCGACATATTTTTACAAGAAGTAGACAGGGGTACAAGAGTTGCGTGGCGCATCTGAATTCGTGTGTGAACAAATTGACGCTTGGGATGTACGCTCGTAAAGTAAATGGGGTTCACCACTGATCTAAAGCATATACGCTTTAACCACTTGATCTGATGTGTACATTTGTTGTTTATGATGCCTGTATACTGTGACTTGTCCGTAGACTTGTCTTGTATATTTGTTTGTGTGTGCCCCCCCCCCCCTTTGCATTTACCATTGACACAACTGACCAACGTTTAATGAATTAAATGGGCCACTGACACAACTCACCAACGGATAAGAAAGAAATGGGCTACTGACATACATGTAGCTATAGTTTGATGGTGCATTTAAATAAAATAAATATTAATCTTACAGATAGGTATATCATTACAGCAGCCACATAATCCATTTTTCCATGATCTCTTGCCCTTTACTTGTACCCCTGGTTGTTGAATAACTACAGTTGTATTATGCGTGGGTTGTTGTTGAAAACCATACTGTTGTTGACCATAACCTTGTTGTTGTTGTTGGTCATAACCTTGTTGTTGACCATAACCTTGTTGTTGTTGACCATAACCTTGTGGTTGTTGCTGATTTGCTCGACTTTGCTGTTGAAAACAATGAAAGTGAAAGGGTAAAGACAAGAGTCACATACAGTTCTAGAAACCCGGGTTATCTGCATCTAACACAACGGCCACCACCAGGCGTTTGTCCAGAGGGAGTGTCCGGACCATCCCATGCTCGAAATAACGTCGAACAAACAAACGTGCGAAGCACATTGCCGCCGTTCTGGTCTCACTCCACTCTAATCATATACATGTATGTGCACCTAAATGAGCAGAAATATCTCAAAGCTTCTGATTTTAACTATTCTCGTTTACTCTACTTTGAAACCCCCGCTGCTCAAATTCCCGAATATGCCCCTGGTTACTGTTTTCAATCCACGGGGCAAACCAGATTCTTGTAGGGGCTTGGGGTGGCTCGTTGTATCGTTATCGTCATAAATAGTCAAATAAATTTTGTCGCTGATAAAGTGCAGCGAAAAGGGCTTCGCGAGAAAGGGGCTTGACCCTGGAAGTTATCCCGAGGAATTGTTTGCTAGGTTATTTCAGTAGTAGCATGCGTTGATTCTGGAAAACCAGACATATTTCTCGAGGAATTAAGCAGATAACACTAATCCTTGTTCTAAGCATCTGGACATATTTGTAGACATGGTAACCGCTTCCCGATATTAAATTATTCTAAAGCGATTTTCAGAATTTTGGTTTCACAGAGAGTGGCTTTACCATCTGTCTGATTTGTATTATATTATTTCCAGAAAACCTTTCTTTTTTGTTAAATTAAATTACTTTTCCAATTTATATCCTAAAGTAAACACAATCATTAATTGTAAACATAATATCCAAACTACCGAAAATATTATATTTCCAGATACTTCAAGTGTCATTTTTTGACAATTTAAGAATAGCATTACACTTGCAACATAATGAACGAATTAATGTGTGTAATGATTCAAAGAGAAAAGATGGCAACGTCAGACTCACCGGTTGATGGTTATTGAGTAATTTGAGACTATGAATAATTTTAGCTGGTCATTACACGGGGTCTGATTTAATTATGGTCTTCGAACCTGCTTTTAAGGACACTTATTTTTTGGTGCTCGTCTGCAACGGGGGCTAAGTGATTAAGGCACTGGCTCGCTAATCATTAGGTCTCCGGTTCGATCTCGGTAAAGTTCTTCGAGATTTTCCTGCGTGGCTTCCCCTTGTCAGAAGTGCATGACGGGAGTGGGTGGGGGCTTACAAGGAACACCTTGATGGGATGGGACGAAAAACAATGGTCTCGTGTGCACGTTGACGTGTACTTAAAAGAACCATTGAATGTTGAAATTCGAAATAGGAGTTTGCCGTAGCACCGCTTTGTGGACAAAAAATCCAATCTATAGCATACTACATGTCTTCATTAGTCCAGTTATTACAGAACTCTATTCATTCCATTTCTTCGGAGCAGAACAGTAGGACGTTAAACCCCATTTCATTTCATTTCATTACATTTCTGTTGTATACAACCCATATACAATACCAACTTTCGTCACACTATTTATATTTGACAGTTACATAAAAAAATGTTCAATGATAGCCCATTTTAATATTGAACTCAATATCGTCTATATATAAAAGAGATTATACTTGGGGTAGTTGTTGGTTGCCTGTTGCTTGGTAACGGCTCTTTTGAAATTATTATGCTAAATAATCCTCACACATGTAGCCAATATATTATTAAAAACAGATTTTTACTCGACACTTCTCTTTCTTTCATACATTGTGTTCGGAGTTATATAGTACATATCATTTCATATTCAAATATAAGATATAGATGTCACGTGGTGTCAAATTATTTAGTCTTTTATGTCTGTTTTATGACGTATATTATTATGAAATGAACGGAGTTTAACGTCCTACTTTCTTTCACGAACTCGCATACATAGCCTCATGTATTCAAACTACTGGGAAAGCGACGCTGTGTTTGTTCTTTGGCTTCCATGTTACCACATGATGGATGTCCTACGCGAGGCAGGTTATAATAATAATAATAATAATAATAAAAATTATTTAATGAGGCAACTTATTTAGTTTGCAATATAAGTTCACCCTAAATATATAAACATGTAATATTAGGGAGGAATACAAATATTTGAAATGCAATAGTATTTTAAAGCAAGAAGTTTGGATTAATAAGTCCTTCCTAACCTAAAAGCATATGTACATGTACTATAAAGGAAGAATATAATAATTTATAAACAAAATAAGGTAAAATGCAATAACAAGTTAAAGGGAGAAGTGTTTGTCAATAACTATAACAAAAGTATGAGCACATAGCAATACAACATAGCAATAGTGAAGTAATCATTCATCACATTTGTTTTACCATCTTTAATACTATTTGGATAAGGGCCATTGTTGGTTTTATTCTGTATATCACGAAATATCCCCAGATGTTTTTAGATTGCTCTTTCGTATATATTCTTATATATTGTACATTTTCATCCGAAAAGGCTTTATTGAAATTTGCATATTTAAGTATTATAATAATTGTTCTAGTAATAATCGACTAAACAATATAATAATATACTATTCAAAAAAAGTAGGGGATATTTGATTTTGGGGGCATAATACTAAAATATGCAAATGACTACGAAAAAAGTCACTATAGAACCTAACAGAAGAAACATTTCCAGTTACATGTGACGCCCAAACGCACCAATAGCTACCGCATGGAATGCATGTGATGCTTGGGATCATCATGGGGGTCCAACCCAAGATTTGCACGACTCTGACTTTGAATGTTACAGTCATTGTGGCATTGAATTCCAGGGTGGAAACATCAGTTTAATTGTTTTAGTGACCAGAAAACAAATTTTGATATGCGTCGGCTTACCCAAAATGAAAGGTTACGTGCCCTTGGCATGCTACAGATCGGCACAACACAGGCGGTTGTGGCGCGGACGATGAATGTTTCTCAGTCTGTCATAAGCAGGCTATGGTCCAGATACCGTGATACACAATCTGTACAGGACAGACCACGCTCAGGTCGACCAAGGGCGACAACTCAAGCCCAGGATCGATTTATCCGTACCTTGGCCTTGAAAAATCGTGTCATCACAGCAAATCAGATCAGCGCTCGTCTTCAAACAGACACTGGTGTGAGAGTGAGTGGCCAGACGATTCGGAATCGACTGCATAGGGCTCACCTTCGCGCCCGACGTCCTCGCGTGATCCCTTGTTTGAGAGATCATCACATTCAGGCAAGACGTCGTTGGTGTAGGGATCGTCAACACTGGGATAATCGACGCTGGAGCAATGTGATGTTTTCAGATGAGTTAAAGTTCACTGTTGATTTTTTGGACAGACGTAGGAGGGTGTGGCGTCGTCGAAACGAGCGCTTCCAAGACGTTAACGTCATCAGACATGATCGATTTAGGGGTGGTTCTGTTATGGTGTGGGGAGGCATCACTGTTGCTGGAAGAACGGCTTTACATGTTGTTGCAGGGCGTGTTACAGGCCAGTACTACCGGGACAACATCTTGGCAGTCCATGTTGTGCCGTTCGCACGACGTCATGGCCGCCGTTTCATCTTCCAGGATGACAACGCAAGATGTCACAGGGCCAGGATCGTTACAGGTTACCTCCAACAACAGAACATCACCACATTACCTTGGCCAGCACTGAGTCCCGACCTCTCCCCCATCGAGCATGTCTGGGACATGCTTGGACAGAGGTTACGTCAACGTCAACAACGTCCTGCCAATGTCCAAGAACTTGCTGCTGCGTTGAAACAGGAATGGGACAATCTGGACCAAAATGAACTTAGACGTCTCATTAGGAGTATGCCACGTCGGATCAATGCTTGTTTGGCAAACAGAGGAGGATTTACCCGTTACTGACTTGGTTGTGATGCTGTGGTAACTTTGCTGTTTGACCCCGGGTATCATTTTACCCTTATAATGGTCAGTCTGTGCCTTACTTAGTCTAATGATCATTTGGAATAAATCGATGAATGTGAACTTCATTTCATTTTGTCATTTGTTTCTTCGTCAGTTTCATTAGGTGACTTTAATAACACTTAAAAATCAAATATCCCCTACTTTTTTTGAATAGTATAGTGAGGCAACTGGTAGGTTTGTTTATAAGTTAGTAACGTGTTTCTAAAGTTTTTGGAACTTAACAATCCAGAGATTTATAAACCCATGAAACAGTCAGTTCTTTAGTTACGTTTACTAAATTTTAAACTTATTAGAAACCTGACCAGTTGTTCTCATATTTACTTCCAGCCCCCATATAGTACAGAGACTGATTATTAATATCGGTTCGTTTGGCATTAGTTTGGCATGGGGGTTTTGGTTTTAATCCTCCGTATTCTATAGTGGTCCCACCTCTAGAAGTTTTTATGTAGTCTCTGAACTTTCAGGCTCTGCTTATATCCCAGTAAATTACCTGGGTTGATAGTATATTTTACTCTTTTTCGCTTTTACGGGGCATGGCAAGTGTCAAGGGCAGCATTCGGGTCATCAATTGACTCGACTTGTACGCATGAAATTACACGTTTGTTTTTGTTTTGTTTTTTTGTATATCTGTATTGAATTTCCAAGTTTTTGTTTTTTGGGGGTGATTTTTTTTTTGGCTAGCTAATGTCAATGACAAAAATAATAGTAAAATAGTCACTAATACCATATTGAGAAATTTTAATTTCTACAATATTATCCGGTGTATTTGTGTATAGAACTTTTAAAACAACGTGGCGGTGTAGTGATTATTTATGTATTCCCTACATATTGATACGTTTTCCATCGTTTTGAAATAATAGCTGAATAATCTATATCACCCAATAACACATTTTACAGTAGATATCGCTTGTGTGATAACTTTCAGAATCTACTTAAATTTGATTGGTCAATTAAAAAGGAACAACTTTTTTTTATCAAAAAGGAACTACTTTTTTTTATCAAAAAGGAACTACTTTTTTTCAAAAAGGAACTACCTTTTGGATACAGTAATATTGGATACAGTAAGTTCTCGATTACCATAAACATGTTTGCTTCGTAGTGGCTTTGACCTTAAAGGAAACACCGGGTCAATATATAGGACATTGCAACGGGTGACTTGCTGTCAAAAAATGATATCAAAAAATATTAACATTCGTCGTCGATGAAGTAAAAAAACCCCAAAAAACCCCCCAAAAAACTCGATAATGCCTCGGTTTTTGTTTTACTTTATCGACTTGAGTTGATATTTCTTGATATAAAAAAACTTGTAGGAGATTCTCTATATATTAAAATCCTCTACATAAATAGATTGTCCCGTGTATATGATATATAAACTGGTTTCAAAATCGTCAAATCGGATTGCACACGAAGATGGTGGTCTATATTCAAGACACAGTGAAATTGGGGTTCTGAATTGAGTTCAATCCAAATGGATTCGACAAGTTTTCTTGAATATTTTAGATTTGAATAGAGAACACCGTATGACTTCTCATTTGAGTAGTTTACACTGCTTTAAAACACAACTTAGCTCCTACGGTAACCTTCCCTCCCTTGGAGAAGACGGCGGACAGCTCCGATCCCCGTGAATAAAGAATATGTAAACTAAAAAGCAATTTACCGGTAATTTGAATGGTTGATCAAACTCTCTATTTTTATGGTTCTATGGCATCGATTTAGTTTCCCCAGGTACCATTCGTTAATTTATTTCAAATTTTCTAACCCGTATACGCAGGTTTAGTATAGTTGATAGAAAACAATTACATAATCGATCTTGTGGTTACAGGCACAAGCCAGGCCATTCCATTCAAGTATATTTCAAAATTGAAAAAAAAAACAAACAAAAAACAGACATGTACTATTGTAATTAAGTACATCGTAGGAAAAAAGACCGCCAGAAAGAATAAACTGATGTCTACGAAAAATAGCATAATTAGTTTTGTCTAACTTGTGAAATCAACAAAAACAAAACAAATTTCGTTTCCAACGTGCGAATGTCCAAAGCCATAATGCTTCTTACCCCTTAAATAGGCAGACAAAAATATCTGACTGCGAATTACATTCACCATTACACCTTTAATCAAATCGGTCAGATATACGACAACCACACAAGAGTTTCTTTTATCGAAAAATTTGATCATAATAAAAGAAAATCTACTTACCTGTACTTTCGACATTTTTTAAAAGACCAATCAGAAAATAAGAAATAGAAAATATTTTGAAGCTAAAACCCACTGCGTATCGCAATTGTAGTTTGGCACTAATTGGCAAGTCCTGGGCCCTGGATGTGTTAAGTATAGTTGTATACAAGGGCGGTCTAATCACTAAGTTACCAATAAATAAAAACACCCTAACTCAAACTTATCTTTAACCCCTTAGAAGAAAATTGAACCTTATTCATGCACACTAAGCAAAAGCAAGCTATTCAAATGGTTAATCATTTTATTTTGTACATTAATCACAAAGCTCTGCTGGTTTCACAAAAATCTTTTTCATCGTTAACAACAGGTAAATTTCAACATTAGTAATTTCCGCCATTCTCCGTGGGTAGTCGTAACTTTCCGTAAATAAACAATCTGTGACGTCATTTTAGTCCTTCTGCTCATATTCTAGTCTATAATATATTTCCATGTATATTTCTATGTGCAGACGGACTAAAATGACGGCACGGATTGCTTATTGACGGAAAGTTACGACTACCCACGGAGAACGGCAGAAATTACTAATGTTGAAATTTACCATTTGCAGGTAATATTGACATTCGGGTTCGGGTAAACTTAAAATTCGGGTTCGGGTAAACTAAATTTTCCTTAAAAAGTAATATAGATAGAAATTTACACGAAAATAGAAACACAACATAGCACTGGTAGTCCAAATACAGTAGTTCGTCCTAATTTCAACAAATGTCCTATAGCATCCAAATAATGAATTGTTGTCTTTCCGTCATTAGTAAGTTGGACCTGCTGTTTTTGTAAACTGTTTCCTTATATACCCTTTGTCTTTTTGGTGGTGCCGGTTAATTGGCCATATTTAGATTGTTCGCACTTCTCAATATTTCGGATTATGTCAATAGATCTATAGCGGTTAGTATGACTGTGTGATATTCAATCTTGAGTTGAAACCTTCTAGGTTGTTGTTAGTTCTGGGTACGCCAAGTCTATACAAAACAATGTTAAGGTATAAATAAAGAAATATTTTTACTTCCATAGTCCCGAATTTAACACGCCATATTGCTAGTTTTAACCCGAGGCAGAAAAACGATAACCTCTTCTTGTATTGTCAATTTATTTGCAAGCTTCCTTAAATATTTTTTGAGATTATATTCGTTTTGTTCCGTTAGCTTACCGAATATACAGTTGATACCTACATGCATAAATAAATAAATAAATACACGATTAATAATTAAGCAAACCAATTAAATTATGTTCTATATCTGTTACCCTCCAACCTGGAATACAAATAAATTTGTCATTTACCCTTCCTTGTAAACGCTCTATAATGGAATATGTGACAAAGTACTCTATAACTTTCATCAAATTGAACGATCATTTAGGTGCATAGAACTTATTGACCTAAGCTTCTTTTGATAACATATTATATTGACTTTTCAACTCTGTATATTCTTCTGTTAAGGCACGAACTGGCTGTGATCTAATTAAACATGTAATTAATCCCATATGTCATTTACAAACTACATATGATCTGTGTACAAGCTCTTCATGATTTCAAAGGAATACCACTGGTCAGTAAGCATACCATGCCGTGATAAAGAGACAATTGCATGTGTGATCATGAGTCTTATCTATTGTCGGAGTATATAGGCAGGAGTTTGCAGACGTCTTGCGAGAGGGGGGTGGGGTGGAGACGAGCAGAGAGACGGAGAGACCGGCGTATGGATTCGCCCGAGTTCAGTCGCTGCCTTGGCAGAGGAGCGGAATGGTGGATTTAATATAGTTATGTACCGTCGTGATGTGTTCCTGTCGGAGTCTAGTTCCTGTATATTAGTTTAGGTTCCTGTATTGTTTTGTATATGTAGATGTGTTATATCCTGTTCCGATATAAATAAATCATATATTTACTAAACTGATATCTGTTATCACTAAGATAGTGTTACAAATAACCCAAATATCAACATGGCTTGAATTACTAGGAGTACAAATCTTAGTATCCCCCCAAATTCCAGGGCATTCCGGTTTTATCATGAAAGCAGTGGCGTACGTATCGATTTTGTTTTTGCTTTCTTGTAGCAAAAATGAGACCGAATGGTGCACATGACCCTAATACGAGTGATGCAGGTGAATCTAGAGTCCATGAAGGGGGTGATGTGTGTTTTTTGAGGGGGGGGGGGTTGCGGGAGATTTTTCAGAATTCTGATGGTCAGAAAACACTTGTGATGTGAATAAAATTGAGAATTCGGCATGGGAATTCTTCTTTTTTCTTCTAAAATCATATTTACATGTATTCAGTAATGGGCAACAGGCTTTGCCTATGTGTAACCACTCTCCCTGATTTAAATACATGTACACATAATAATAATAAATATACATACATACATAATTACATAAGTATAGAAATGAAATGAAATGAAATGGGGTTTAACGTACTACAGTTTTGTTCCGAGCTGGGCTAATGAAGACGGACATACGCCATACATTGATCGGACAGTGGCACTACGGCCTACTATTATATCGAATTCCAACTGTCAAGGGATCTTTTACGTACACGCCAATGTGTACACCCGACCTCCAGGCGAGCGAGACAGCGTCTTACCCACTTAGCCACCGTGATCCCCCAAATGTATAGAACATATAGGATACATCTATAATGGATAATATAGAGACATTCTATAAGTATTTTAGTGGGTATAGAAATCTATTTTGAAAGTATTGCTTGGTAATGTTGAGTATGGTAAGACCTGAACAGCGTACGATCATCCAATTCCTCCATATTTCACAAACGAGTTGGAAGAGGCGAGAATATTAGTTGATTGTACGGTGTACGCGACAATTATTTTACGGTAGTTTAAATTTTTTTGATAAATGGATAACTTGCTGAACTTCTTGGAAAATAATTGTGTTTATCCCAGGACTAAATTTTGTTGAGCCATATAACAGACAACTGATTGTTTTATAATTATGTTGAAGGTTATGGACGTACGTAACTAACGTACGAAAATTAATTGGTGGCTGGCTTTTTTTTCGCACGTATACAGTGAATGGCCATTTTGCTCAGTAATCCCAGCCAGAATTTGGCTATTTTCTAAATTTGCGTTAAAGTTTAAAATATTTGTTTTAGAACTGAAACACATTAACTATTAGTCAATCCCAACGCTAAAAACATCAACAGAATTGATTGTGTATATCTGAAATAGACCCGACCGACGCACAAAATAGTGCAATATGGCGGCCTCTATGAACAACCCTCGCAGACGCTGTCATTGAAGACAACGTCAATTCTATGAGTTGTAGATGTTATTTTTGTGAAAAAATCATTGGAAGAAGAGAGAACATGTTGGGACTGTACGAATTATATAGTCTTTATAGGTGCAACGGACACAATGCTGAAGATAAACCTATTGTTTACAATGTTGACCTCATGACCCATTGACGCCAATGTCATGACCTGTGATGTGTAGATCACGTGATATGGATATCATGGCTACTGACTGTGTCTGAGATACTTCTCCGCAGGTAGCGTGTCTCAGATGTTCAGAATGGGTTATGGATTGTCGGTTTTCTTGCATCTGAATGTAAGGGGCATTCAGGATCTTCAGAGGCAAGGAGGGCTGTCATCAATGTTTCTGGGGAATTTATGGCCTTGTAGATTTGAGCAGGATATTCTTAATTCACAGTGTATTATTATTGATGTTCATTTCCCAAGAGAGTAATATGGTGGCACGACGGTATCATATATTTTTTAGTGAATTTTCAACCATAGCAAGGGATCGAGAGTTTCTAATTTCAGCGTTAAGTTTGTTCCATTCTCGTGTACTTGAAGGGATGAAAGACTCAGAGAAAATTTCGGTTCTGCATCTGAATTTCTTTATTTTATCCTAGTATAATTACTAGGAGTAGAGGAAAGTTCTAATAGGTCAAAGGGATATGTTTGCGCGAGGTTATTAGTAATTTTATAAACTAATTTTAATTTTTGATGTCCGCGTTTTTCTGAGAGTGGAACAAACCCAATCTCTTTACAGAGTAATATATGGCTAGTACCGCTAACCGCCCCACAGATAGTGCGTAGTGCATCTAATTGTAGGGATTATAGATTGTTAGTTGAGTAATCGCTGCACCCATCCCAGATATTATATCATAATCAAAGTGTGGAGGAATAAAAGAACAGTATATTGTTTTTAAAGATTTTCTATTCAATCGATATTTTAGAGGGCGAGGGCGAGGGCAGTTTACTTGTTTTGATACTTTGCTTACAGTCCTATCTATATGATTATTCCATTTACAGTTATGTTGGAAGATTAGACCCAAATGTTTTTGTTCCCTTACTCCTTTGGTTTGTACCTGGTTCATAAATATTGATGATTTAACTAGGTTGAGTTTAGTAGTAATAGTCAGTGTCTCTGGGGTTTTTTAAGGATTTAAAGGTAACTAGACATGTCCCAGCCCAGTTTTTGATGCGATTTAAGTCATCGCTGATGGTAGCAGCACTTTCCTCTGGGTCTTCAGTTTTTAAGTATAGAGAGGTATCGCCAGCAAATAATCCAATGTTTGAATTTATATTGTTCACAGTGTAGATTAGAAATAATAGAGTGCCTAGTACAGATCCCTGTGGAACACCAGCAGGAATGCTTCTGGTGTGTGGGATTGGGTAGGGTGGGCATTTATTGTTACACATCGTTGTCTATTTTTTTAAACATAATCTTCGAACACATCAAATGTTCTCCTCGAACCCCAGCAGCATCCAGCTTATGACAGAGTCCGGCATGTTATTTATTAAGAAGAATTTTGCGGGAACTTACAAAGTACTGTGAATCTGTGACAACTCATGAAAGTGATAATAATTTCACGTGAACATATTCGGCTCAAATTTAAATAATAATAAAATTCGCAATATTTTAGTTTCGTTTGTTTTTGAGCCTAAAGAATATAAATACTAAACGTATAGGAAACTTCATAAGTTATTTTATTCGAGATTTATCACATTGTGAAAACCGTAGTCCTTCTTTTGGGGTTCGTAAGTTCATCATCATATAATTTATAAATTCTTTGCTAATATTAAATATCATCCGAAAATGATCTAATTGACCTAATATCGCTTAATTTAGTCGTAACGTCTTAAAACATTCATCTTGGAAACTACGTGAACAAGAGTGGATCCGGAAATATAAAGTGCCCCCCCCCCCCACTAGATCAGAATATGGTGAGCCTTTGCCGCGCATTATGTTATTTAATCAAAGCAATCAGATATATTCATACATATATTGTTTATTTGAGATTTTTCCTTCTATTTTATCATTGTTTGTTTACCTCATTAATTCATTTAGTCGCCAATACATAATTTTGAGAGCGACTGCAGTGACTTCGCTTATTTTGATGCCGACTATTTTTTATTTTTTGCATGGAAGTATGGAGGTAATCCTTCTTACCGAGGTACAGTTGAAATCCCGAGACATCAAATCGACCGTATGTAGTCCAAGTATTAAATCTATCCATTTGAAAGTCAAACTTGAGCGCATAACATCAGATTTTCTCAGTGACCGAGAAAGAACATCGCTGGATTATCTTTTAATGGAGCACAACTACAAATATTGCCTTTAGTAATTGGTTTAACTCAGGCGATATACTGTACGGATTATGCCAGAAGTCGGCCAAACCCTTGTTAACAAATCAATCAAAACATCAAGTCGAGAATCCTCAGTGCCAATAAAGAGTTTAATACTGCCTTGGGTTCTTTCAACACAAGTGATAAACTCATCTCAGTTTGAGTCCTTATCCAGTTAGTCATGAAAGAACCTTGATCAATAAGTCAAGGAACATCGTTCAAGCTGCCTAAAGGGAAAGGGGCGCCCTTCATCGTCAAATTAAAAAAAATATATTTCCAAACAGTCTTGGCTTGTTTGGCACAGCTGTTTACAGTCTATTGGCGCTCAACTTTATGCAGTGAGGCATTTCCATAGAGTTTCTATATATAACTCTATGGGCATTTCACTAGTCCATAACCCAACAGCTGATAAAGCTCCTTTAAGCCGGATTTCAACATTTGTCGTTTCGCCCCGTCGCTACTTTTGACGGTAGCTTCGCAGGCTAGGGCGATCTGGTATTGAGAATAAATTGATGCCGTTTCCCCTCTTTGTCGAGAAACGAAAGGGGGGGGGGGGCACGGTGCTTTGCATGTACATGTCTTAGCTCTAGAATTACCATAGTTATCCATTAAACCGACACGCCTTTCACCAAGGAACCTTATCTGACCAATGAGCCGTTTGTAGTTTCGGCTCGCTCCCCAAAGGAACAAGCCTCAACTTAGACTTGGATGGCTTAAGCTTTGAGACAAGCATATGGTCACTGACAGGATCAACTAGATAACCTTCGTGAGTTCGAGTGAGAGAACCACGCTTAAACGCCACAGTCGCATATACCCACCACCTTTCGCAAACTCTGGGCGGGGGCAACCGAAGAGCGGGATCGAGTAGGGGGACGACCGAGCAGAGGCGGGGGGGGGGGGGCAGTAACCTGGACTGCGCAGTCCCGCAGACGTTGAGGAACACCCTAAGGCTGGGCGTACGAAAGAACAGGGGTTGATCGCACATTCAAGAAGGCGGCGACCGCTGATTTGGCAATTGGACGAACCAATCTGTTCCGCCGTGTGAGCGTAAACAGCGCCGGCATCGCTCCATCTTCTCCATCGAGTCTTGGGTGGTACGAAAGTGCGTGGTGACTGGACGAGAGATCGGGCTAAACCATCCCCGAATTCCGACCGCTTCGCTGCCTTCGAGAGAAGAGAGGAGAAAGGGTGCGCCCGGGACCGTAACTAGCTGAGAGCAACGAGGAGGGGGGGGGGGAAAGTGTTCTCGGGGGGTGGGGTGGTGTAATATTGACGGACAATGTATATCTATTTTTTTTTAGGGTCGAAAATATGTTCACAGGGAGGGGGGGGGGGGAGGACTTGGCTTTGACTCAAATTTTTCGCAGGAGATCGAGCGGTGTGTTCATGATTAATAACAATAATTGTTGTAAGGGAGATTACCCCAGTTTCCATGTGCTCTTGGATTCAGACCATATATTTCACACGTATGATTTTGCTTACGTATTTTTTTATATTTTAGGAAATAAAATAAAATAGGGGTTTAACGTCCTACTGTTCTGCTTCTACCGGGCTAATAAAGACGGACACGCGCCATAGAGTGTGCTATAAGGAAAATTGTCATCTGGCCCTAAATCGAGTTATCGCAAACATTTTGTTTGGAAATCTGGATTTGTGTTCCTGGTGTTAAGCTTTCCAAAAATGTATAGTTTGTTTAGTAGGGAGGATCGTGTAGAGGAATTGTGTTTCTGAGCAAGCTAGGAATTTTGGCTGCAGGCCTACATGATCCTTACTTATATTAGGCCTTTTCGGTTTTTATTGATGCAGAACCCTGTGTTTGAGGAAAACGTCTTCTACTAAAAATAAATTCTTTTTAATTTCAAAAGATTGGGAGTAGAATAATTACAGTCACATCGACAGGCGTCGTTTGCTGACTGGGAATAATGCGTTCTGATCATTTTTAGTGACAAAAAACAAGGGAATACTACTTCTGTCGCACATGTGCACATATTATATGGATGCGGGTCAGTTCATCCCACAACCGTTTCACCCCAACCTAATTTTTTATCGGGCTGTTTCATCCCGGACTGTTTCGTTGTTGTTGTTGTTAGTTAGTTGTATTTTACGTCCGCTTCCACCGAGGTGTTTCACCCCCCTTGTTATTATAATAGTAGTCAGTTAACTGAGTTGTACTTATCGTTAATTATTTATTGTTAAATAAACAATAATGTATGGAATAAATAAGTTTTACTCGTCGATTTTTGTTGATTGCCGTTATGATTTTAGATTAGTTCACCGATGTTTTTGTAATAAAGTATACGCGTATTGTTTGTTAGTTTATGATGTCAACATCATTTATCTTCTTTATAAAAAGGTATTTTATAATTACATATTGACAGCTTAATCACTCGCCAAAATACATCATGGACTCTACGTATTACCAAATAATCAACTAAATTGCGCAGGGGCCCCTTTTAAATAACACAAATTAGATTGATATTATTTCGAAACCATAATTAATTTTAAAACTGATCGTTGATTTAATTTCCGTACACGAAATGAAACTAAACAACTCCAAATATCAGAATTCCGAATAAGAATTCATTTAGAATACCAAAATGCGAATCGTAACACATTGTGGTCTAAACTGTGTGAAAATTATAAAATAAATCGTAAACCAATGGAACCCGTACTGTAAGGTGGACACTGCATCCTTTCTTTTAACGTTGGGTTATTTGAGGCGCCAAGTAGTCTGAACATCTAAAGATAACACGTGTCGAAATAGTAACTACGTGCAAATTTATTCTTTGATAGACTGTTCTATTACTGGCAATCCTGTTATGCATGGACATTACTATACAGTGTATTACAAGTTGAGTGTTTTGCTATAAGCATCGCTCGATTGTACGCGATGTAATTTTTGTGAAATTGATGTCGAGAAGTGGTGTGGATTCGGAAAATAAACTAAAGCGTATGCAAAGGAAGAAGTTGGACACTATCATGTTAAAATTGCATTGCCATTGTATAAATAAAATATTCGGAAAATAAGCTAAGGCGTATGCAAAAGAAGGAGTTGGACATTATTCATGATAAAATTGCATTGACATATTGTTATTGGTGTTAATGTATAAATAAAATATTATTAGTGGAATATTGGTTTTTTTAATTATTATTTTCCATTAAAATTTACAGACGTTTTGAGTCTAGGTAATCAAGACTCTTAATGCGCATGCGCAAGCGAAACAGGAAGAAGTACGCCATATTGATATTGGCCAACTTTGGGTTTACGTAAAATTCAGCTATTTTTCCAACTCCTTGGTGTAGATTTAATTTGATTTGGAATATTGTTTATCTCCAGTAAAGAATGACACGTTTTACTAGAAAAAAATAAATGGTGTTTTTTGAATAAAGTCAAACCAGGTAAGAATCAGAACATGAATGTCAAAAATGTCACTCGTAAATTTTACGATGATGACACTCGAAATTGACGTGTTGAGTTTTGTAATTTAGCTTTTCTATTCCACTATGTTTACCCAAATGACTCTTTATTATGATGATCTATTCTAACTTGCCAAATTATTTATCGAGCAAATATCTTAGATATAATGCGGCACTATATGCGACATTCGTTATTGTTTCTAAGTTTACAAAGTTGATGATTGATAAGACATGTTCATGGTGTGATTGACTTGAGACCCAGCCCTGCATGAGTGACATTTCATTAAAGAAAAAAAAAGCATTATCCAAAAATGTTAGTAAGCATACATGTATTATCAATGTCATATCAGTAAGAGTTGAATCTTCTTAAAGGGGCATTCTCAAACAACAAGAAAATTAATTCAATTAATAACAATTAACATCATTTATATTTATAAACTTGGTTAAAGACTCTCTTACATGTAAGTAACAAGAATCCAAGCACTAATTAGAGTACCAGTAAGGCAGTTTGTACCAGCTGTTTGGTGTTGTAATTCCTTGAAAACCAAGGCAATTATTGAGGAATATTATTGACCGGATCTTAAAATCGGTAGCCTACATGGATGAAATATGGATTACATAGATAGAGGTGCATCTGGCTAGTTTTCTTTATTATTCAATAACAAAAAACATAATTATAGCAATAAGCTTACTGGTAGAACAGTGTTTTGTTCTTCAAATAAAGAGCATTAGCTAGCCTACAGATGTATATGATTTCACATAATATCTCCTGTCCTTAATTCCCGGAGAGCGATTTCCAATAATTTCCGATCCCAGGAGAGCTTTTTTCAGCTCCCTACAATTGTTTAGACCTGATAATGCATGCTAATCAAAATAAACAGTCAAGCTTCTTTAACTTGGGATGTTGGACACCTCATAACCAGAGATAGTTGGCAGTTAGTGTAGATTTTGCCGGTCAAGACTCATATCCTAGTAATAGGAAATGAAATGGGGATTAATGTCCTACTTTTGTGCTCTGACTGGGTTAATGAAGATAGGGCATATGCGCATAAAGTGTGCTATGGGGGAAATTATGCTCGGACAGCGGCACTACGGCCTACTCTTATATCAAATTCCAACTGCCACAGGAACTCGGTTTTTCATCCCATCGGAATGACTTGACAGCTGTCCTGCACTGACGAGTTGAAACCACTCTGGAAAATCCTGTTGAACTCGTGACATCTGGGCTAGCACTCACTTAGCCACCCTGGCTTCCCTCCTTATAGGAGTGACCTACATGTATATGATGTGATGTGGGCGTATGTTTCGTGGCCTGGGCAGCCTATCCTCAATGATCCGCAATGCTGTAACAGTAGTAACACCCTTTAATAAAATTGACAAGCTTTATATATTGTCATGAAGCAAGAACCTTAAAAAAAGTTTCATTTTTTTTGTGATTGTGTATAATAAGGCTTTCTACAAATCGAACAAGTTTTATTTACATGTACATGGACTTCACATAAAATCAACATACATTGTACTCGTACATTTGTACAACTATTAAATGTTTCAAGTTACCTGTTCTCGTTCTCACCTTTTTTGATTTTGGCGTTTTATTTGTCTGGAATTGGCGGATGTTTTGTGTTACGGTACTTAAACAAGTAGTCTGTGTGTAAGGCAGGCTACAGTAGTACATGTATATAATGATCCTGTTGTATTTGGAAAAATACTAGGCTCCAATGACCTACATGTACATGTATTGAATTCTATCAAACAAATACCCTGCTGTGCCGGACAAAAAATACTGAAAGTTGTGTCATACAAAGTCTGAATCTGTGTTTGACAATGTCTGTGACTGGTTCCTTATTTTCAGTGTTGGTGTCATGTACATGTAACTTCTTCTGTGAGCACTCTATTTGTTTTGAGAGAACCATAATATTATGTTGGATGGGAGTGGGAAGTAGTAAATACATACGTATACTTTACAATTATACAATAGAAAGATAACAATTTGATAATATATTATTATTATTTTTTTTTAGGAGAAATTAGAGAAGTTTATTTTGGTCATGCCACCCCCACCCCCTCCTCCTGCGCCTCCAGCTCCTTCAGGCTTACCAAAGGCACCAAAAGTGAAATCAGGTGGTGGGGGCACAGATCGATCAGCTTTATTAAGTTCCATACAGACTGGAGCTAGGCTAAAAAAGACTGTGACAAATGATAGAAGTGCACCAGTAGTAGGAGGTAGGTTATAAATTTCTTTTGTGCATGTATATGCCCACATATGTAGGACTATTATTGTATAATTTAAAAATGTAAGTGTGGTTTGTCACCATTAGAAAAACATGTAGATGGTTCAACCGTATCTATTCTGATATTGAAGACAGCTACACTGATCAATCCTCTTGAAAAAATGTCATCAATACTACGAGATCTATCAAAATGGTGTATGTCCGGTCAGATTTGTTTATTATGAAATTAACTGTTAGCCGCATTTCTACCCATTCCAACTGACGATTGGTACTGTACATGTAATTCTGGTTCTGCTAGTGACTTCATGAACATGATCTTTAATTTAGCATAGCGTAAAAGTAAAGCCTGTAGTAATAGCTGTCATTGTTATTGTACATGTTAGAATATAGGAATTGGTGGGCAGTCTTCCTTTTTTAGTCAGATTTCAATTATTTTTGTTACTTGTTTCCAATACAATGATGTATACACACGAAAAGAGAATCATGTATAAAGGTACAGGTATAGACTCTGTTGAATAGTATTAAACTATGTACAATGTATGCTAACATTAATACATGTACATTTATGTGGCAATGTGAGTAAAGATGTTTTTTGTTGGTCTGTCCATGTCAATCATAGATTTTATGATGCCCTTACTCTGATTCCATGGTTTATTAATAATATTGCAGTGGCTTGTTTAATAACTAATTATACATGTAGGACCATGCACACTTTTTGCTTCCTTTAACTAGTCAGTAGATTTTTCTTGAAAACAAGTTGCAGCTTTGTGCGAACAAGTATTGTGATAATAGGGGTAATATTATTCCACAATGTACCCTTTTTTCCTCAATATGCCCTAGAGCTGTTCTTCCTCAAATTTCTGCCCCTGTGAACCTCACCTCACAACTAAGACTGAAAATATGCTCCCCCATAGATGTAATATTTTTTGTCCTCACGTAACTATGGAAAAGGGGAGTTTTTGTCCCCCTCCCTTTCTGGACTATTAATATGGGTCTGTCTGTCTGTCACACTTGGTGTAGGTGTTTATTTAGCGAATGCCTTAATGGAGACCGAAGATGAGCATTTTCTGATTAGCCTAAGCAGAGATAAGCAATTGATTGCTTGATGCTTTGGGACACTATAACTTAGTGTATACATGTAGTTTGACTACCATGTACTTCAGAACCTTGACTGAGTTCGATTGTGAACATTTTCTGCTAAGACTAAGTGTAGATAATCTGTCTGATTGCTCAATACTGTTCAAAAAAATAAATATGCAATTAATTAATTTGTGTCATCTTATATACTCTGAGATTGCAGCGGGGTCATCAGCCTTACTTTTGGTTTGCTTTTGTGTTACAAAGTGATGACAATATCCTTCCTCACAGCCAACACTCCTCCCCACCCCCTCCCCACCCCCCAATCCAAGTGAGAAGTGAGGAAAATAATATCTATTGTCATAGTTGAAGGATGAAGAAATTTGTTCTCAAAGAGAAAACAATTTATTATGTCAGACATGTACCTTTTCATCCTCACTTTAGACATTTTTTTCCTCAATATTTATCGCTGTAAATGGAATAATATATACCCCTAACTAGTTATATATAATATATTACTTGTATATATAACTGGGCAATAGTATTTGTAATTGTAACATAAAGTACCTGTACTACTGTAGCAAAGACACCATAGATTCTAGTTACCACTTACATGTAGTAATTCACTCCCCCATGATGTCATTGCCATCAATTTTTTTTTGTCAATCTAGGAAGCTTAAAGATGCAGTATGTAAGAGCTATATCTGCCTATGGTCGGTCTTTCTTTTTGGTCACAAATGTTATATAAATTATTATTTAGACATTTATTCACATGGCAAGGCACAACTCTCTACTAGACCATTAGATGGTCGTGATTTGTAATGAACTGAAGCACAATCACCATTTAATAATTTCATTTAAAAATGGATGAACGAGACTTTGTTGTTATAGTAACAGTGATAGACATGAAAACCAAGAAGACTACGCTCAATATTCTTATCAAAACTTCCAACATTCATAACTTTGTTCAGAATAAAGTAATTTGACTGAAATTTTCACTACATGTATTTTTTCATTACATGTATCTATTTTTAAATTATTGAGAGAACTACATGTATCGGCTCGTTATGTAAATCTTACATAATGCATCTTTAAAGTTTGAAACTAATTGAATGATAAGTGTGTTGTGGTGTTGTGTTGTGCATGTTATTTAAAAAGTGTGTTATTTTATTTGCTATGATGTTTGTGATTGTAAAATCTAGGAAGTAAACCTGCCGGCAACAAATTCCACACTGTTGCCAGTCCTGCAAGAAGACCTCCAAGTAGAGACCTACCTAATGCCTGGCGTCGAACACAAGATGACGGTACTATTCTAACTAAACGCATGCTTGCCTTGCATTCCTTCTTTTTTTACCTGCCCTGTCTGTACATATATAATATATATATATATTTGCCTGCCCTGTATATATATGATTGTTTACTAACAACTTTTCAACTAATAATATTTAAGATGATATTGTTAATGTTCATGTATAATCTGTAATAATGGTGTGTTAAAGGTGTTTATTTAAGTTGAATGATGCACATGCACACATACATGTATGTAAGCTTAGAATGGGGCTTAATGGATGAATTCAACTAAAATTAAATCATACAGAGGGACATTAAGTATTGTTTAATGGTCGAGAGCGAGACATTAAGTAATATATTGTAACAACATGAGGGCCATTAAACAACTTAAAATACAGACACTTGCACGTGCTTTGCAATGAAATACGTCACTCGAGTTCAATATTTTACCAAGTTAAGCTTGGCACATTGCCCGTACGATTATTTTAAATAATGGTACTCCAACATCAAAGGATGACGTCACATCTGTATTTTAAGTAATATAAATGTACATTTAGTCATAGTAGAAGAATGTACATGTATAAGGAAAGTCCATATTTTAAGGAATGGTACAATACCATTATATTCATGTACATGTACCTATATTTACCTGGAGTAACATCCTACACATTATATACCCCTATATTTACCTGCAAATATACTGTAAGCACATGAATATAAGGTCTTACACATTACATACCCTTATTGATAAATATACATGTACATGTAGTTAGATATTATATACAAGTGGTGGAGATGTACATGTACAGTGTATAATCAGATTGTAACATGTAAACATATAATTGAGAATAACTACATATCATATAGTACCACATATCATATAGTATCATACAGTACATGCAACCATAAAGATGCTTTGATTGTTATTATTATATTATCTGGTAGTTTAGAGCTAGGTTGTGCTGCAGTGTAGAATGCGGAATTGGTTTGTGTGTATTTTTATGCAAATTAGAGAACATGTAGCTCAAAGAAGTGTTTAAAGCAGTGTTTATTTCCATTAAAAGTATGGCAAATTTGATATATATAGAAAGATAGACACCCAATCTTACTAAAATAAATACTGGATTACCCGAAAAACACCCATGGGGCTAGCACTGGGCAAAAATGTCAGGGTATCACCAACTGGCAACCCAACCCGTGTTTGACAGCTTATTGTGTGCTAGCTTGACTGAGGGAGTGGTTGTTATTTCTTGATCAAATGGTTAGGCTGTTTTGGGGAACATTGAGGGGTGTCAACATACAAAAAAATCTGTAATTAAACAGCAGAAAAAGAAGTTGACAGAAAATAATTAAGAATTTTCTTAGGCCTCAATATATATTGTAAATGGACAGTAAGTAATGAAAAATACATTCTGAAAAATGGACCCTCCCTCAATGAAGTGAGGCGACAGTAATGGCTTCTAACAACAGTTTATTGATAGATTGAGGTATCCCACCGTTTTGAGAGCGATTTGAAGCAAATTTTGGTAGATTAATTAGTTTGAATATGTTTTTGGTCCAATTATATCATCAATTCACCCAGTTTGTACACGGAAGGTACATGTATCTTTAAATTTACCTGTTATCAGTAATTTATTGTCATCAGTATGTACATGTACACCATTCTTTATCAAGATGTAGATTACATGTACATGATATTAATACACACTTATCTGATATTACTATTATAAATACATAATGATAAGTTTGATTGATATCGATCACACAAATTATTTCTATTGGTTTTGTTTGCATTCAAAATTAAACAAAGGGAGAGGGGTTTTACATAGGCAAAGTCTGAATAGAAATATTGTTTTAAAAGAATAATGTGTACATGCTAATCACTGAAGTTTAAAATTAACAATCCAGATATGATAAAAGAATAAATATATATGTTCATTGTATTAAGTACATAATTTAAACTTAGATATATGCTTCCAGGACTGTCACAATTCTTATATCTAACCATTGATAGGAAAACATGATAATACTGGGAATATATATTTATTACAATCTAATTAAATTTATAGCTTTATTTCATTTTGTCTTCCATCTTTATGAGACATTTATGGCATGACTGACTTCAATAACATTTGAACAGAAATGCTACTGAATTTCAAATTATGTATGTGATTTATTGTATTCTACATGTAATAACACTTAATAGAAAAGAAATCTGCTAGGTTATAATTGAATTTTTATCCTTCAATCTTCAGGTCAATATTTTAATAGATATTCTTGTTAACCGGCTACTATAGATTGATAAACTTCTACTGTAGTGTCACTAGCGAGGAAGTATGGTTAAACTAATAAGATAAGATCTAATTGTATTAATACACCCTTTAAGACCAGCATGCATTATATTAAAACAAAATGGAAATAGTACGAAACAAAAAAACACCAAACATTTGATGTAGCGAGCCACAGTGGCTAAGTGGGTAGGATGAGGGCTCGCTTTCATTGGCCGAGAAAGTTCATCAGGATTTTCTGACATGGTTTCCCCTTGTCATTGGTGCAGGACGGAGGACCTGACAAGGACAGCTGTCTAGTCATTTGGATGAAATAAAAAACTGAGGTCCTGTGTATGCATTGGCGTGCACGTAAAAGATCCCTTGGCAGTTGGAATTCAATATAAGAGTGGGCCATAGTGCCACTGTCTGGGCAAAATTTCCCTCATAGCACACTGTATGGTGTGTAGAACAGTAGGATGTTAAAGTCCATTTCATTTCCTTTGATGTAGTACATGTAAAAGAGAAATACACAAAAAAACATTACACCTTTTCAAATACAATGATCTTCATTTATAAAAGAACAATATAGTAAATTATATACCAGTATGCTTTTGTCTTTCTTGAAGTGCTTGGTATATAAAACCTCATACTTCTTTGGCTATAAGTTGTAATATGAGGTGGTTAAGGTGATTCTAAACATACTGTAGAAAATTGGATGATAATTAAATCTGTAGATTAAGACTTAGATAATAGAATCTGGTCAGTATATGATAAAGATTGGAACCACATGTACATGTAATTCAGAGAAATTCTTAGCACTATTAATTGCAGGAGAGTTAATTGTTATATTAAATCTATTTTAAAACAGGCATTAAAGGGGCATTATTAGAGGTTAGATAAAGAGCTGGCAGTTCTCACTATAATAGTTAAAAACTAGATAATGTAAAGGGAATTTACTGAAAATTCCATTAAAATTTATCCACTATGAACTGAGATATCAGCTTTTGAATTTTAGGCCTAGCCTCGATCATCATTACTAAAGTCGGTATGATAAAAAAAACTTAGTCCTGATTATCCACTTTTGGATTAAATCATCAATGAGCGTGGAGCAGCAAATCGGATTCAAATCCAGTAAATATCGCAGGCTAGCGATGACATCAAGTGTTGATTATTGTCTGGATAGTAAATGTCTAATTAATAATTTAGAATACATTTCTGCAGTAGGCAGATTTAGCTCTTGAATAATGTATGTTTAAATACATATAAAGAAATTTTACATTAATTGGCAGGTAGATTGCAGATGGGTTGTCCGGGGTGGGGTAAACTCTCAAAGAAAATGAATAGGAGACGATTTAATCAGCGTTTTAACTACTGGTCTTGTATTGACCATTAAAATCTGTGTTTAAGCCAGACAGAGAATAGGTCTGTTGATGTGTAGAATCAATATTTATTACAACATGTACACTTACCTAAATATTTGACAAAAACACAAATAAAGAAAGTATTCATTCTATGAATATTTTATTCATCGTCCATTGGAATAACACTGATCATAGAAATATCTCAAAAAAAGTATGATGCTTAGGGTTAGACATATTGGTCTCTGACTTAGAGATAATTCTAATTTCAATCTCTGTATTAAAGGACAATATTGGTGCCAGTCATTATCACATATGTGATAGAGCTGGTTAAACACATTCCAAATATAATTTTAACACAGAGATCATTGCTACGATAGCTGAGTAATACAGGTTACCTGAATCGGAAGTGACGAACGCCAAAGGAAAACACGAGTCATCTCTTTATATAACTGACTGATGTGACGAGTGATAACGGATATACAGGCGAATTTCTGCTCACTAATAATTCCTTCGAAGACCAAAAGTTGTTGTGTGAGATTGTGAGAGGATATCTGACAATTCATAAAAAGAATTGACTACCACTAGATAAGTGATTCACTTCCGATTCAGGAAACCTGTATTACTCAGCTATCGTAGCAATGATCTCTGTGTTAAAATTATATTTGGAACGTGTTTAACCAGCTCTATCACATATGTGATAATGACTGGCACCAATATTGTCCTTTAACATTACAAAATTATGCACATCTTAAAGTCACATGTATGTATTAATGTATCTGTTGGGTAGGGAAAGAAATTGGGTTTAGACTGTTTTTTGCCCCAACCGAGCTATAAAACAGGTAGACAAGGAAGTTATGGGAGTATAAATATAATACTCTGTATAAATATACTACATAGTTTACCATAAATTTGAACCTTTAACTTTACAAAGATAAAGAACACAATAATAATAGTGTCATTGTTATGCATTTTGATAATCTGTCTAAAAAGAGAAATAATGACATAAGCAGTATATTTGATAGACGGAACTAAATATACACTGATTGAAAGTATAAAGTATGGTGTCATTTTGTTGATACATATTACATTATGTCTGCCTATACATGTAGATGGTTTTTTTATGATTTTGAACACCATAAAGTAATTGTTATGGTGGAGATATCAGTTTTAATCAAAATTATTTTTCATATTTAGTCGGGTTGGATCCGCATTGTGTATTGGTTACAATGTCTTATCATCTATGCAAAGTGATTAGATGTGACTTTTCTCCAAGACTCCAAGTTCTGGTGGTGTGGATGTCCGAGTGGTTAGCGTGTGCGACTGTGCGGGCTGCATAATAAGGTCTCTCATTGAGTTAACTGCTGTGGTTTCGATTCCCCGGTTGTATGTGACAAGGAGTAGGGTCGCCTATCCAACCTCATGGGTTTTCTCCATGTTCTCCAGTTTCCTCCCACTGCTAAAAACCCGTATGAGCAAGCGAATTATTGAAATAAAATTGAACCATATTTTAGTCCCGAAATGACCTAGTTTGTGTCAGGTGGACATTATACCCCATTTCTCTCTTTCTCTTATCATCTATGCAAAGTGATTAGATGTGACTTTACTCCAAGTTCTTATTGCTCCCACTTTTAAAAACACTTGTTTATAAGCTAATTATTGAAATAAACATCATGTTTTTCTTAAAAGGAAATAGTTTTTAAATTAATATTATTTTTTGTTTTGAATGCAGACAAACCCATAATGAGGCTGTAGAAGTCTTATCTTGGCAAAATATCGCTTATACTCATAGCACTCTTCGTGGGGTATGGCCATTTTCATCAGCCGGGTTTTGGTGTACACAAGTAGGACATTTTCAATGATAAATCAACACACAATAAAACTTTTAATAAAAAAAAAAGTCTTGATCTTGGATTTAATACTGATGTGGAAATTTTTAGTTCTGAAGAGAGATGTTTGCATCAAACAGGGACATACATGTATACTTGTTTAATTGAAAGAAGGATATACATGTACTTGTTTAATTGAAAGAAGGATATATTTCTTTTAATTGATTCTAAGGCACTTGGAGGAGGAATTTGTTCTGAGATCTGATGGTCCTAATAAGAATACACTTTCTTGTACGGTCGATACAGTAAAACAGACATCGATGTCTTAATAATACAAGTTAAAAACATTATCGTTGCATTTTTTTCAGCTTTGTTCATATACAGGTACAAGCTTTGGTAAAATTATTCAAGGTCCAAAGAAAATAACTGATGCAGATCCATTGAAGAACATTGTACACTACTTGAAACCTATCCATTATTAAACCACCCATTATAATATGCGCCTATATTTATTCATAAATGGCTTCTTCCTACTCATATGCTACCTTCAACAGAACTTTTTTGAATACTATGTTCTATCTAGTTTAATGACCTTAATTATTTGATGATATAAATATGTATGTTTTTAATATTATAGATATTGATTATTTGCTATATGTTTTAGTGGGAAATATTTTCATGAAAGTAAATCCATTTTATGAGTCACATCAATTAACTTAACGACACATGTATTAAACATCAACATGTATATGTTACTTGATTTAAACAGTATTTAGTTTATTTCCCATCATTTTTTCCAAAAGAGGTTTGTTTTTGTCCAATTGATAAAGATATTAATCAAAAAAGATTACCAATCAGAAAATATTTTAATAGATAATTTCTGTCTCCAATCAAACATTTTAATATAAAATACATTAAGTGAGACAACTCAAGATAAATATTAATTTAAAAATTGCAAAATGTGTTAAAAATTAGAGATGCTTGATTCCAATTCAAACCAACTTTTATCCAAACTGTTTCGCTTCAAATTTGACAATTTTGCATTGGTTAAGAGGTACAGTAGTAAGTCACTCCTGTCCAATGAGCACCTGTTAGAAAAGTATCTAAACTCGTATGCAGATGACATAGTTGTACATATACATTTCGATATGTTTATAATTGATAACACTAATATCTACATATTGAAGTTATTGTAAGATATTACCAAGGTACATGTAGTATGTTGAGTGTGGTGCTAGCTAACTAGCCAGGAGGTCCTGGCTTCGATCGATCTCAAGATATGCATCAGGATGTTTCAGCCTGATTTCATCTTTTTCAGTGAAAACCCAGGTCCTGTTTATAACATTGGCAGCATGTTAAAGATCCACTGGGAATCGAGGAAGAGTTGGCCGTAGTTTGGCTGTCTGGCCAAAATGTCCCTCATAGCACACTGCATGGCACATTTCAATCACCACTAACCTGGTTGGTGTACAAAATCAAACCTTGTGGGTTTTCTCTGTCCTCCAGTTTCCTCCCACTGCTAAAGACCCCTACGTGCAAGCGAATTATTGAAATAAAATTAAAATTGAACCATATGTTAGTCCCGAAATAACCTGGTTTTGTGTCAGTGGATGTTAACCCCCCCTCTCTCTCTCTCTCTCTCTCTCTCTCTCTCTTTCTCTCTCTCTCTGTTAAACTCAATTTCAATTATGACATTATGAATATGAACAGCTCATAAGATTTAAAAGACAAAGTCAATTAGATTAGTTTAAATCAAAATAGAAAATAATTGATCCATTAAGTCAAGTGACATAAATAGCTGTGATAAGCTCTGTTTGTGTATTCATGTAAGTAAATATTAACATATATATACATATATATAATTAATAATATCAACAGACAGTGACCTTTTATAGACATAAAAGAGGAAGGTCAATGAATACAGATATAACATGATAAGACGGATGTTATGATACATGAACTCTTAACTTACTATGAGTTTTCAAAATCATGAATTATATTAGATTTAATGACAAAAGTTGTATCCATAGATTACAATATTAGTATTTGTGTATTGTACACAATTACAATCGAGAATTGTTGTTACTAATAAACTTGTCCCGTTTAAGGAGAAACAATCAGTGGGCTACATTTAATTTCCTCGTGAGAAAAAACAACTCAACATTAAATTAATCTAATCTTTAATCTATTATATACATTGTTTTTTTAAGGCACTTGATTGAGTTCAAGTGCTTTTTCCAGCTAACCAACAAATGACTGATATCAAAGATAATGAGTCACCTGTGTACAAATATTACATGTATCAGGTCAGGAGTACTGCCGACTAGATTTCAATTTATTAAGATAAATTTAATAATCCAAGCATATTAGGCACTTGTTAAGTAATTAATTACATGTATGTTTCAATATTCATGTCCATGTGGAACCTCAGTAACTCGGTGAGTAAGATGTTGGCCTAGAAAGTACCCCAGGATTTTCCAGAACCTGGAATTTTCAGTGGTGCCGGTCGGAGGGTCTGGCAAGGATGTTCCTGGAAGGAACAGTGTCTATATACTGTCAAACAAACTATGTTTTTTTTAATTATTGTATATATTATTGTATTTAATATACTGTACTTAAACTATTATCTAATATATACACCATATAAACACACTTTTACTTATTTATAATTTTTTACTATTTCTGTGTTATGAAGAGAAGTCTTTAATCAATAATAATCACACTATTTCCTTACTAAATAAAAACAAGATCTTACATTCACTAGGTTTATTAACTGTAACGTTATCAACCTGGTGAATATTATCCATAAAACTGTCTGTTATTATATATCGCTTTAAAGATAAGATTTTACTTTATTCTAAAATGCTTGAGATTGATTTATCTTTTTACTCATGTACTTTATACTTGCATGTAAAGTACATAATCAAAATGGATAACAATTGAAGACAAATTTTGATATGTTATAGCCCAAATACTTGTAATATTATTATAGCTAATGCCATGGGGGGGGGGGGGTGGCTTAGTGGTTAGCTCGGCGCGCTGTATCATGAAGTCTGTCATTGAGTCAATTGCATGGTTTCGAATCCCCGGTTGTACATGACAAAGAGTAGGGTCGCCTGTCCAACCTTGTGGGTTTACCACTGCTAAAGACCCCTACGCGCAAGCAAATTATGGAAATAAAAATGACCTAGTTTGTGTTGAGTGGACGTTAAACCCCATTTCTCTCTCTAATGCCATGGGCTTCTTGGAATTTTTCCAGAAGGTCGAAATGGTTTGTTATGGGGAGAAGATTGAGTTTGTAGGTTCTTCTTATGCACTGTTTTGTTTGGTCAGGGTCATAAAATATAAAGTTTGGAAAGAATAATACATCAATTTTGTTTTAAGCTTACTATTGACAACATATTATTTTGTAAGATATTTATTGATAAATTATAATAACAATATAGTTAAATGCTTAAACTAAGAGGGAAATAGAAGTTTAATTGTTAACGTTTTAATGACTAATACTTTAATTTACAGGAAATTTTACTCCATTTTACCATTCACCAGTGATACACTAAGTGGTGATTCCTTAAACTCTTATAAAACTTATAAAAACTCTTATATTTTATCTGTTTCAGGAAACACTAATCGTGGAAATGCCCCATCCCCGGGCAGCGGAGGAGGAGGAGGAGGAGGAGGTGGTGGTGGTGGTGGTGGTGGGCCAGCAGGATTAGGAGGATTATTTGCAGGAGGTATTCCAAGATTACCAAATAAAGGGGGAAACACAGGCGGTCCTCCTAAAAGATGTAAGTTAGCGAAAAAAAAAATAATATGTCGATCCATGATCTGGTCAGCTGTGATTCCATTGTTTATTATGAGTTGACAAAAACACTAAGTGCCATGTACAACAGTCTTATTTAAGTGGAAGTCCCACTCAGCGTTGTTCATTATTAATTCTTCCTTATTCCTCCTTGACATTAATAATTTAAAATTGAAAAATAATTGACATTAAACAATTATCGATCCAGTGTTTATTTTAAATTGACCTTTGAATATTTGCATAAGTATGACTGCATACAGTCCTAAAAAGAAATAAGTAATAATTAGATTCTAGAGGCCAACATGAAATTGAATGTCATATCAGTAAAAAAGTAGATGTTAAATGATATCCATACAAATCTAATGTAGCCCAATAAAAAATTTGTTTATTTGCATTCAAAGACAAAGACGTGTTGATACGAAAATTAAGTACAGTACCGTAAAATATTCAAATCAGTAAAGGACCATAAAACACCCAACTTCTTGCTGATTATGACAAATATGATTGAAAAAAATTGTCAAAAGAGGAACTCAAAAAAATATTTCATATTTGCTGTCTATATGTACATTGTATGCAGTGACCTGTGTTGTTAATGATTTGAATGGTGTCAGCTCTGTGTGATTTCAAATGATTTATATTATAATGATGAAATAACTTTGTATCAGATTTAGTACAATATTTAGATTAAATAAGTTTATTATAAATCGATTGAAAAAGAAATTAGATAACAAAATTACGTCTGTTTAATCGGTCGACATACATGTGCCGTACATGCATTCTGTTATTCTATTCTTCTTTGATTGGCATTTAGTAATTGAACATATTAACACAAGGTACAATTTTTATTGATACACAATTACTAAGTTTAATACTAAGCGACATTTGGGATGAGGATACTCTCGTCTTTATCAAGAAAATGATACAAAATAGCTATTTTCTGTTCTATCTTTTCTATTCTACATGTATTCTATTTTTTTCTATTTTACATGCATTCTATTCTACATCTGTTCTATTCTATTCAACATGCATATTTATACGCCCAAATTTCATATGTATGCATACATGTATTGTCGTCGCCCCTATCCGTCTGTCCACATTTTGTTTGTGAACACTCTACAGATAACAAATTTTATCTGATTTTTACGTAACTTGAAATATAGGTTTATATCCAAAGAATATTGGTTCCTTTCGATATTGGAATGTATCACACAGTAACTTCATAAATAATGGCCCCTGATTGTACGAAAAATATTTGTGGAGATCACAATGTTTATCCGATTTTGATGAAACTTAAAACATATATGTTAATATCCCAGAGATCTTTGTTCCTTTTGATATTGTCGCAAGTCAGACTGTAAAATCCTGGATTACGGCTCCTGATTGTACGAAAAATGTTTTTTTTTTTTTAGCTTGTTCTCTTGCATTCTATTCTATTCTGCATGATACTGATTTGTTTTGTTCCCTTCCATTGCATTGCATTTTATTTGTTATTATTTTATCTTACAGTTGGTGGTCATACAGCATTACGTCCTCCAGGTGTCAGTAATGGTCCTACACATCACCAAAATGGTGGACGCATGGTAAATGGTGGATCAACTGGTCCACCCCCACCACCATCACAATCTAGTAAACCTTCCCGACCCTCCTCAGGACTGGGAAGAAGGGAGAGTGTAGAAAATGACAGAAACTTAGCCAAGTCTAATACCAGCGTAGCCAACATAACCAAGTCACTTACCAATTTACATGCGGCAAAGAGTAATACCAACAACCAAAATTATGCAGGGGGCGCCACTAGGACTCAACCCCCACCGCCTCCTAGTAGACCCGCACCAGCCACAGGTCGTCCATCTAGTATGGTTGGTCGACCACTACCCCCAACACCACAGACCGCTAATGGTCCAGCAGCTAGTGGTCCTCCAAGAGGGGCACCTCCCCCTCCCCCAAGACAGGCACCATCAGGTCCTCCCCCAGGAAGACCATCTGCACCACCACCTCCAGTTAGAACAACATCGACCCAGGGTGGAGGGAACACTAATACATGGCGGTCTGTCGTCCCTGCAGTCAGACCTCCTCTTCCACCACGACAAGATCCCCCTCCACCTCCCCCTCCTCACAGTGGTCGACCACCACCACCACCTGTAACACCAGTTCCTCCTTCAGCCAATAGAAGTAGAGCATCTCTAGGATCTAATATATATGGTGCCGATAGTAAGTAACCTCTTTCCATATTTATCAGGACAGACATTTGATACATTGCTTAATGAAGAGGGGATGGGTGGTCAAATGGTCTAAAGTGTGCCATTGAGTCAAACAGCATGGTTTTGTTCCCAAGGAGTAGGGAGGCCTGCCTAACCTTGTGGGTTCCCTCTGGGTACTCTGGTTTCCTCCCATAGCTAACGACCCCTACATGCAAGTATAATATTAAGATAAAATTGTACCATGTTGTTTTGTGTCGCTTTCTCTGCTTTATGAAAGTAAACATACTTTTAGATGCTCTTTTTTCACTGTTAGAGATTTGCCGGTACATTTTGTTGCTGCATTGGTCGAGAAAGTTCAGATTTTTCGACGTGGTTGCCCCTTGTCAGTGATGCAGGACGAAGGGCCGGACAAGGGCAGCTGTCTATAAGAGTAGGCCGTAGTGCCCCTGTTCGGGCAAAATTGCCCTCATAGCACACTGTATGGCGTATGCCCTTCTCCATAAACCCAGTTCGGAGCAGAATAGTAGGACGTTAAACCCCATTTCATTTCATTTTCATTTTTATACGCCCACATTGAAATGTGGTCGTATATTGCCGTCGCCCCCGTCCGTCCGTCTGTCGTCCACAATTTCTTGTGAATACTCTACAGACTACATTTATTATCTGATTGTTTTGAAATTGTTATATGTTGTTTGCTTTAGTGAGATGAAGAAGCCTATTTAATGTCCGTTAATTTCTTCTGGAGTTATGGCCCTTGTTTCACTTCGTTGCACCTTGTGAATGCTCTAACGACTAAAGTTATCAACCGATCTGTATGAAATTTATATGCATCATTTAAATTAGTGAAACGAAGAAGCCTATTGAATTTCAGCAATTTCCATTAATTACATCTAGAGTTATGGCCCTTGTTTCACTTTGTTGAATCTTGTGAATGCTCTAATGACAACAGTTATCTTCCGATCTGTTTGAAATTGATATGCATCATTTAAATTAGTGAAACGAAGAGGCCTATTAAATTTCAGCAATTTCCGTTAATTACGCCGTGAGTTATGGCCCTTGTTTCACTTTGTTGTACCTTGTGAATGCTCTAATAACAAAAGTTATTATCCGATCTGTATGAAATTTATATGCATCATTTTAATTAGTAAAACAAAGAAGCCTATTGAATTTCAGCAATTTCCGTTATTTACATCTAGAGTTATGGCCCTTGTTTCACTTTGTTGAATCTTGTGAATGCTCTAATGACAACAGTTATCATACGATCTGTTTGAAATTGATATGCATCATTTAAATTAGTGCAACGAAGAAGCCTGTTGAATTTCAGCAATTTCCGTTAATTACGATCTGTATGAAATTTATATGCATTATTTGAATTAGTAAAACAAAAAAACCTGTCGAATTTCAACAATTTCTGTAGATTACTTCCAGAGTTACGGCCCTTGTTTTAGTTTTTAGAACCTTGTGAACCCTCAAACCACGAAAATTATAATGTCATCTGTATGAAATTGTCTATTAAATGCCCCTAATTACCTTTAAAAGAATAAATATGGGACAACCGTTGTCGATCGCTCGGACAATTTAGCTGCTGTGGGCGTACGTTTTGTTGCCTGGCAACCTATCTTACATTTTTTTGCATCTTAAATAAAATGATAATAATGACTTTATTTAAGAAAGGTTGAAGATTAAGCTAAAATAATTGATTATGTGGGTTGAAAATTTTTTAGAGGTCTACAGGACAGTGGCATCTGACATTTTAAAATAGAAGAGATTTAATTTCTGTTACTGTATCTGCTATTACTGATATTATTAATTTTTATTTTCATTTTTCAGGTTTTGAACAAAGATTTAAATTTCATAGTTCAAATGAATTTCCTCCTCCAGAAAAACTAAACATTGGTTTAAAAACGTTTCCTAGTGAGAGCACACGAAGGCCTTGTAAGTTGATTGTTGTTATTTTTTTGTTGTTTTTTTTGTAGCATGAAGGAATATTTTTGTTGATTAAATTCTAAAATGATGAATGAACCATTTGCTAACAGTCATTCAAGTAATTTTGTCTATTTTCAAGGATTTTTCATATCTTGATCCTTTATGTCAGCGCTGGTGCCAAGAATGCAAAAATTGCTTCAATTTATCCAGTATTCTTTTTGTCAGTTAGTTTACAATGTAAATTCAAATGGTAGGACATAATAATATTTGTTGAGCATCTCTAACCCTTTTTGAACAAAGAACTGCTTGCATACTCTTGGTATTCTTCCCGTGTTCTTGTAGCGACAATCTTCAAAAAGGGCCAATGACGCTACCAATTTGACTACGATGGACATGGAACTTGGCATTCTTATTCTTAAGGGAATTGTGCATCATTTGACAGACTTATTGAAATATAAATATACCATGTTTGTCCTGAATTGACCAGGCCCTGAGTCTACAAAGCATTCTTAGACTTAAGAATTTACTCAACTTTCAATCACTATTAAATATTGTTGATCCAGAAACACAAAACTTTGCACATAGTTTCTTATTGATGTATTTGATACATTACCACAACAAAAGTTTTATAAAAGACTATAATATTAGTTAAAATAAGGCGACTCACAATTTGGAGTAAATTCCTAATTTTAGTCTAAGAATGCTTTGTGTTAAGTGGATGTTAAACCTTATTTGTTTCTTTCTTTTTTTAATGACAACTAATTTTCTTTATTTTTCAGCCAATCAACAGCGACGAGCTCCTCCACCCCCACCACCACGATAATAAACGTGTTGATCTTTAACCTTTAGTCTTATTAGCACAAACTGTGTGACGTCAAAAAATACTTTGTTACTGTGTTTATATAGAAAACTTGATGAGTGCAATCAGTGATTTTATATCTTCTTCGAGCTTGTCATTATTATAGAAGGGTTGAAGATAGAAGTGTCGAGGATAGCTCAAGAACGATTTGTTCAAAACCCCAGGATATTAATACAATGTGACTGAAACTCGCTAAATACGAAGACTGATATATATTTTTAGATTCTGTTAAAAGATCTACAATGTCGTTGATACCGAGAAAGAATTGTTATTGATACAGATTATATTTTTAACATATTAGGATTCGGTGTAATATGGCTTCCGTTTTATTTGAGCAATTCTGCTCTTTAGCTATTAAGCAATTGTTGATAGTCTTAAAAACAGTATGACTATAAATGTATAGCTCATTTTTATATGCCCACATTTAATGTGGATGTCTGTTGTTGTCACCTGATTCCATAGGTCCATCAAACATTTCTTGTGAAAGCTCTAGGTACTACAGTTCTTGTTAGGTTCTTTTTCATATTTGAAGGATTATTCATGTTAAGGTAGAGATGAACCTTATTGAAATTTCAGAGTTATCTCGACTTTGATGTTCATACTTATGAAATCTTGATAATGGACATGTATGTCGTTCTAAATTGAATTTTTGAAAACTCATGGAAGCTTTCATTGGGTTATAATAAAGAATATTATTTAGGTATATCCTTCATTTACATTGAAATTCATGAAATCGTGTGAGCACGATTAGAGGATAAAGCGCTTGATGATATTTTTTTAAAATGCTTAGTGCAAATATTCATAGAACAGGCAAGATTCTAATCGAATTTCGTAGTTTTCAGACTATAAATTGCAAACATATTTTGTGAAGTTCTCTTTTTGTCAACTTTTTTACTTTAAGAGCTTAGTCCGAAATTAACAATGTATTTTTTTTTATTTAAAACTTGTTCTGTAGGATTTGTTGACAATGATTTTAGTGCTGGTGGGTGTAAGTCTCAATATTAATATTATGCAAGTTTTTTATCAATTGATCCCATATAAAAATTGGCATTCCTTTAGTGGTTCTTAAATAGTTAATTGCAAACTTGTTCCATATACATGTTAATTCCCTATTTTTGTAATCAACCCGTTTTAATTCAATATACTGAGATGCAATGAAAATACTTTTTTATGGATGATAGTTTGATTGCAATTAAGAATGTAACAACATCAGATCACGATGATAACTCACGGGAATAGTGTTTTCATGATCATGTCAATGTACCATAACATATATTATTACTGGACGAATATGTTGAAAATCAGGATTTTATGGTGTACACAGGGGATATAAAATTTGATTTAAAAAAGTTAGGGTCAGTAAAACGCCGACAGCACATTAATTCAGGATGGCATGGGGGCTAGAGTCGTCGCTTGAAACTTTGAATGCCATCATGAGACTGACCGATTGTTTCCAGTAGAGATCAGTCAAGGCCTGGACAGCAATGGTTCACTATGACTCGGTTCGATCAGCATCATCTGCCAGATTGTACAATACACGCTATTCGCACACCTGCTATACATACACCCGTTCGGACTTGCTATCATCCCCAGGTTTTTTTTAATTTCTTGTATCATTGTGTCCATTCTACAATCCTGCCAAATGTTAGATTTCTGGCTAACACTTCCAGTCAAATCAGTGGAGCTTTTCATTGCATCTGAGTATATTTACATAATAATATAAATGATATTATAGTAAAATAAACAAAAAACGTCTATAAATAAACAAATTACTGTATTTGAATCATTGTGCTTGAAAACGAGGAGATAATCATTGTAGAAACATAGCTCTGATTAAAATACAGTAATTGTTTATCCATAGAACTTTGTGTTTATTTTAATGTGTTCAATTACTAAATGCCATTTAGGACTCGGCTCTAAGAGTTTTTACTCCCGTCTTTCACACTCTGAGCAACAAATTCAAGGAAAGAGAATTATTATCTCTTGATTAACAAATTACTGAAGTAGACTTTTATAAAAACTATCAACAGTTGTTTTAATGAAATATCTTGATTCCTTGTCATATCTTAAAAGTGTGTTGCTGTAAGGCCAACAAAAGCTTTTTGAAACCTTTTTATCAAAGGAATAGGTGGCTTAATAATATTTCATAGCTAGAGGGTTTTGTTGTGGAAATTTAGCACAAAATTTGAAAAGAAAATTTTTGTTTGGATTTTTTTCTCTTTTTAGTTGAAAATTGTGCTAATGCAAAATACAGAACACCCTGTCCTTCAAGTAATAAAAAGACTTGATGATCCTAAAAAACTTTTTGGTGCATGATTTTGACGCTTGATCATCGAGTCCCATTTTTTTGCAGAAGGTCAGAGGGTAATTTACGCAGACCTGTTAAGATGACTAATGTTTTATTGTACCGGTATATAAAACATATATATATAGCATAAACATAACAAAACCTTCATTCCATATCTTTTACTTGTAGTATATAAACCATTATTTGAACAGTGTATGTATATCTGTTTGTTTACCTTGATGGTATAAATAATTACTTACAATATATGTAATATAGATCTAATACAAAGTAAAACATTATGTACATAGAAAAAGTGTAATGAATGAAGAAATTATGCACTTGTTTATAATAACTGTACTATAAATTATATACCTATGTGATTTTAATCTTATTTATATAAAATATCTCAATAAAATGTTGTATATATTTCTATCAATTTTATATCTTTTCTCCTCTTGTAAGTATTTTAATTACATACATAAGTATTTACAGTGTATGTGGATTTTCCTGTTCTATAAATATAAAAGGGGAAATACGGGAATACAAATACAATATATATATATCAAAGAATATGATGTCACAATTCTATTTATCAAATAGCAATGCTGGATTTTTTTTTGATTTTTTTTTTTGTTGTTGTGAAGTTTGGCCTTGGTATTCGCTTCATGCTTATTTGTGGATTTAGATATGAACCATCCTATTTAATGTATCTCCTCTCTGCTCACCTGTGTGCTCAACTTAATTATTTAATGCCACGTTTTATGAAAGTTGTAGACCTTTTTTCGTACAGACCTGCAACTCATTACCCTATGTGTAATTAATTCTAGCACTATTAAAAGTAACTTGTAATTTATTTATTAATGATTCCATTTTACAAGTAAATGTGTGCATAACACAAGCATGTCCCAAAGAAAATCACTAGTATAACAAGTATTGTGCAGTGTAAATCAATGTTTGCAGCTTCATATGTTAATGTCCATTGATCTTAAATGAATACATATACAGTTGTATTAAGAATGTTACTTTAGAGTATTACGGCCACACCAATTTAAATTTTTGTTCATCAGGAACACCTTTTAAAATTTTACTTCCTGCAAAAAGCAAAAATACTTGATTGCTCAAGTAGTTTTTACTTTCCAAATGTTTCAAGTTTTGAAATTATAAACAAAACATCATTGATGGTTGGCTATTTATTTATCAAGGCCTCTGAAAACTAAAAATTAAATTGGTTTGACCCAAGAGAAATAAGCATTTAATTTAACAATTATCATCAGGTATTTGCGTTTAATGACAGCATGTTATCTGTTTACACAATGATTAGTTTAAAAATGCATGATTTTTTAAAATACTGGCACTATTTGTAATTTGATTTTGGGCGTATTTTTTGTTATACAAAAGCTAAGCTGTCCGTCTACAATTAACTCCCCTTGAGAACAGACAAAAAGTTTATTGACCGACATTTTAATTCCCAGATCGACTAGTCACATGGTATCACTTCAAGCTACATCAGTACGCTGTACAAATATGGCATGATATATATTTGACATATTGAAATTTCTCACTTTGTCAAGTATACCCTATGTGATTATAGATATGTTGTCAAATACGCCCAAGGATTGTGTATGGTTAAATTACTAATTAAAGGTACATGTATTACAAATTGGTTCAAGACGAGTCTGACAATAACTAGTTTCTGTAAAGATTAATGTCTTTCCAGATGGAGACGATGTAATATACATATGTTATTAACAATGAATTAAGAATATCGTAATAGTTTACAAAGTGATAACATTTAACTGCTGAATAAAAAAAAAACAATTATGATTTATTACTGGTACTGGATCATTTGCAATATTGAATTTCTACAAACAAAATTTCGTAATGAATTTTAACAGGGTTATTATTAAAAGAAAATGAACTGAGCGCTAAAAGTCTTATTGTTAGTACAAGGTAGTGAGGTTTATATGTCAAGTGTCATATATGACACTGTAAAATAACCTCATGCTTTACAATATAAATTGAACTGAGCGCTAAAACTCAATCATTGTTATGTATACGATGTAATTAAGTACACGGTAGTGAGGATTATAATGTCAAGTTTCATTAGACACTGTAATATAACCTCATGTTTTATCTCTTCTTTAGATATATAGGTTTACTACTTATATATCTAAGTTATAAATATATAAATACGTATAGATATTATATATATATATATATATAATCTCCTTTAATTGGGGGAAAAGATGATTCTTAAGTAATTTTTGAAATAAATTTTCAAAATAGAATATTGTTTGTTTTGTGGGGGGATATGTTCTGCTACTTTGACATGGTTCTGATTGGACCTTTGTCTTTTAAATTTGAAACGATCGTGAAAAACTTAACCGTTAGTCAATGGAATAGACACATTCTTGGTCGTCTGATTTGCTTAAAGGGGCAGTCTCAAATATATTTTAGTGGTTAAAAACTCGCAGGAACCTAGTTTTATCATAGTCTTGTGTGTGTTTTATGTGAACAATCGTCACAATATTCAAAATGGCAAATATCATTTCAATATGGGAGCACTGAAAAGACTTAAAGGACAATATTGGTGGTATTCATTATCACATATGTGATAGAGCTGGTTAAACACATTCCAAATATAATTTTAACACAGAGATCATTGCTACGATAGCTGAGTAATACAGGTTTCCTGAATCGGAAGTGACGAACGCCAAAGGAAAACATGAGTCATACCTCTATATAACTGACTGATGTGACGAGTGATAACAGATACACAGCCGAATTTCTGCTCACTAATAATTCCTTCCAAGACCAAAAGTTGTTATATAGGACTGTTTTCCTTTGGCGTTCGTGACTTCCGATTCAGGAAACCTGTATTACTCAGCTATCGTAGCAATGATCTCTGTTAAAATTATATTTGGAACATGTTTAATTAGTTCTATCACATATGTGATAATGACTGACACCAATATTGTCATTTAATATGAGGCTTGCTTGTCCTTAAGATTGAAACCGAATTTTAATGGTTTGATGCCAGTGAGAACATTCTAGTCCTGTGTCTTAATCACATGACCAGGTTAAATAACTCATTATAAAGAACAGTCTCTTAAACTTCAATTTATTGAAGATCCCCTACCAGGTACATCTATATGAAGATCAGCATACCCAGTACACATATTTTGAAGATTCCCATGGTTCATATATACTCTTCAAAAAAAGTAGGGGATATTCAGAAACAATACAAAACTGGGGAAATGCACTGCTGTTTTTATTAGAGGTAACAAGTGTATGTTAATAACAGGCCAATTGCCTACACATGAACAGTTCATATGGGCGGCTTATCTGATGGCCTCATTTCACTCGCAAAACGATACACTGTCAAAAGTGAAAATGGACATTTTTAATTTTTGTCCTAATAATGAGTAATTGCTCCCCCAATCCTCAGATATTCATCAATTCATCGTGTCATGCTCCTAATCAACCGTCCAATCAGTATTTGGGGCAATCAGACCCACCCCTCTTGCAGTGCCACAGCCAATTCTTGCAGTGTTGACGTTGACGTCGACGAACATGTCTTCCGATAAAATTAAACGTAACACACTAAAGCAAAGATATGCTAAACAGTAAATCTTATGCAAGAACCGATAGGAAAGCAAACATGGTTACGATAAACCAGCACGCGGCAGTTTTATCAATCCTTCCTTGAAGTATCAAATTTGACAATGAACCCCTCCCACGTGTATGGCGCTATTGCGTGTCGCATGTGCAGCTCAGTGGTTCTGTTGGAGTGATAAGTTCTTCATCTGTGAACATATTCTCAAAGCATATTCTCAAAGTGCCCATGACTATTTATCATATCACAACCTGCATAGATATTTGCATTTCAATATCCCCTACTTTTTTTGAAGAGTATATATTGAAGATCAGTATACCCAGTACACATATAATGAAGATCCCCATACCAGATGCATCTATATGAAGATCCCCCTACCCGGTACACATATACTGAAGATCCCCCTACCAGGTACATCTATAAGAAGATCAGTACACCAGGTACACATTGAAGATTCCCATACCCTGTACACATATACTGAAGATCCTCATGGTACAACATTTATATTGGAATAACTTAAACCATAATTTTTAAATGATTTATTCAATTTGTACAAAATAATGACATAAATTCTTCTTTAAGATTCTCCCATAAAAATTTTCTCACATCAATCTGAAAGTGCAAGAGGAAACATGAGTATACATTTGGTAAAAGTTTGAAGAAGTTTAAAAATGTTTCTTCAAAATACTTCTTGAATGATGAAGCTCTTGGAGAGAATAATAAGGTTAAAATGTTAAAAGCTAAACAATGGGTATTAACAAAGAGAGAGAGAAATGAGGTTTAACGTCCACTCGACACAAACTAGGTCATATGGTTCTATTTTATTTCAATAATTCGCTTGCACATAGGGGTCTTTAGCAGTGGCAGGAAACCCGAGGACATGGAGAAAACACAAAAGGTTGGACAGGCGACCCTACTCCTTGTCACATACAACCGGGGAACTGAAACCACCCCAGATGACTCAATGGCAGACCACATGCAAACCATTCGGCCATCCAACCTCCGGGTATAAACAGCCAAAAACTCCAATAAGCACCTTCAATATATATACAATTATAACTTTTTAGGCAAACTTGGAAACACAGACATTGTCAGGCACAATTCCTCATTTTGTCTGGCACTGGGGAGCCACGGAGACTCAGTAAGATGCTGGGGAGCCAACCTGGACGTCTCGTGTTCGATCCCTACGTTGGCTGAGAAAGTTCATCAGGATTTTCCAGCATGGTTCCTCCTTGTCAGTAGTCCTGGACTGAGGGCCTGGCAAGGGAAAATGTATATTTGTTCGGATGGGGCAATAAAAACCTAGGTCCCGTATACACATTAATGTGTGCGTAAAAAATCCCTTGGTAGTTGGAATTCGATATAAGAGTAGGCTTTAGCGCCCGTTTGTTCTAAAATTCCCTTATAGCAGACTGTATGGTCTTCATTAGCCCAGTTGAAGCAGAACATTAGGATGTTTAACCCTTAAACACCATTTCATTTCATTTTTATCTGGTACTATTTGACTATTTCAGTGTTTTTATTAATATCAATATATGGCCACGAACTGATTTCCATGGAGATCATGATTGAAATCCACAGATGTAAAAATAATTCTGCCAATATTATTAGCTAAAACATTCCATTAAGAACTTTCTTCTGTATTGTGTTCGCAAGCTTTCATAAGTTAGGACGTAATAGGCAAAAAAAGGGAACAATCTGTAAAGCATTTCGTGGGTGAAGTGTCAAAAGGGTGTATCTAAGAATTTCTAAAGATTAAGAAATAGAACCTTTTACATTTCAAAATTTCCACAAATCAAGATACAACATTTGGACACATGATACCCAGAACAGTTATAATTGGCGTACAGATACACAGCTTAGACAGAAATGTGCATATTAATTGGGAGATTTTAAAAATGTAAAAAAGTGTATTTGACTAATTTCCCGAGATACACCCTTTTGACACTTCACTGACGATTTGCAAGAAAAGTTTGATAGATCAACAGAGGCAATTGACGACAAAATATATCCACATGAAAATGTGGAAGTATACAAACTATTAACAGACTTACTTATTGGTTCTTTACAAACGACAGTGTACAAGTACTGGTAAACTTCAAATTCTTAGAACAACTGATACCACAGCACTTATTATTTGGGAAATTTACATAGGTGACTAGTCAGTCATAACGTCAATTATTTAATAGTGTTTAATTTGTCTAATTAAATTCACCAATGTTTGGCACAAAATAGCCCAGTTGGAGCTGACGTGCCATAAAACTCCATTTCATTCATTCATTCATAGGTGACTATGTTGGCTAAACTTAAATTTAATCAAATTATAATTTATAACTACCTTTGGTAATTTTGTTTTGACTAAATGTGGATTTCTACAGAAGTTTTTTAGTTGTTTATAGAGTTGATTTGGTGTGTTGTATAGACAGGAGGCTGTTGAATATAAAACAAATATTAAATTATAATTCTTTGATATTATTGTTCACAGCTAGGCTTAGTGCTATAATATAGTATCTTATTATTATAATAATACAGCTAATTAAAAATAATACAAAAACACAACACAATGTATAGATTGTTTTCCATATAAAATGTGTTGTGTTTTTTTTTTGTGTACAAGTGTTAAATGTCACTCAAGGATTATAATTTAAAATCCACTTAAGAGACTGATACACGCTAATTTCATTAGAAATTTCGATGTTTTATAATTGTGCTAAACATGAAACAATTTCTTTTAATTAATTGCCAGAAACATTGACAGCATGAGATTGTTAAAAATATTTAATTTTTTTCTATTTCAATGATATATCTCGATATAATAGGAATCTTTCAATTTTGGTGTATTTTTGTATACTTTCTCTTTATTTAGTTGTGTACTGTAGTTCTCTTGTATTGTCTATTAGAATGACAAATGCTGTTGAATAAGACACATTGAAATACAGATGTGACGTCATCTTTTCATGTTGGCATACCATTATTACCAAATAATGTACCCGCGACATGTCAAATGTAATTATTTATACTAGATGAATTATTGGAAATGCATGTGTGGGATAGTGTGTGTATTTTAAGTTGTTTAATGGTCTCAAGCAAGACATTGCGTATATTGAAACAACATCTGGGGTAATGCTCTCGTGCAGTATTAATATATTACTCAAGTCTCCCTCGAGCCCAATAAACCACATATAATCTTAAAATGCAACAACCAGTCATAGTTACCTGGGAATATTTCTGGATAAACAAGTCTATTTGGACATAAAGGATAACATCCATAATATGTAGCTTCTAACCTTCAAATAAAAACACAGAAAAAATACTCAATGTTTTATATTACATTAAAGGCCCTCCACTATATAGTGGAAAGACAACATGTTTCTACAGCTTTCAATGTATAGATAAACAACACTCTATTACAATCCATGCATTTAGAAGAGGCTGATACTGCAAATACATTTCTGTGAAAATGTAATCCAAATATCTCAAAGAACTAAGAATATACCGAAAACAGACAAGTCATTGACTTTTAGTCAACAGAATTTCATGAAAGCAAAGCTTTGCAATATACTACATGTACACTGTGATAAATTTCAATCAAATATCTCAAAATTTAATTTTCAATTATTTTCTGGAAAAGAAAAATGCCGGACTGCAGACAGACGGGTGGATGGACAGCAGCATAACCATTAGTAGTTTCACCCATAGGTGACTGACAAGGTTTTAGATCAATTCAAATCCATAATTTATTGTGACTAAAATCAAAATGCTTTAGCAGCGTTAATTAGCTTCTTTAAAGCAATAGAGATTTTGTGAATGCTTTGCACGATGGTAATTTGTTTTTTTCAATGACTTGACTTTAGGGTTGAAGATTCAAATTACTGCAGATAGAGATGTTTAGATTCATGAATTGTACAAAGTTTTTAGTGGTTTTCAACACAAAATACCTTACTGTCAAAAGCAGAGTGCTGGGAGTTTCAAAAATGAGAAGGGAGTAATCAGCCTCTCTCTATATTTTATGCTCTCAGAATCAGCAAATAACAAAAAAATTCTCTGAAAAAAAGGTACAAAACAAAACTGTACATGTACTACGTTTTTATGCAGAATTTCTTTTGGTCACAAAACATTTTTTCAAATATATTTACATGGCTACTCCAAAAAATTCATGAAGAGCAGTTGATACTGTGATGTCTGCCTGTTGTAAAACTTTATAATATTCATCTTTACTTTCTAAATATCCCCAATTTATTATATGTGATGATAATTTCTCTTTAGCTTCACCAAATATATCTATAACAAATATAACATATCTATAAAAAATATAACATATCTATAAAAATATATATCTATAAAAATATAATAATTTGTTATATGTCATGATAATTTCTATTTAGCTTCATCGAAGCTATTATAAAAAATATATAATATATTTTAAAAAAATATATAAAAAACATATCTATAAAATATCTGTAAAAAGTATAATAATATATCTGTAAAAAAAACCTTTAATAATATATTCACAACATATGTAAATATATTTAACATACCTGGTACATCCGTAAACATTTCACCTAATACAGACAGATTAAAGGATAATCCTGATTCATCTAGTTGATATAATATTTTAAATAATGTATCAGGATCTTTATCATGTTCCCTGTAAGTTAGAAAAAATATTAATATTTTGAAGTCTAAAATCTTCTTTAATTGTAAAAATCTAGTAACTTCAGTATAATTTCGATCAGTGTTAGCCTCCCAATATCATAGTTAGATTGTATGATAGCCTATATCCAAAGCACTGTTAGCCAACCCAAGGAAGTCTTTGTTTCTGCCTATAGCCTTATTCTCTATCTCTACGCTACCTTCTTTATATAACTCTCTCTCTTTGGTCTAATTATGAGTTATCAAAGTCTCCCCATGGTAGTCTTTGTTTTGTCTCTTCACAGACTTTTTTAGAGTCAACACAAAGTCTTGGTTTAGTAGTAAATTCAAGTCTCCAATTGGTAGTCTTAGTTTTGTCTCTTTACAGATATCCTAGTCTCCAAACAAAGTCTTTGAAGCAGTCCTTCATGTTTATAAAATTGTGCCGGAGCCATAAAAAGCTCCTGATACCTTGAATATATGCAGTTTAAAAGTAAACAAAAACTGAAAGTAGTTTATTAATCTCAATATTTAGGAGAGCGATTTAGCTAATTTGCAGGAGTCTTTAATGACTCCTTCGAAGGAAAGCCGACGTGCATCGAGAGGAGCAGGAGCGAAAGCTCCCCTTAAACGTGACGAACTGTTGAAGTCTGCCCAAGATAGTCTGAGTTTGGTCTCTTCACAGAATCCTCAGTCTTAATCTCACCATGCTAGGCTTAGTTATGCCATGGTAGCCTTAAGTCTGATTTATGCATCTTAAAAATCCTGACTATACACAGTCTTCTCATAGTCCCCACAAAAGATTTTGCCCCCCTCCCCAGTCGATACGCCTGAGAAATATCTTGCCTTCTGGCAGTTATTTCAATGATATTGATTAGAACTATAAAATACCTACCATCTATGAGCCCACAAAATATGTAAAACTTTACTAGGTGTTTTATAACTTAAAACAGATTGATCTGTAGAATTAACGTCATCACTATGGTTACTGCTGAGGTGGACAGAATAATTACATTGTCTATCTCCAGGAGAATTACTAACAATATTGTCTAATTTCTGTCTTTTAAGGTCACAGAGATTTGGTTCCTTATTGTCATCTTTATTAGTTTCTTCAATATTTACTTGAGGTATTATAGAACTTTCTTGACATTCACTCATATGTGTCATACATTCTTTAGTGATTTTATTATTATCAGTTTCTGATATTCTTGTTTCCTCAGCTACTTCCATTTTGATTAAATCTTCACATTCATCCCCTATCTGATCACAATTTGGGGATGTAGTTTCATTAGTAATGTCATTATTTAACATAACTATTTCATTAGTAACATCTTTTTCATGCAAATCTTCAACTGCTGTTGATTGAGGTGATAGATTATCAGTAAATTTAAGTGGAAAGTAAATGACTTTGCATTTAGGCCGAATCTTTTCTTCTAGTTTTTTTGGCCGATGATCTGGGATTAACTTTAGAAACGAATTTATTGATGTTGAAAATGATTCCATATTGTATTTTGAGTTGAATATAATCACATCTGCTACCAAACTGAAAAAAAAAAAGTTACCATTACAGGAAATGAAATGAAATTTGATTTAACCTCATACTTCATCATCGTTCAGATGGGACGAAAAACCGAGGTCCCGGGTACACATTTGCGTGCACGTAAAAGATCCCTTGATTGTTGGAATTTGATATAAGAGTAGGCCGTAGCGCCGTTGTCCGGGTAAAATTTCCCTCATAGCACACTGTATGGCGTATGCCTGTCTTCATTAGCCCAGTTCAGAGCAGAACAGTAGGACCTTAAACCCCATTTCATTTCATACTTCATCATTCAGGTTAATGAGATGTGCATACGCCATCCAGTGTGCTATAAGTGAAATTTTGTTTGCTTGGACACTGAGTGTTCCCACCTACTCTTCATGGAATTCCAGCTATCAAGGATTCTTTTATGAGCACCTGAGTTTTTGTACCATCTGGACAACTAGGCCCTTTGTCCTGAATCACTGATAAGGGGAAAACAAGCTGAAAAATCCTGAGAAACTTTCTCAACAAAAATTAGTTCAGACCTAGTCTGAACATGGTGCTGCTAGGCATACCCCATCCAGTGATTGTAACATTGAGTAAGACTCACTCATTACAGGTCATTTTGGGACTAACAAAGGGTACAACTTTATTTCAGTAATTTGCTTGCAAGTAGTTTTTTTTAATACTGTACCAAGATAAAATCTGATTATAGCCATATTGTAAATAAGTAATCTAAATAAATTATTTTTAAATCACTAGTGGTAGGAAACCGGAGGACCCGGAAAAAAACCACAAGCTCAAAATGTCAAAAATGTATTAGCAAATCACCAAATTTATTTTGTCTTTGACGACATATTAACATTATGAGCTCACCATGTTAAAATCTGATTATAGCCATATTGAAAATCTCTATTCTGCTGCTTTCTAACTGGATAAACAAGTTGGTTTTCATGAAAGTAGATAATCTTTTTTAATGGAAGTAAATCTGGTCGTAATGCTACCAACTCAGATAAATTTAACACAGAACTTGCAAACAACACTCTGAAATAAATAATAATTAAAATATTAAAGATTAAAGATTTTATGTAGAGAAATGAAATGGGGCTTAACATCCTACATTTCTGCATGGAGACATATCCCTTGCAGTGTTCCGTGAAGGAAATTTAGCCCAGACAGCAGCGTATGTTGCCAACTCGGCCCACTCTTCATCAAATTCCCACAATCAAGGGTTCTTTTACATGCGAAAGGAAATGAAATGAAATGGGATTTAACATCCTACTGTTCGGCTCCTAAACTGGGCTAATGAAGACGGGCCTACGCCATACAGTGTGCTGTGAGGGAAATTTTGCCCAGGCAGCGGCGCTACGGCCTACTCTTATATCGAATTCCAACTGCCAAGCGATCTTTTGCGTGCACGCCAATATGTACACAGGACCTCAGTTTTTCGTACTATCCGAATGACTAGACAGCTGTCCTTGTCAGGCCCTCCATCCTGCATCACTGATAAGGGGAAACCATGCCCGAAAATCTGGATGAACTTTCTCAGCCAGGGATCGAACACCCGACCTCCAGGCTAGCGAGCCAGCGTCTTACTCACTTAGCCACGTGATCCCCAACTCTTTTACATGCACACAAATGTGTACACAGGACCTCAGTTTTTTTTATACCATTCAAATGACTAGACAATGTTTCTTGTCAGACCCTCTGTCCTCCAGCCCAAACAAGGTGAAACCAACACATAATCTACCAGCTACAATCCGCATTTCCACGCATAGGTCTTTATGGGTGGCATGGGGCTAGTAGTGCCAAATGTACCTGTAGACCTTTTTTTGCATATTCATTTCCCCCCATATCCCATCACACCCTTCCCTTGGTTTCCTGTAAATGTACAGTTTAGCCTAGGTAACCCAAGAGTGAGTACCGGTAACTGTATCTAAACTATCTTGGAACACTGCCTTGGTCTTTAAGTCCCATCAAAATTGTCACAACTTTTCAGAATTTTCCCAATCCTTCTTGAATTAACAGAATTTGATTGACATAATTATGATCAATTAATTTCCATAATTTCATATTAATATTTACATACTTATATTTATGTGAAACTGGTATAACCTGACTCAAATACAGTGAGGAAGTCCTGGCTTTCCAGTGCCATTTTTTAGCTGGCAAAGTAAACAATTGACAGTCACTCACTTCCCTGCATAATAAGTCAATTAATTGTTTATGGGAGCCACCATAGAAAGGTTCTATTATTAATTTGTTTGCCATAGACATTATGTTTAGCTTATATGAGTAGCTTGTAACAAATATGCTCTGAACTTGTTGAAGACAAATTTCATTCATAAATTCTTCAAGGGAAATAACTGTGTATTACAAATTATAAGGGAGAAAACTCTTCATAATAAAAAAAAAATGAGTGCTGTACTTCAACTGATTTATTCTCCATTGATATCGAGGAAACCAAGTTGAAATTTTGTGCATGAATTTAGGGAATAAGAAATCTATTCTTGCAGTTTTTGGGCGGTACTGTTTATATTAGGAATGTTTAGACCTACCACAAGTTAATTCTGTGTAAATACTTAAAAACACCATGGGACCCAGTTGCATGTTGAACAGGCTTTTGATTTCTTTGCCCTGTATATTTTTGATATGTCACTTTAAATAAAAGTGATAATTTTGATTTTATTTTGCTATTCCAGTCACTGTTTTTCAGTTCAAGTACATGGATTACTGCCATTCTGTGCTGTTTATTTATGAATTGGCACTTTTGAATCGCAAGCAACCACACCACAACCCAATTCAGGGGATTCATGTGTCTAAATTTGAATTTGGAAATGTTTAGGAAACAAACAGAATGTATTTGTATCTGGCAAGAATTTCTATTCACATTCACAGCAATCAGACAGACCTTAAACTTTGATATGTCATCGTTGTATTCATTTCTTATCACAATTTGAATTTGGAAATGTTTAGGAAACAAAAAGAATGTATTTGTATCTGGCAAGAATTTTTATTCACATTCACAGCAATCAGACAAGACCGTAAACTTTGATACGTCATTGTTGTATTAATTTCTTTTCACAATTTCCTGTTTAGTCCGTCTATGAACATTTGCAATTAAAATCTTCTAAACAATTAATTTTACTTCACATTATCCATAAATAAGGCCAACTACTACAGAAGTTTTAAAACAAAAAATTTTAACACATTTTTTTGTTTATGATATTTTATTCTTTATGACTAACGACATGTTGTATATATTTTTCTAAGAAATCTAGACACAATGTATGAAAATATGATACAAAACATCTTCTTTAAAGTCACCTATGGTCATTTGGTTTTCGTTTGGCTGAATGTACAAAACACAATAACATAAAGCATTATTTGATTTTCTCAGTATCTTACATTGTAAAAAAAACAAATGCATCAATACCGTATAAAAAATGAATTTTACAATGATTCAATGATGGATATATTTATAATATGATTCTACAATGTACATATTTACAATGAAGTAAAGTACAAACTTATATATGGACTTTACAAGCACTACAAACAAAACAATCTACAGAAATAGAAAAAGCCATTTAATGTAAGACAATAGGCATATATACACTCTTTTTAATTCTCTTTCTGAAATTTTATCATACAATAAAACTTTAGATTTCAATATTCTTTAAATTAGTACAAATAATGGAGATATTACAGGGGATATTCCCCAAACAAACATATAAAGTTTATCTACATTTAAGAAGTACTGTGAAATTTACAGGTGTATGTATTAATTTCATTTTGCGAGTTAAGAATAACTTAACAGTAAACATACGACTTATAACAAATATGTTTCGTTTAATGTGAGATATGGGAATCAGGATGGTAATGACGCAGGTGTCCCAATAAATCTTGAATTTGAATGGTCCAATAATCATGTGTGATTGTCATCAATTCACTAAAAAATCAAACTTGGGCATTAAGTCTATTTGACGTATCGTTTTCATCTTTTATTCCTTGAAAATATACTGTGTATTGTTATTAATAAGAAAGTTCTTCACTTTAGTAACAGATGCAATCGCCAAGCAAAAGAAATTGGTGGTATTGCATAATGCCGTACTTGCATGTTAAAGTGGGCATTTCAAAATATTTGACTATCAAAATTTTATATTACTATTTGTTGTATAATATATAGAGAATCTTCTACCAGTCTTTTTTGATATCAAAAATAAAGTAACAAAAACGAGGCTCTCCCGAGTTTTTTTTTTTACTTTATCAACGAGTGTTGATATTTTTTGATATCAAAAAAGACAAGTAGGAGATTTTATTTATCACCCAATCCCTTCTTACATGCACAAATAGATAAATATAATTCTTTGCTGTAGATTTCACTTTTACTGAACATTACGGCGTAGTGATACATCATTTTTTGACAGCAATGCAACCATTGCAAAGTCCTTTATATTGACCCAGTGTTTCCATCAAGGTCAGTTGAATAACAATAGTTCATTTTTAATAAAAAAAAAGTTACTTTTAATAAGAAATGAACTGTTCTTTGAAAATAAAAAAAGTAGTTCCTTTTCAACTGACCAATCAAATTCGTGTAAAGCACAGTTCCTTTTCAACTGACCAATCAAATTCATGACATCGCTGTAGATTATGAAATATATCACACAAGCGATATCTACTGTAGAATGTATTATTGAGTGATAAATCTACATAATAAAAACCAATTTTTATTTCCACTACTTTAAATGCTTTTAAATAAGAGTAATTTCCAGTAAACTTGTAAAATTGTTTCTTCGATGTACACTACACTATATCAATATACAATCTTATGCTGCCTCTGGTTGACAGAAACAACACTATTGTTTCGTTATTTTTTTTAGATTTGAAAAAGTGACCTCTTAAATTAACCTTGTGGGGAAAATATCTTTAATAATTTTTTTTCCAAGCTATAAGCTGTCCTACATCTGTCTATAACTGATCAATACATGACTACCAATTTTAATACAAAAATAAATTATTCATCATCATTATGGAAATCTGACAAGCTGCAGTAGAAAATAAATATTGTATCTTCATCTATAACAAAAATAGTTGTGGTGTTTAGTTCAGTTTACCCATCCAGTTATTTCACTAATGAATTTCAGATATACTAAACACTAAACTACAATTGTATCTAGGATATTATTAATTGATATTTTACAACCATGGATGCCAGGCTGGATCCATACGGCATAGATTATCATGACTTGTTGCTGCTGCTACTAACGTACTAACTCGACTTTCAGCTCCTTCAAACGTTGCTAAATCTGAAATTACCAAATAAAAAATTTCATGAAATAATGGCTTAAAGTCCACAAAGTACAAAGCCAACAGGTATTATATTGAATAACAACTGTGGAAATTGGTTGCTATTGGACTTACAAATCGACCCAAACTATAAAGATTATTGCCAGAAGTCCAAGTTGTCCAATATCAACCCCATAGCTTGTTCATGTGAAACTCAAACCAGGTGCACCTTGGTTTGGTGTTAATATTACATCAACATCAACCCCAATTAGCCCCCTGAAAACATCAATAGTTGCTCGAGGTGTGTAAGGTCTAGTATCATTTGTATTGTCTATTTTTTGTTATACAGGTTTCTTGTCTTGTCTATTACACTATATTTGAAGCCAGGACTTACTCTGTAATCTAGTAGTTATAGCTTGTACAGCTTTATTAACCATAGTTATAAGTTGAGCACCTTCCATATCTACTGGTTCCGCACCTGGGTTAGTTTCTTCTTGTTTCTATAAATAGACATTGATATTTCTACAGTTAAACCATTAATGAAAGGTTTAACATTAGGCTGGATCAATTAAAACTTTTGTTCTTCGGGAACACCTATTAAAATTATTTGTCCATTTTCTCAGAAAAAATATCAATTTTAAAAAAAAATATACTTGGTTGTTTTTCTAAAAAATACTTTAGTTCAACATTTTCAAGTTTTTAAATCTCTACAAAATCATTTTTTATGGGACTCATTTAGTGGCTTTTTATTCAAGAAGACTCTGAAGAACTAAATAGTCAATTGGTCTGGCCTTCCTTTGTATGACAAACCACAACAGAACCGCTTATTTTATTTCTGTGTTTGTGAGATACACAATGAGAAGAATTATGTTGACCTTTTTTTTTTAAAATTCAAACTGATGAGGGATATATCATTTACATTCCCAACACAAAACTTGTTAACAATAATGACTGGAAAGTGGGTAAATGACAGCTTACAAACCTTTTTATGCCATGTTATATATTCATCTCTAAGAATAGCTCGTAAGAAACTGGGTAGTTTATATTGTGGTTGTACAAAACATCTAGCTGTAGCTACCATTGAGGCTGTTAAAGGTCCTGTTACACCCATAGTTGTTAAAAACTCAGTTATATTTGGTGTTAAACGGAATGGTACAGGTCTATTAGCATCTAGTTCACCTGTAAAATTACATATTAGTAGAACAATCCAAATCACTATAAAAATGTAAAAATAATACAAAAACCTCAAGAAGTTCAAAGTCTCTTAATGGCCCATCAAATTTTAATTATAACTGTTGTCATATGGTTGCAATTACCATCAAGAGATTTTATCAAAGACTTATAGGTGATGCTGGCTTGTTTAAATCATCTGCAGACGATGTAGAATGTAGCAATATATAGGTTATGCTGACTTGCTTAAATCATCTGCAGACCATGTAGAATGTTGAAATATATAGATAATGCTGGCTTGCTTAAATCATCTGTAGACGATGTAGAATGTAGCAATATATTCAATTTATCATATTATGTTTATAAATATTAAAAGGAATTTTTTGACTGATATTCCTTTTAGTAGAGATTAAACTTCCACAATGTTATAGTTTGCATGGAATTCAAAATCCCCCAAGATTTCAGATATTTAAAGTAAACTAACCTGTTTGATCGTCAATATCAAATTTAAAATAGGAGATATTGAGAAAACCACAATCTTGATGTAGATACATCATATCAGGATTCATACGAGATAAATATAATATAAACTCAGCAAATCCCATTAAAGCTAACTGTATGGTTAACTGTAAAATACGAACATTTTAAAACTGTATAGTTAACTGTAAAAAATACAATCATTAAAGCTAACTGTATGGTTAACTGTATAAAAATACAAACACTTAGTACTGCTTTATTAACAAATTTCAAAACTTCTTCTTAATTTGTTTTCAGACTAATGATGTATTTGGACTATATATTTTGTTTTTAGATTAATATGATATTTTAAGATTAATGTCTTTTAAGACTAATATTATATATTTAGATCATTAATAATATTTTCAGATTAATATAATATTCTTAGATTAATATGAGTTAATGATAAATTTTAGACTAAAATGATAATTTATAATATAATAATTTATAATATGATAATTTTAGACTAATATAATATTTTTAGATTAATATCTTTTAATTAATATTTTTAATATTAATATAATATTTTAGATTAATACGATATTACTAAATTAAAATATGTTTTCATGAAAATTGTGAAGAACCATGTCTTGGTACAGAATGATAACAGCTATTTATAGATGAATAGAACCAATTTAATTGTAACTTACTGTTTTTCTGAATGTCCAGTAATCTGTAGCATTAAGGAAGGTATGTAAAGCCCATTCCTTTAATAAACCTCTTGGTACCATATTATTCTGTACATCTTTTAATACATCTCTTAATACTTGATGACTAGCTTGTGAACCTCGTGCTTGAACTGTAGCTAAACGTTCATAATATCTAGCTATTGGAGCATCATGTTCTGTTGCTCTTTTACTACATCTCTATAAATAATAATCAGGCAAACATTAGTCAAAATTACAACTTATTAATTTGAATATTTTGTAATATTAAAGGTGCTAAATTGCTATTCTTTGGCACCTAGAAATGGACACAAATGGATTGCACCCCATATAATAATGTAATATGAATGTATATAAACTGATTTACATTCAATCGTTTCTGTTTTTACATTAAAGATAATAACATCAATATTGATTTAAATTGACCAAAAAGTCGTGTTTGCAATGTTGAAGACTGGATGATATTGAGTTAAAGACTTAGCTACTTTAATTATTGATTATAATCAAATATTGTTGGTTTTGATTGATATTAATTGTACTTACACTTTTATAGATATCTAACAAAGATATAGATGCTGGATTATCTTCGACTAATCTCATTTGTGGTGAAACAGCCACAACTCTTGGTACAGTAAAATATAGTAGTCTCCTGCATGTCTCCTATAAAACAACGTATTCACTATGAATAGTGTCAAACTCTTTTCTATATACCAACCTTAAAAAGATCTATATCCCTGTTTCATTTAAAACTCGTGGAGACTTCTGAACCATTAGTTTAGTGTCTTGTCTGAGTTATATTACGGAATATAGTAAATAATGGAATGGGGTTTAATGTTTTACTTTTCTTCTCCAGCTGGGCTAACTATGACATGCATACGTTATGCAGTGTGCTATGAGTGTAAAATTTGCCTGGACTGTCAAGGATTCTTTCACTACACAGGGCCTTGTTGGGTTTTTTTTTGTGTGATCCGAACGACTAGATGCTGTTCCTTGCCAGGCCCACCATGCTGGAAAATCCTGTGGAACTTTCTTGGCCAACATCGGGATTAACCCTGGGGCGCCCAGATCATCGTGCCTGTGCCTTACTCACTGAGCCACTGTGATTCCCTAGAGTAAAAAAGTTATGAGTTTTACAACAAACCTTTTGTTTAGTTAGGAAATGATTTAACATTCGTAACAACTGTAAAACTCGTTCTTCTCTTCTTGATTCAGTTAAACATGCATCATTTACTACTAAATATGGATATATCTGAAATGTAATACAATTAAATAATTTATTAAACAAATATTGAAATCAGTGAGCTTTTATTACAAGAAAACACAGCATCTCTCATAATAAATTAAATTTTGACAGAATTCTTTCTTTATAAATGAATTAAAGAGTGTTTAACATTTTGCAATAAGCAATAATCTACAGATTTTGTCATTGAATGTAGCATGTTTCTAAAAAGACAAAATATATCAGAATAAGCACTATCTAATTATCAAAAAAAAGTTACATATTTTGATGTTACTGACCTTTCCATTATGACCTCTAATATAAAGTCTTCTAGCAGCTGTGTTATGTTTTTGCACAATCTCCACTCTGGGCATAAATCTTGCTATGCGTACATAATAGTGACTATGCTAAAAATAGAATAAATAAAATAATGTTATTGTTGCCTGCTGGTTAGAAGGTACTCTCAACAATTCCCCCAAAATCAATGGAAATGTTAATGACCATTTGAAGTTTACATTAGTTGTTATTGATTTTATTCTGCAATCTTCATGCAACTGCACTACATTCACATATATTTGGATGAATGCGAGACTTATAAAACAATCAAATTAAAATACCTTTGGCAATAAAAATTCCCCAGGCAATTCAACTTCAACTAAACTCAGGGAAAAGTTACTCAAAAAACGACATTTCTCTTCTATTAGGAATGATCTGTAAAAAGTACATTTCAATAAAGTACATGTCATGTCATGTAATAAATGAGAGGGTGATAAACATAAAATAAGGGTCTTTAGTAGTGGGAGGAAACAGGAAAAGAGAGAGAGAGAGAGAGAGAGAGAGAGAGAGAGCTAGCTTAACATTACTTGACACAAAAAAGGTCATTTTGGGACTAAAATATGGTTCAATTTTATTTCAATAATTTGCTACCACGTAGGGATCTTTAGCAGTGGGAGGAAACGGAGAAAGCGGGGAAAACCCCAAGAGGTTGGACAGGCAACCCTACAAGCGGGGAATCGAAACCACACCATTTGCCTCAATGACAGACCTTATGATCAAACACACATGCGTTAACCATTCGGCCACCCAACCCCCACAAAGACAATAGGTCTTATGATGTATTAAGCCCACTTTATTAGCAAAAAAAAATCTTACTTGGGCAAAAGTTTAGTTTTAGCTTCAAGGATTTTGATCCATTTCTTCAGCTTATTGATCAAATTGTGAAGCTTCTTCGAACCAGGTACGCTGGAAAATAAAAATTATTTAGAAATCTATCATCACTGAATCTTTACTCCTTTAAAATTAATTCATTATCAATACATATCTTTACTCAGTGTTATAATTACATGGCAGTATTAGTGAGTGAAAGAGGTGATGATTGCACCACATATAAACAAAACCCATAAGACAAACCACAGACCAGACACACAAGCTAGCCAACACAGACAATGCCATTAATAAACAACAAATGTATCCATCTGATAAAAAGAATGGATCCTGGGGCCAATTTAGTCCCAGGATTCAGTTAAAATGAAAACAAACTCACAATAAGGCAGGCAAACTATGAGAAAGGGCAATATTCCCCCAAAACTTGGGCAATTGACAGGAAATAAAATATATAAATTCTTACTTGAAATCAAAATCTGTGGTAAATTGGCTTTTCATCTTCTGGAAGACGGGATCTTGAGCAGTAGCTTGTGCTCGACGAGCCAGTGACTCAGACGCAGCACTAGAGAAAGTTGTAGATACACTAGAGACATTTTCTATACCAACACCAAATGTACTGACTAATTTCTTTACAAAGTTTAATGTATGAGGTGTAATGGTAGCATCAGTTACTGAAAAAAAGACAACATAAGAATTTAATCAAATTTATTATATGGAACTAAAATACTTCTTCTTAAAAAAACCCAGATCATTTAGCTATAGTTTAGTAACCCATGTTCAGATGGTGAAACTGATTTGAGGAGAATCTGTTTATTTTATCGGTTTAAATTGAGTATTTGTTCCGGATCCGCTACTCAAATATTGAAAAAGCAATATACTTCCACAATATGTTTTATAATTGTACATGCATCTGTAAGGGTTAACATATGTATTATCGTAAAAACTAAATTAACCCTTAAACACTTGGTAGATATTGACTACCTGGATGTTAATAAGAGAAACATGATATAGTTCACACCGGTATATCCCTGGACAGTCTGAAACCACCAGAAAGTACCGTTCCTTAAACTGCCTCAATGTGACCGAGATATGTTAATAGCTTTCTGTATCATAGGACTGTTTAGTCGTTGTTTGGAGTGCCACAGCTGTTTACATGACTATGGCAGAGAGCCACAGTGGTTTGGGGTAGGCCAAGGAATCAAAGTTAGGGCAGTTTCGGGATGTCCAAGGGTTAAAAGGTTAAACATTATAAATATTTACCTGCGGCTCTATTTTCAAAAGCTACAGCATGACATTTAGCTAATCCCTGTCTTAACTGTCTTAATACTTCTTCATACCAATTCTCACGGAACCAAACCATCTAAAATTAAATATTAAATTTTGTGGGGGGTAAATTTAATTTACTAATTTCCAGAGAAATGGGGTTGAACATCAAATTAACACAAAATATTTCATTTTGGGACTAACATGTACAATTTTATTTCAATAATTCAGATGTCTGTAGGTGTCTTTAGCAGTGGAGGAAACCAGAGAAACCTCACAAAGATGGACAGGCAAGACTATTCCTTTTCACATACAAACCACGCCACTTGACTAAATGATACACCTTATGATATTTGGTTAAATAATTTGCTTGCACACACAAGCTAGGCTCAAAATCTTGCCACTTAACTCAATGACAGACCTTTTGATCTAAAGCACACTTCTATTAAGAAAGACTCAAGCTACCTGATCAACTATTCCTTCTAATGATGATAATATTGTTGGATGCATGTCTCTCTGCATGTGCATTATTCTACTACATCTCCACATAGGAGCTGGTGCTTTAATAGGATTAGAATCAGATGCACCAGTTGAAGTTCTACTACCAGTAGCTGTTGTTGAACTAGCTGCCGTCGTCTTTGATGATGGTGTGCTTTCTACAATATAAAACAATAATCTCTTCTTAAATTTTAAATTATTTTTGACAATGAGCATGGTCATCCGCCCAACCTCATGGGTTTCCTCTGGGTCCTCTGGTTTCCTCCCACTACAATACACCCATACATGCATGCAAATTATTGATATAAATTTGAACCATATGTTAGTTCCAAAATGACAGAATGAATGAAACAGTTACCAGTAATTAACTCAAGTGTATGTGTATGGATTAAAGGCTATATTCATTCTGAGCATGAGAGAGTGAGAAACTAGGTCATGACAGGACTAACATATGGTACAATTTTATATCAATAATTTGCATATGTGTATGGGTCTTTAGCTGTGGGAGGAAACCAGAGGACCCAGAGAAAACCCATGTGGTTGGGTGGGCGAGCCTACTCATTGTCACTCATAAAGCATGGGTTCGAAACCACGCCATATGGCGCAATGACAAACCTTATGATGCAAAGCCCCTCCGCCAAACAACATATTTAGGTACAGGTAGCTAATATAAAGGATATTACCTGTGGGTGTGGCAGGTTCAGGTGTTGTAGGAGCACTAATAGTACCAGTAGTTATAGATGTAGTAGTAGATGGTACAGTAGTAGAAGTAATAGACTGAGATCTATTTAAACTAACACTTAAATCACTTCCTCCACTCTTATCTATAATACAAAACTAATTTCTTAACACAAAATATAACTAATTTCTTAAAACAAAATACAACTAATTTCTTAACACAAAATACAACTAATTTCTTAACACAAAATATATCAAAAAATGGGTCATGAACAAAAATTAATTATCTCTTGAAACCCTGAATCCATTAAAATACAAATAGAAGATGAAAGCAGAAAGGACATGCAGACATAGGTTTTGCATTCCAAAAATGAAACAAATTGTGGAGAAATATATCGATATATGAAAAATGATTACTGATCTAGAACATTCACATGATTCTGAAGTGATAATTGATTGTAAATTTTGCCGATTCCCAGTGGTAACGCTTCACTATAAAACCAATATCTGGGTTCAACCACCCAACCCCCTCTCACCATAGTAAAAAGAGGTATAGTGATGTTCAGGTATATTTAAATAAATAACTTACATCTTTCTCTCTGTTCTATTTTCAGTGTAAGATACAGGGTACGTATAGGAAAATAAACTGCTTGTGGATACATTCTACCAACTTGACTTAATAAATTCATTATTAAACGTCCTTCATTCCGCACCAAACATGTCAATAACTGGGGTATCCTGTAATAAAACATATAGATACTCAATATTCAACAATTAAATAATCAAAACAAGAGAGAAAGAGAAATGGAATCTTAATATTCACTCAACAGTTATTTTGAGACAGAAACATGGTATATTTCATTTAAATAATTATCTGTCAAACAGGGGTCTGTAGCAGTGGGAGAAAAATGCAAACCCTGGAGATCTCATGAGGTTAGACAGACGACCCTATTCATTGCCATGAACAAGCGTTGGATCAAACTCTTGCATCAAAGACAGATCTTTTGATGTACTGTGTAGGTAGGTGTCAGATCACCCTTGAATACAACTAAGTAATTTCTGCAATCACATAATGGCAATTCTTTATTTCAATTATTTATATAATGAAATCATAAAATACCACAAGGCAATCATATACATACTTTCATGTTAAATCCCATGTTCATCATTTGAGGAATTTTGAATCCTTTGAAAACTATAATATTGTGAAAGTTGAACCTAAGAAAGATCAGTCAAAAAATGGTACAATTCCATTCAGGTGGTACTCCAACACATTGTTTATATATTTAACATGGTAACTACTATCAACACAATGTTTATCTACTTACCATGGCAACCACTGAATAGGTGGTACTCCAACACAATGTTTATCTACAGCATTAGCTAACGTTAATTTATCATCATCATATGTTAATAACCATAAAACTTTAGCTAAATATTTCCGTGATTTTCCTTCATTCTGATGACGACAGGCATGTAAATAACATGTTATGGCAAATTCACCTTGCTGGATATTCCTGACAGAAAATAACAAACATTAATCATTTTGATATCTCACTTCAATCTTATTTAACAAATCTCATGTCTGAATTTTGTTCTAATTCAAAATTAGCAAATACCCCCACCCCCTTACAATAATCAGCACATTATGTTTTTCCTTGAAAACGACTTGTGAAATCTTGTTGAAAAGCTGCAGTATAATAAACCAAGTGACTGTATCCATACTAAAGTATTATATTGTTTTATGTTTACTTGAAATAATCGTATGCAAAAATTAAAGAATGAAGTCACATCTCAATTTTAAATAATGACTCCAAATATCAACATCTTAGCGAAATGAAACTATGACCAAAAGTTAAATTACTAAGGTGAATAATGCTTCTATCCTTCATTTGTTATTAATCTTTTGAGTTTATATGGTACATCTGAATAATATTTGGCACATATAGAATGTACAAAGTTGGTCTGCTTTACATATTTCCCATTCATAATTAAATATTATCAAAAAGACGGCAACTTACTTTTCTCGTGTGAAGATTGTTTCAAGATAATCACCCCACAACGCCCAAGCTCGAACTAGAGTGTCGTGCATCTGAACAGCAGCAGAGAAAGCTTTATTAGCATCTTCTGATCTGTTTATCTGAGCTAAAAACATTCCTTTTAAAGCATAAAACTCAGCTTGCATTTCTTTAGTAAAATAACGTAGATTGGTTGATTCTATTACTTCTAGTCCCTGAAATAAACCAACAAAATTATAGGGTAAGTTTTTTGGTAGCACTAACTGATCATGACTTACACAAGTATGATACAATGTCCGGGAATATTTCCGCATTTTACTTGGGTAGTTTGTTTTCACTTTGAGTGCAGTGGATGCTTACAGCTTGGCCCTGGATCCATTCACTTGATTTGATATTTATTGTATATTGCTTGCAATGTCTGTGTATTTTGTTTATTGTTTATTGTCCACAGGTTTGTCTTTTCAGTTTTGTTTGTGTATTCCTCCTGCACTTACTATTAGAGTTGACAAAATGTAACAATTACAAAATAGACAGATTTAATATTATATTGCAAGGACATTTCAATAAAACCTGACCCATAATATATCATCTTTTCTTATCCCAACAAAACAGAAATATTTCTTTATTTGCTCACAATAATTTAGTCAGAATTAAAACCATACATATATTTTCAATTTCAATAAATCAAACAAAATTGATCTGGAAAGTTCTTTCCAAAGATACCTGTATGGGCAAACTAAACACTTCATTTACAATAATATTTAACTGAGCTCACACCTAAAACAAACTCGTTCCTTCCATAAATCAGGGGTGCAACAAAGTTGTTAAAGCGGTAATGTTGTCATATAGTCCATTACTAAACCAACTTATTCATATTATTATGGAATAGTGGTCTGCAGCCTTCATGAGTTCTTTGTCTTAAATAAGTTATTTCCCTTTATTATTAAAAGGCTTTGCTCCTAGATGGAATTTTGGGATGGAATGAAATGAAAGATGGCTGTTTTTAATTAGCCCTTCTGCTTGTCTTAAACAATCCTGGTCATCGTGTGGCCTATTCATCACAATACCACAATAAGTCTATGCAAGTCAGAACAACTTGTTGACATAAATCATCGTTTAATCATACTAACTGTAAAATATGCATATTAATTTAGAAATTTTAACAGTTTTTAAGCTCTGGTACTTGAATAATGCCCACTGTTTATCTCTATGACGTCACACAACGTCACTTACTATAAACAAAACGTCAGTTTGGTATGCTACCATTTTAAGAATTAGAATCTCCAAAAGTTGTACTTGAGAAATATGGAAGTTTACAAGATTCATAATATAGTATGTTATAACTACTTATAATAATATTGCTACTTTGATCAAATATAATACTTGCCTCTTGTAATTCACTTTTACCCATAACACCAGCCATTTGTAAATAACATTTTACTTGCTGTCTGATCTTCTGAAAACAGTCTACAATTGGCACACTGGGTATGGTATGAATTCTGAAGGACAAAACCCCAATAAAAATAACATTTTAATAAATAGCCCCAATTGAAAAATCGTAATATATTCAAGTTCCTATGAAAGTCCAATCGATAAATGGACTTTCTCTAGTAAAAGTTCCATACATCTTAACATGTACCTCTAGTAAGTTTGATGCAAGATAAGGTCATTCTGGGACTAACATATGTCACATCTATCTTTTGTTTTTACATAAACGCATAAGGGGGAAACTTGTAGGGGCCAGGATAAAAGAACATGGGGTCTTACGTATGGGGAAATGTGTAGAACCTGCATAACTTACATGGGTTCAGCAAGTCTAACATATGGGGAAACCTGGTTAAAGTACATGAGGTTAGAAAGTTGGCCATACTCCTTACATATAAATCGAACTTGTGGCTTGAAATTAGGACAGATAGTTTGGTCCATAAGGAAACTCTTCAGTCTATTTGTCCATCCTAACAATACAAATAAGTGTAATAAATATTAAAGAATCCAACTTGTGGCTTCAAAATAAGACAGATCTTTTAGTCCGTAAGGACAATTCTCAATCTAATACAAATTAGTTGTAGTAATATATTAATTTACCTGCTCAGTGTATCTAAACAGACACCTGTTAGGTTATTTTTACGAGCTATTTTACCAAAATGGATGATAGCTTGAGCAGACGCATGTATCCCTAACATAGAATTAGTACTGTTGTTGGCCTGAAAAAATAAAATCATATATGTGACTGAATCAGAAATTCATTTGAATCATATACATTTGGTATCTTTCTATCAATGAATTGAAATGAAATGATTTGGGGTTTAACGATAACATCCTACTTTCAGCACTAACCGGGTTAATGAAGACCGGCATATGCTATGCAGCGTGCTATAAGTGAAATTTTGCCCAGACAGCCGTTTCAGCCTACTCTTTATCGAATTTCAACGTCAAGCATTCTTTTACGCACTTTCCACTGTGTACGTGGGACCCCAGGTTTTCGTCCTGACAGAATGATTAGACTCTATCCTAAACCATTGACAAGGGGGAAACCAGGCTGGAAATCCCGAGGAACGTTCTCGGCCAAAATCGAGTTAGAAACCTAGACTTCCTGGTTATTGAGCCAGCGCCTTACTTATTGAGCCACCATAGAGAGAATACTTGTCGAAACACTGCCTAAATATATTAGTAATTGTTCTTCCATAAGTATGTTTTATACTTTATTGTTTTATCTAATTACTGCTAAAGGATTACTGATAAATTATTGCTACTGAATTAAATTTGCTGAAACTGTATGCAAAAATGTTGCGTAGTGTTAGAGAATTTCCTGTAAGTTATCAAGTAATCAAGAAAAACTTACTGCATCTGTTTGTGGATGATTATCATAATGATTTTTAATAAATTGAAAGTGATGCTGGCGCCAGGTGAAGATATCACTCCAATGTGATATATCATCTGATATCATTGGTAACCGATTCCTGGAAATATAATACAACATGCATTAATACCTGAAGATGCGTAAACTTTCATTATAAAAATGTTGAATATATTAACCTTACTCAAATCTGTTAAACATACAATATGTAAGAGCTAAATCTGCCTATTGCATGTCTTTCTTTGGGACTTAAATGTTATATAAATTATTAATTAGTTATTTACTAACATAACAAGACCATAATCAACTCTCAATGCTATCGGATGGCTTCGATTTTAAGTCGATTAGAATGGTTTGACCATTTCATAATTTAATTTAAAAATGGAGAAGCGAGGCCAAGACTCGAATGACTAGTATGGTGGTTATGATCAATGCACACATCTTGTCAAATCTACAACCATTGATTACTTTGCTCTAAATAAAGTAATTTGATTGAAATTTTCAGTATATTCATTTTGCATTATCTATTTTTGAAATATTATAGCGAGAACGGCCTGCTCTGTATCTAAATCTTACATAATTCCCCTTTAAACAAAAATTTTATACTCTAGAATAGATTCTATCTGTAATCCAGGTTTTATGAAACTTGACTATATCATGACCTAATATTGTATATGAACTTACTTCCAAGTTTTAACTATAGCTTTCATATCATGAACACTAGAACTACGACTAATATTACTGGGTTGTAGGCCTTGATTTATCTGAGCAGCTTCTTGTAATTCCATTATCTGTTGAGCAGCCTACAATACAAATACCATTTAAGCATTTTTATTATACATAAAAACACACAGGTCTAAATTCAAGATTAACCTTGATGCCGTCCACTTTCAATGAAACTTTATTATAGTTGATGCATTCAACCTTCTGTTGCCTTAAGATTCTCACTTATCCTGATTTAGTTTAAATAATTTATATTATAGAAACTAACTTGAAGTAATGGTATATGTATGTAAACTAACCTGTAGTAATGGTATATGTATATTTGATACAACACTAGGTAAACGTCTCCATTCTTTTATAGCATAATTACTAGCAAACTCTACTAAACGTTCAATCTACAAAAACAATTATGATACTTTTATAAAATACTAATACATTTAATTAGTTTATCTAAATTCCATTCATTTTATCTTCATAAATTGTATATTTCACAAATTCTACAACTATCACTGATCTTGATTTATCGTACTTACATTTTAGATTTAAATTCAGGTCTGAGTTATTTGTGTAAAAGAAAGATACCTACCATGACCATATTAATATGATTATCATCAGGATGACATATAGCTATATAACCCCTATATAGATTTACTTTCCATATTAACTCTTTAGGACATGTCAATTCAACCTGAAATACAAATATATTCATAAACAAACTGAAATACAAAGATGTTATACCATAAACAAATCTCAGCACCCATTAAAAGCTAATTTTAATAAAGGAGCCATGGTGGTTAAACAGATTCGATACTTGTAGTTGTATTGACTGAGAAATAAAAACTGTGACCTGTAGAGTGTCCACAATTAAAATGTGGACGGACAGACAGGGCCGATGACAATATACATCCATATGAAAATGTGGGCGTATAAAAAGATCGACACAGGACGTACACATTTTGTCTACGATATCACCCTAGGTGGAAGTGGACATAAAACTCTAGAAACGAACGACGAAAGGTACATATTTAATGCCATCTTTGTAAGGGCCATATATAGATACTGGATTTTACCTTAGCATGAGCTGTCTTCATTAAACTCCAGTCAGGAACTCTCCAAGCACATTCTAATACTAGATGAGGATTATTGTTTTCTTTAGATTTAGAATATTCTAATAAATGGTTCCATTGATTTAACTCTTTAGAACATCTATAAAATAAATTGTAACAGTTATTAATTGAAACCAGCTATTATTTCAAATAATAAGTGCAGAGAGACAGCACAACACACAACAACAACCACAAACGCAAGATGGGTTGGCTACAAAAATAAGGTTTTAGCCATTCCATTGAAAATCTACAACAGAGCAGCTCTACATTCAAAATTTGTGATCCGGGTTCATGAGAAATCCTTGACAAACTGATGGTGACGAGGTATAGTCATTCTATGTCTGCATTAAACGTGGACGTCCAACAGCACAAACTAGTGAATCAACAAGCACATAAAACCAAAGTTTCATATCATATGCTCTTCTTCAAATGTCAAAACAAACATAATGTTGAGATAAAAACCTACTTGATCCAGTGTTCCTCCCACAGTCTGAATTCTGGAACTAAACCAGGTGCCATTGGGTTAGAGTTCAAATCTTGGCGTGCTTTAGCCATGGCCTAGTAAAAAAAAAAGTTATTTTTTAATCATATCATGCAGAATTATGCAGGTTTTCTTCTCATATTAATATAAATGAAATGAAATGGTAACGTCCTACTCCAACTGAGCTAATGAAGACGGGTATATGCTATACAGTGTGCTATAAGGAAAATTTTGCCCAGACAGCGGGGCTACGGCCTACTCTTATATTAAATTCCAACTGCCAAGGGATCTTTTACGTGCAGGCCAATGTGTACATGGGACCTCAGTTTTTTGTTCCATTTGAACAACTAGACAGCTGTCCTTGTCAGACCCTTCATCCTGCACCACTAACAACGTGGCTCCCTATATTAATACAACTCTCAGATGATAGTTTCGCTCAATTTATAGAAATATTCAAAAGTTCATTAGAAAATATTAATACATATCATTTCACTTACAGTTTCAAAGGAGGTTTGAGCTTGTTCAAAGAAGCCATGTTGTTTATAAGCCAGAGCCGTTGTTGTGTCTGGGTATTTAGCTCGCTTCTGCCATAACCCTGTCCACATATCGTCCTCCTTCAGTAGCGAGTACAGATCACATAGAGCATCTAATGTCTCCTGAAACACATTGATAACAAAAATTGAAAAGGTAATCTAGATTTCATTGGGCCATTATTGTCTGAAACATGGCAGTCTTGTTCCTTGGATGACATCATACTTGGTTAATGGTCCATACAGAACTATCATTAAAATCTGATTTCAAGACTCAAACAAGTAGAATACACATACCTGATGCTGGTTGCTGGCTGGTTCAAATTCATATTCACTGACAGGACGATTCTTTATCTGTGCTAATGGTCCATTATCTATAGTCATTTGTTCCAACTGAAGGCAGGCTCGATGCCATAGATTATGTGTTTTACCCAAGTACTGTCAAAATATAAACAACACAAACTTTTTAATCCAAATAAAATGTGTATACTATTACAAATGGCTGTGGGCTTATTTCATAGCGAGCAGCATAGATCAATGAAATTTCAAATCAATATATCTTTGTAAATACTGAATGGAACTGGATCATTTTTGGACTGATATTCTTATTACAGGTTCATGTTCCACAATATTAATTGTAGTTTGCAAGAGATTTCTATTGCGCTAATATAACACAATGAGACTTTAATTGTAATTGATTCTGGCTTACACCACACTATGATTTATTGAAATAAATGAATTATATGTACATACCTTAAGAACACAGGGTCGTATTGGTATAGGTGGAACACACAAGGCTAGACCTTCTACAAACGAATGTATAGCACTTGGCTGACATTCTTTTTGGTTTCCGTGACTACCACTACATAAAAATGCCACCAGTTCACTACTTAACATCTAAAATAAAAGGGAAATATTGGAGATTCTACAACTTTTATGAAATTCCATATTTCCTAAATCTTCTGTGACGTCATGTTATTTCAATGCATCTATAATAAATGTCACTGTATGTCCAACTTCAATAACCAATTTTAAGCAATCATTCATAAACTTTTGACAACTGTCTAATTATAAATGAAATGAAAATGGGTTTTAACGTTTTGACAATCAAGACTTTGTTTATTATCATGGCAATGGTACTTGACAATCCAGAATATGAACTGTGGGTGAAGTTCCCATCTGCCAATTATGGCTACTCGTTATCCAAACTTCAAACATTTATAACTTTGCTCCGAATGAAGCAAATGACTGAAAATCTAACATAATGTAACACGTTTTATTAACAGCCTACTCTTATATTGAATTCCACATGTGAGGGTTCTTGTACATATACACCACCAACATGTACATGGGTCTTCTGTCCTGCACCACTGACAAGGGGAAACCATGCTGTAAAATCCTAATTAATTTTCTCAGCCCACACTGGGATCGAAACCTGGACCTCCTGGTTAGTGAGTCAGCATTCTAACCGCTGAGCCACGACGTCTCCCTTATTATAATGTACATTTATATGTTTACCTGTTGTTGTTTTTCATTGAGTATTTTCCAGATTCTAGGAAATAGTTCTAACCATGTTGTATGAGATAAATCAGTATTATTATGACATAGTTGAGCTAGAGCATTTAAATACTGTAGAGTCTGAAATAACATAAACCGTGTATTATAATATATTCTAAACCACCTATTTCAATTATAATTAATAAATTCAATTCATTAAGATGATTTATTAAATGAAATGGGATTTAATGTTCTACTTTTCTGCTGCACCGATTGGGATAATGAAGACAAGCATATGCTTTACAGTGGGCTATGACGGAAATTTTGCCTGCATAGTGGCGCTAAGAATACGAATTAGACCAGTTAAGGGTTCTTTTACGTGCACACAAATGTTTTTTTTTTGTCCCATCCAAATGACTAAACACAGTCCATGCCAGGCTCTCTGACCTTCACCCACTGACAAGGGGAAACCATGCATGCTTACAAAAAGCACAAGGTATATAATATACTGGTTGAAAAGACTTGGATACGGTTTTAATTCTTGCCGCTTACCTTGACCTCTCGACAGCTTTCAAGGAATTTAGCTTGTCTCTGTAGCTGTGTCTGTAAAGACTGTTTAGCATCACCAGGTTCTTTTTTACCAATATCTTTACTTAAACCTTCATCTGATGATACACCAGTTAATTCCATATCAATCTCTTCCTGATAAACAAATATACAAACATAACTCACTTAATTCCATACAAATATAAACTCATTTAATTCTTTTCTTAACGGTATCAAACATTCTTTAAGAACCTCTTATCTCAATAATTGGATTTTCATTTGTTATTATATTTCTTGAATGATAGGCTGTGAGAGAAAAATGGGGTTAACAGCCAACTCAACATAAACTAATTTAAATTGAGATTATTATTTGCTACATCCTTATTTCTATTTCTATGCAGGGGTCATTAGCAGTCGGAGGAAATGCGAGACACCAAGAGGTTAGGCAGGCGACCTTAATTCTTGTTATGCACAAGCCTATGATAGTGTCATATTGTAGTATAGTGAATATTACATTGTGGTCTGAAACCTTATGTTTAAGTAGACACAAGTTGTCTCCCTTATGTTGTAGTTCTTCTGTCCCTTAGAGTAATAAAGACAGAGATTGGAATTCTAAAATGGAGAATGGTCGTTTTTCCTTTTCACCCACAAGTGACTGTGTAACACCCCCAGATACAAATATAACAATAGAAGCGTCAAAACTTTAATCAATGACAGAACTTCGGACTGGGCTTTGGGAGGAAACCAGGTTTGCCAGATAGTCCCAAGTCTTGTAAAGTACTATCATTTAGGAAGAAATCAACAACAAAAGCACTGGTGGAGAGCTTTGCATCAAGATAGATAGTACAAGCTGTTACCCCATTAAATCACTGCCCTGTATTTAAGTTAAAAGAGAGACTTACCTCTTCTCTGTTTGAATCCACTGATTCTACATCCATTGGCTCTTCTTTCATTGTAGTAATAGTAGCAAATAATGCTCTATCTTGAATATCAGCCATATTAACAACGGAACTAGCAGAAGGTAGGAGATTCATGGCTGATGATGATTGGATAGATAAACCATTCACAGCTACCGATATCAACAACTGAAATTAGTCAATCATTTACTAAATATTTTGACAGTTTAGACATATTTTATGAAGTCTATCTCCAGATGAAAAATCAGGGGTTTAAAAAAAGTAATTTAAAAAATCCAAACTCTAATCCAACCCTAAATCCCCTGGCAATTGCGATGTAGTGTAATGCAACTATGCTAGCTTAACCCTAGATCCCTGGCAGTTGCAATCTAGAGTAGGCCTAATTAAGCTATGCTAGCTTAACCCTAGAATCCCTGGCAGTTACAATGCAAATTTATGAACCATTGCTACCCCTAAAAAGTTCTTAGATCCCATATAAAGGATCGTAAAGCATTGTAAACACTACAATCCAGACAACAACAAAAAGTAATCTGCTTCCTAACGATCACAGTATTTCATTCTTTACAGTTTTGATTGATACAATTATTGTACTGTTTGAACAGATTTTAATAAATAAAAACATTAAAATAAACACAACAGTTCCATATGGAGACCAATTGTTGAAACGTTAGTCTGAATAAAATACAGTAATTGCTTTCCACAGAACAGTTGGGTTTATTACAATTACTGTAGTTTGTGAATTTATTTCCTGAAATCAATGACCGAATTATAAATATCATACCTCAATGCATTGCTTGATCCAGAAATGAGATCCCATTGTTTCCCAATTTTGAGAACAGGTGATGTACAACAGACGATCAAATACTTTTCTTGGCATACTATTCTCAAATACCTGTAATATAAACATTTATATTCAAAACACTAATCTGAAAAATACAGAGTCAACGTACTACAAATACTAATCTATTGTCGGGACTGGCATAACTATGATATGATCAGACTCAAAATCGTATCACTCGATTGCAGTTCAGTCAATTCGAAAAATATTCCATTTTGATAATCATGCACCCTCATATAGTGTCACATCTGGAAGCTTTTATTCAGTTTTGAATTTTTAAAAAGAAAAGAATATAAATATTCTCACCTCAACAAACTTTTGTCTAATAAGTGGTTGATTACATTTTAATCCAGCTAAAAATGCTGATTCTAGTTTTGATGTCAGTTCACTACCACTCAAACTTTCATCTCTGTAAACAAAGATCAAAAAATATCCATACATTGTTCACTATATCCTGACATTCACAGCTTAAAGGTAAACGTCCTACTTTCATCAATAAAATAGAAAATGGAAATAAAGTAATCTCTTCATTAAATTATTACGGTAGCTTTACAAAGTTATTCAAAATGATTTTTAGTATTCATTATTAAGGGTCAAAAAAACCTATTAGAATGTGATCTGTTATTCTGTTTGGGTTTTTTTTTTTGTCTTCTACAATATATATCATAATAATTCCATGAATCAATTCATATTCAAAAATAAACAAACAGTTAAAGGAAAGTATAGTGATTTAGTAATTTAATTATAGTTCCTAAAAATCTTAAAATGAGCCAAATATTATTAATTTCCGTTGAATCAGACAGGCAATAATTCAATATTATTAATTAAAATCAGCGTCTAAATTATAAGCTTTGTGTAAAAGATATACCCACCTGTAAATATAGTTGACCAAGTCTAAAAATTGAGCATTCAAGTCTTGATCATCTGGGAATCGTTTCTCCACATTCTGCATCAGTTTCATCAAGAGAATTGCTTTTTCTCTAATCGATGGCGATTGATTGATTTGAATTTGTGTCTAGAAAAAAAACCAGGAATGAATTAGAAAACATGAAAAGAATACTATATTAAAAATCTACATATGTGTGCATATACACATATACACAGATAATTATTTCTTTAAAATCTCAAAGAATAATTATCTAGATAACTTACCTTTATTTTAACCCAATCTTCCACCATTTTGGTTATAGCTTTCATGACCTTAGCGTCTGGTGTTTTTTCTATCAGACCAACTAGAATCTGACCAATAAAACTCTTCCTCATCTCTATACTCATGACACCAACACGATTCTTTACTAGATCTAAACTTAATATTAACAGCTCGCTTGCTACAGCTAAAGGAAAAGAAATTTATAAATCTCATGAAGGTATTATTTCAATTTTTGACAATCAGTATTTATCGAAATATTAATATTCCTAAAGATTTTAAAATGACGTAGCTGTTCCAAAGATTTTTCTAATAATTTAAACTTTTAGTAGACTAAAAAATAAACAATGCGTGATATGCCGAACAGAATGTAAAATAAACAAGTATGAGTTTTACATAATTCAGGAACTGAGTATGACGTCATAGCAACCATCTTGTAATATGTTCCGTCAAAAATTGAAGTTTGTCAATCGATGTGTAATTATCCAAAGAAGCATTCCAGGTTTCATGTCCATTGATCTCAAATTGGCGAAGCCTTAGTCTTTTTTGAAAAACATGACTCTAAGTAAAAGAATAAGAATATTACCAAGTGTATGAATGTTAATTTATTTTAACATCAAAGGTACATTCCATATGCTTTCCATCGCATCTAAGAAATAAAACTAACACGGTAGAATTTTTTAGTCAGTTTATTCTATTTGGTTGTGTTTTCAATTTGTAGATTACGTCCATTTTACCTATATAATTACTATTCTTAACGGTAAACCATTAACCATCATAGAATGTGGCCTTTCTTTAGCCTATAATCAGACTTACCTGGACTAGTTTCTGGTGTAGAAGGTGTTAAATGTTCCCTTGCCATCTTGTGTAAAACCTTCATAAAAGTTGTAATAAGTCGATCAATATAACACTGATTATGTAAACAAGCTGCTTTTAATATCATCAGTGTACTAAACAGCTGTGATGGTAACCCATTGGTAGCTCTAGAAAACAAACACAATCATACATATAATCATACAAAAATATAACCATTCAGGCACAAAAAAATATAACCATTCAGGTACAAAATATGTACTTATAAATCAGAAATAATGTTTAATATGGCACTAGAACAGTATATCGAAAATTGTTCAGCATGTGTTGCAGAAAGAGTGAGAATATCTTGCCTTATGCATGGCACCCATCAGGATTTAGAATTTGGACGTAGGTATCAGAAGCAAAGCTCCCTGAAACATTAAAGTGAGTATTCCAAGCCAAATTGTTTTGGTAGCTCACTGAATATGGTTCAGGAGTTCCTAGATTTGATCCAAATGATGGCTGAGAAAGTTCCTCGTCAGTGGTGCAGGTTGGAGGGCTTAGCACGAAGAAGTGTCTAGTCATTTGGATGAAAGGAAAAACTGAGGTCCCACTTTAACAGCACTTTATAAATCACCTTACAGTTGGAAATCGAAATAAGAGTCATAGCACACTGCATGACATGTATGCAGAATAAGTTGCAATATGCAAGTGTTAACTTTTCTCTCTCTTTGACAGAACAGCAATGGCTGTCTAAAAAGTTCAACTTACTTCTCATAATTTGTGAGTCCTTCATAGACAACCTTACAAACACAACCATACAGACACTCTAACTCCTCATACTTTGACGCTACATTGGACGTAACAGGCTCTGTAGGAAAGTGACTCATTAACCGAGACAATAAACTATGCACAGATCGAATAACCTTTGAATTCGGACAAGTCATACATGCTGCTATCCCTCGCTGTAAGGGTTTAAAACTTGACAGTATTGTCTCCTTTTTCTGAAAACATAAAAAATATTATCAATGAAACAAAATTGTACCGATTGTTCACAGCTTTTTGATTCTATTATTTTTACTGGAAACGTCTGAATGCTTTTTCAATTTAAAGAATTCTGAGCACATTATAATCTTTTTATACTATTTTCCGTGTTCCATACAAGTATATATTTCTGGACCAAGAACTGGTCCCCAAGCACCAGTCATCTTGTTGTCATTTTTGGCCACGAAAGTCTTCAAAGACAGACTAAGGCTCCACTAATTAAAGTAAGATTGACATGAATCTTGGCATGCATGTTCCTTGGACAAATGCACATCGATTAAAGGACTTTTGGTATGAATATCCTTAAAATCCACAAGACTGCCAGAAACTGTACAGATGTGAATTTATCAAAAGAGATATAAAGTTTATAAACTTACCAGTATGGAGAGTAAAAATGTGAGAAGTTCAAGAGCTGTACAAATATTAGCAAAATTAGGTTGATGATTCTCCACAGTTGTTAATAATTTATCAAACCAGCCTAATTTTAGATCTACATTCGGCCATACGTCACTGCGTAACACCACTTTAAGATAACCCACACATCGTCTTGATAACAGTTCACCAGCTGAACCAATCGTAACTGATGCTTCGTTCACTTGACAAGCAATACGTAATAAAAAGTTGACTACAGCATCACAATATGCCTTATCTATTGGTTTATTCAAATCCGATGTTGATCTTTGACTCTGAAAGAAAACAAATCATGGAATCCGAATCAATATTAAATTTCTCTTGTGTGTAATGACTCCAAATAAACTATCCTGTTTTAGGTCTATATCTATATTGTCAATATAAAACTCAAAATTAGATTCACTTCATCTACCTTAAACAAAATTTTACTTATCAACTTTACAACTTATAACTGAAACTGATATACCACATGAACACAATTTGTGATTAACTACATAAATATTTTGAAGGCAGTATTCATAATCACAGTGTTTACGAACAAAGATTATCTCCTAACCACAATGTTTATGAATACAGATTAGCCTGTAGATGCTGTATTTATGATATAGGATTACCTTGTAGATACAATAGAAACCCTAACTCTAATCATGAGCCAATTTTTATTTAGGATTACCCTAAGTCTAAACCAACCCTTACCCTGCTGTGGTTGAGAGCAACTGCTTTCTTACTATTTCAGGTGTAATATTAACTTACATGTGGACTATCAGGAATACCAGAAGCATTACGAACTCGTTTAGGATCTTGAGGAGAATCAATAGAACCTGATCGTTTTGTTGGTTGATTGGCCACGACTACTGTCTGTGTTACATCTATATCACCAGACTAAAACAAACAAACATAAATAATAACTGCAAGAGAACGGGAAAAAACCCACCACACTCAGCAAACAATACAGCAGACATTATAGAACATACAAGGGCTGGCTGAAAAGTTCTAAGCTTATTTGGGAAAGATCGGTACAAAGTCAATGGTTTCCATTTATTTTTCTACATAGTCCTGTTCGAGGTGTACACACTTTTGCCAACGATGTTGCAAGGCCTGGATGCCGGTCAGGAAGAAAGTTTCTTCAGCCACCCTAAAAAAGTCATTCACAGCTGACATGATGTCATTATTACTAGGAAAATGACGACCGCCTAGTTCCTTTTTCTTTTTTGGAAACAGATCTCATCCATGTTACATATCTGGCCAAAATATTATCAGGATCCGATTCATAATGGCACAGATTGTCACAGGACGTCAGGAATGTGACACGTTTCTGATCTGCAGTCAAGAACTTTGGCACCCATCTTGCAAAAACTTTTGTCATTCCTAATTCATTTCAGATAATATGTTCAATTCTCATAATCTGCTCAATGTGCTCATGAGAGATGCCCACAACACTGGCAATATGTCGAATGGTCAATTGTCGATCAGCCACCACCATGCCATGCACCCATGTAATGTTTTCTTGAATTGTTGCGGTTGATGGTCTTCCAGGACACGGGTCATCGTCAATGCTCTCTCTGCCACGCTTAAATTCTGCAGCCCACTTCTTTACTGTGGAAGATGATGGGGCATCATCCCCAAAAGTGGAGACAATGTTCGCATAGATCTGTGCTAAGGTTGGTCATTTTAGTTGCAGGTACTTGATAACTGCCCTATAACCAGTTTTGTCCATTTCTGAACATTTTTGGATTAGATAGTTATAATTGCATAATAACATCATTTAACACATAATTACAAAATTTCATTCATATACTTAAAAGATAATTATTTATTTTTTGAACAAACCTCTGCATCCTGTTCTTCTTTAATTCTCTGTAATTCCCACTTAATTATCACATCTGCTAGATCAACGGCTAATTTACGATATTCTATAGACTGTTAAAAAAAAAACCCCAAATAATATATGATTGTTTATCATGTGATAATCTCTCAATTATTTTGATCTAGTCAAACATCGTTCCCGATTGTTTCATACTACCGTAGAAAATTTAAAAAAATAAACAGACAATTTCAGATAATCTTCTACAATAGTGAGCATACGATCATAAAACCAGATGTTTAGGGTGTGCCAATTTTTTTTTTAGCAGAATGCAGTATAGAAACTTACACTAGCAGAGAAACCAAGTCTTTGTAAAGAATTGACCATATGTTGTATCAGATGATGTCGTACAGGGAAATATACTTTATAATGACGAACTACCAGATGGCTGTAAATATAAAACAATTATCATATAAAGTTAAATTATTGGAAGGAGTAGTAAAATCAACCTACATCTTTTATTTTTTTATATAAAGTACAATATATATGTTCTGTGCATTATATATTTTATTTTTAAACAATATTTTTATTCGGGATGTTCTGAGTGGGATTGAGGAACAGACTTAGCCTATGTAAAATCCCTTGTGCCATCTGTGCATAATATTGGCTGAATATCGACAGAGAGAGAGAGAGAGAGAGAGAGAGAAATGGGGTTTAACGCCCACTGGACACAAACTAGGTCATTTCGGGTCTAACATATGGTTTAATTTTATTTCATTAATTCGCTTGCGCGTAGGGGTCTTTAGCAGTGGGGATTCGAAACCACGCCAGTTGACTCAATGACAGACCGTATGATACAGCACGCACATGCTAACCATTCGGCCACCCAACCCCCCCCCTGAATATCGACAGAAAACTGGAAGATTTTCAATCGAGAATAACTATAAAGGCGTTCGAAAACCCTACCACCAATCAGTGAATCGCACAACGAACAAGCAACATATATACTACATAGCCTTGCTGATGAGTGTATAGTAATACAGTGTATCATCTATTAATATTTTTGATACTCACAGAATGTGTACTAGTTGACCAAGACTATGACCCTCTTCTACTATAATCTTTTTTGTCCAGTGTGTAAGCTTTCCCTAAAAAAAAAAAGATTTAAAGCCTTACATCATCCACAAAAGAAATCACATATTTTCATGAATTCTATGTGGGGACAAAAACTGAATCATACTTAATCTGTCATCTGTTTAAAACATGAATAATAAGAGTTTAAAAGACATAAAAAAAGCTGGTAAATCAATTTAATGAGGCAAGTTAGCTAGCTGGATAATTTCATATTCTTTCAGAGTAGATACAAACTTACGCAGTGTACTTACATTTCCATCTTCCATTCTACCGGGCATGGCAGGTGTTATGATCTCTAAAGCTTGTCTAACAACAGTTCTAGCTTCTAAAGCATGGGCTTTTAATAAACTATGGAATACCTGAAAAAAATAAAATCCACATAGTTAAAGATGCATTATGTAAGATTTAGACAAAGAGCTGTCCGTGTCTAGCTATAAGAGTTCGAAAATAGATAATGAAAAATGAAAATTTCAGTCAGATTACTTTATTCTGGGTGAAGTTATGAGTGTTTGAATTTTTGACAAGATAGTCTTGACTGTCAAGTACCATTGCTACAAAAATAAACAAAGTCTGGATTATCCAATTTAACATTACATTATTAAATGGAACATTTGTTCTAATCCAGAGAGTTGATTATGGGCTTTTCATGTGAATAAATGTCTAAATAATAATCTATATAACATTTGACGCCAGAAATAAAGACCTGCAATAGGCAAAATGCATCTTGAACCAATAAAATCATAAAATGGATATTAGAAACATTGACATAATATATTAAATAGACTTACTTGTAATACAATACGTTTATGTATAGCAAATTTAGCTATAATATGAGCTAATAGAAGATGGCCATGATATTTAGTGGCTGGATCAACACAATTTTTAGGTAGAAGACATGGCCAGGCAAATGTCATCAGTCTTCTTAACTTATTTCCTTGTTTTCTGAAAACGAAAATCAAGGCGGAAATTATGAAATACTCTAAGATGAGACTGAAGAGGAAACTTTGCTACAATGACCCAACTTTTTTTTAAATGTCCCTTAATAATTTAATTACCAGTATCAACCAATATCATTCCAAAAACAAAATGAAATAAAATCTGGTTGCACTACGTCATATTATTATTCCTGTTTCGAACTATCAGCATATCTTTAAATAATGTGCTACCAATCTGAACAACAAGACACCATTCCTTGCCAGGTCCTCCATCCTGATCAAATGCCAGGGGCCTTTTAGGCCATCACTGTGCCCAAATCATAGAGCTACTGATGTGCTCCCCTAAAATACTGTTATATCTTAGTAATATCGCCAGTGGAAAACATTAAATCTACAGGTAATATCTGTCGATATTTTTAAAAATAAAAAAAGGTGATATGTATATCACTGATGGAATGAATTAGGCCTACTAGATGATAAATTTACACTCCTTTAACATAATATAAATATACACTAAAAAGACACAACACAATTTATATGGAAAACAATCACTGGCTGAACACATAGCATGATGTATCAATCACAAAGAACTTGTCCAAACGTTGTGGGTGTACAACAAGTGATTGTTTTTCATATAAATTGTGTTGTGTTTTTTAATGTGTTCAAGGATTATACATATACACGATAATTTATAAAAATAATTATTTTTACTAGAAATCTTACTTGTTAGCAGCATCATGTATATGAGGTGATGCTTGTTCTACTAATAAAGATGAGAACTGGAGTAATAATATCCTAACAGCATCTGATGTAGCGAAGGGATTTTCAGGATCAATAATACGATTTATAAATACACTAATAACATTATCTTCACTGTCTTGTTCTGGTGATGGTGGACCTCCTATTAATCTATCACCGTTACCTTTATCAAACGAAGCTTGGAACGAAGGAATGAGGATCAGTTGAAGAATCTGAAAAATATCCAAATGTATCCAAGAAATTCTTTCTTTTTTTTGGTTACTCTAACTGGAATCTTTCTAATACAAAATGGAGTAGGATTCAATGTCCGATGAACACATCACATAGGTTTTCTTACGGCTAACATACCATTTTCTTCATTTACTATGGTTAAATGTGCAATATCAGAAGGAAATGATTTTGCCTGAGCAGTGGTATTTCTACTCTTCTTTGAAATTCCTAACTCAAGAATTTTTTTCCGATTACCAAATGAGTACACAATGCGTGGAAGTCAGTTTCCTGTCAATTACACCAACCAGACACATTTTCAATTTCATCTCTGAGGGATTACTCAAAACAAGCATGAACCTGGTTTGTAATTATGTTCTTCTCATCTTATTCCACAATTCAGCCTAGAACATATAACTTCCTTAACTACTCCTGTACTGCCAATACCCTTTTTAATACAGTACCCTTTTGGTCTTATTCAAACATGTACGTGGCAAGGAGTAGGGTCGCCTGTCCAACCTCGTGGGTTTTCTCCGGGTCCTCCGGTTTCCTCCCACTGCTAAAGACCCCTACGCGCAAGCGAATTATGTAAATAAAATTAAACCATATGTTAGTCCCGAAAAGACCTAGTTTGTGTCGAGTGGACGTTAAACCCCATTTCTCTCTCTCTCTCTCTTATTCAAACAATCAGATATTCAAAATAAAAACTAACCTTGGCTTTGAGATCTTGAGGCCATGTTTGAAGGTGAAATATTTGAACAAATTTAAAGAAAGCACTTCTCTTCCAGTCTACTGTATATTTCTGTAAAAAGTAGATTAATAAAATTATTATTAAAGCAAAAATATACAAAGAGAGTGGGAAGAAGTCTAGGATGGCAACTAGCCACTAAATAAATTTATGTTTTTAAAAGCAGCATAAGAAACATTCAATATTTATGTCAGAAATTGAACATTTTACGAGAATAAAGAGGAGATAACTAACTTACATTAGCAACAGTTTGATCTAGGAAATCTTTAACAAACTGAAACTGTGGTATATAGCGATTAGTAAAACATCGTAAAATATTAAATAATAATTCTATCTCAGTGGGATGATGTCTGAAAATAGAAAAAGATAATTATGTAGAACATTTCATCTAACAAGATATTTCTGTTAATTGAAAGAATGACATTCAAAATAAATAAAGAATGAATGAAATGGGGTTTGACGTCCTACTCTAACCGGGCTAGCGAAGATGGACACATGCCATGAAGTGTACTATTAGGGAAATTTTGCCTGAACAGCAATTAAATTCCAATTGTCTACGATTCATTTACGTGCACACCAAGGTGTAGGGGACCGTCTGTTTTTTCGTAATCATCCGAATGACTAGTTGCTGTTATCAGGTCCTCTGTACTGCACCAGTGATAAGGGGATACCACATAGGAAAATCCTGAGGAATTTACTCAGGACCTCCTGGATAGCGAACTAGTGCCTTACTCACTGAGTCAAAATAAATAAACAATGCAAGGTGAATAGTAACTATTATATTTGAGGATTAATTTCTTAAGACTTAGTTAACACAACATAGATTATAGATCTATTATGTATACTAATATTTGTGACTGTCGTTTGTCTGTCTGTCTGTTTGTCTGTCTGTTCATGGTTGGCGGCTACACTAGGTCTGCCCCGAGTCTGAAATTTGGGGTATAGGTGTAGCCCGGACCGGGGAGTAACATAGGCCAGGTGGCGTTAGTCTACCACGTCCGGGGTTATGACCCCCGAGCGAAGCCGGGCATTCTGCTAGTAAAGTTATAAAATTAACTTACTTGAAATAACTAAGTAAAGATTTAACAAGTAAAGCTGGTTCCTTCCAGTGTTTATAATCCATACTATCCTGTAATTATATAAACATTACATAAAAATCTTTGTAAATATTGAAAATATAATGCAAGTATTGAAGTATTGCTATACATTTAAGATTCTTAGATCCTATACACGAGGGCTGTTGGATGAGGAATTTATATACCATACATTAGGGTTTGACTCTAAACGGTGTTGGATGACGGATGATGGACACTATATAAGGACCACTACTACATAATAAATACTCATTACTGATTCATAATATAAATGATTTTTACCTGACGATAACAAAAAGTGCTTACCACTTTCTTATGTCTTTCTTGAAAGGAATCTGATATCCAGATGGTCAGCAGATGGGAGACCTAAAAAAAATAAACAAAAATAATGTACCCTTAGCTAAATCAATGTTTAAGATCTATGTGATACAGTGTGCTATGTGGGCCATTTTGCCCAGACAGCAGCATTTTCTGTCTATTCTTCATCGAATTCCAACTATTAATGGGTAAGCCTCAATTTTCGCCCCGCTGCATCACCGAGAAGAGGAATACTGGCTGGAAAATCCTGAGCAATGTTCTTGGACAACACTGGCATCAAACTTATCATAGCCTGGTTAGTGAGCTAGCGCCACTTACTGAGCCACTGTGATTCCAAATCAGAAGAGGTTACAGGTGTAAAGTTTCAGCATACTCTGTGTCAGACAGACTTGTACACAAATAATATGAATACATTAAAAACAGAACTTACAATTTGTGAATTTTGAGACAGCCATTCTCCATCATCCCCATCAGATTTAGCTAATAAACTGATGAGTCTAATACCTTGATACTCTAAATCAAACTTTGTCATATCTGTAGGACTAACAGGTCTTACTGGTACACCCTATAAAAAAATAAAACAATCAATAAATAACTCTGTGAATAATAAAACAAATATACAACCCATAGAGATTAAAATGATCAGAGAAGACTCAAAAACTCAAACAGAATAAAAACTCCAAAATTTAATAAAACAGCTCTATTTCTAATATATTTAGATGTTAATTTTTCGAATATTTATTGATTCATACAAAAATGCCATGTTAAATTTGTGGATACTGAAAATGATATCAAAATAACATAACATAAACACCATAAGAGTTTAAATAACTTACCGGTACTTGTCCACTAGTAATAGAGATGAGACGGGTAGGGTTTGATTTTAAAACTTCACGGATTGGTTTACCTTGTTCATGTTTTATTATATACTGGTGAAAACAAAACAAAAATTAATAACTAATTATAATAAGAATTCAATCATACTCTAGACATTTTTTATCACATATCCATCGTAGTTCATGGAAGTAATCAATTAAGCTTTCTTAAAATGATAATCGAATATAGACAATATTTAGGATTGTTTTAAATGGATAAGAAATTATTTCCAAAAAATATACTATTCAAAAAAAGTAGGGGATATTTGATTTTGGGGGCATAATACTAAAATATGCAAATGACTACGAAAAAAGTCACTATAGAACCTAACAGAAGAAACATTTCCAGTTACATGTGACGCCCAAACACACCAATAGCTACCGCATGGAATGCAGGTGATGCTTGGGATCATCATGGGGGTCCAACCCAAGATTTGCACGACTCTGACTTTGAATGTTACAGTCATTGTGGCATTGAATTCCAGGGTGGAAACATCAGTTTAATTGTTTTAGTGACCAGAAAACAAATTTTGATATGCGTCGGCTTACCCAAAATGAAAGGTTACGTGCCCTTGGCATGCTACAGATCGGCACAACACAGGCGGTTGTGGCGCGGACGATGAATGTTTCTCAGTCTGTCATAAGCAGGCTATGGTCCAGATACCGTGATACACAATCTGTACAGGACAGACCACGCTCAGGTCGACCAAGGGCGACAACTCAAGCCCAGGATCGATTTATCCGTACCTTGGCCTTGAGAAATCATGTCATCACAGCAAATCAGATCAGCGCTCGTCTTCAAACAGACACTGGTGTGAGAGTGAGTGGCCAGACGATTCGGAATCGACTGCAAAGGGGTCACCTTCGCGCCCGACGTCCTCACGTGATCCCTTGTTTGAGAGATCATCACATTCAGGCAAGACGTCGTTGGTGTAGGGATCGTCAACACTGGGATAATCGACGCTGGAGCAATGTGATGTTTTCAGATGAGTCAAGGTTCACTGTTGATTTTTTGGACAGATGTATGAGGGTGTGGCGTCGTCGAAACGAGCGCTTCCAAGACGTTAACGTCATCAGACATGATCGATTTGGGGGTGGTTCTGTTATGGTGTGGGGAGGCATCACTGTTGCTGGAAGAACGGCTTTACATGTTGTTGCAGGGCGTGTTACAGGCCAGTACTACCGGGACAACATCTTGGCAGTCCATGTTGTGCCGTTCGCACAACGTCATGGCCGCCGTTTCATCTTCCAGGATGACAACGCAAGATGTCACAGGGCCAGGATCGTTACAGGTTACCTCCAACAACAGAACATCACCACATTACCTTGGCCAGCACTGAGTCCCGACCTCTCCCCCATCGAGCATGTCTGGGACATGCTTGGACAGAGGTTACGTCAACGTCAACAACGTCCTGCCAATGTCCAAGAACTTGCTGCTGCGTTGCAACAGGAATGGGACAATCTGGACCAAAATGACCTTAGACGTCTCATTAGGAGTATGCCACGTCGGATCAATGCTTGTTTGGCAAACAGAGGAGGATTTACCCGTTACTGACTTGGTTGTTATGCTGTGGTAACTTTGCTGTTTGACCCCGGGTATCATTTTACCCTTATAATGGTCAGTCTGTGCCTTACTTAGTCTAACGATCATTTGGAATAAATCGATGAATGTGAACTTCATTTCATTTTGTCATTTGTTTCTTCGTCAGTTTCATTAGGTGACTTTAATAACACTTAAAAATCAAATATCCCCTACTTTTTTTGAATAGTATATATGGGGGCTGTGTTGCCTCTGTCATAATTCAGAGTATTTGGTAAATTAGGTTTGCATACTAATAAATACTTTTCTTAACGTTAAACTTATTGAAGTTAAAGTATCTGCTATCAGGACCCCAGAGTCTACATATTAAGCCTAGGTCACACCTTCCTGGTATTGGTCAATGTTTACCCAGGTTCTCCACAGGTTTCAAACTGGGGCCATCTTGGTGGAAAACCACCATAGCAAGCCACAGTTCAACACGGTTCGTCCTAGATCACCTAGGTTTCACTACGGTCTCACCACAGATCCCCACTGTTGGCCCCAGTTTGCTTACTGTAGAACTACTGTGAGCAAATATCGGAACGGTGTGACTGGGGCTTTAATGAGATAATAGATCTGGAAGAATGAATAATATTTTATGTTACCTCTAGACATCTAGTATATTGTTGATCTTTTAGCGCTGTTTCTGTCAGGAACAGATCAACAGCTTGAGTTGGATATCGTAACAAAAATTTCATCAATGGTTCACGGAATGGACTGCCAGCCTAGAGATTAAAACAGATAACAATCATATTTCCACATCAGATGTTAATATTGTGTGGCCAATTATACATCAAAACGTAACTTTTATAGCTCTCAGTAATACTAATCTATAATCCCACAGATATTTCTTGTGTCAAGCTATATAAGAAGTAAATTGGTGTCACACACAATGAAATAGCATGCTTACTTTCTTGAACATCTGATAGCACTTCCCATTTATTTGGCAAGTTCATATAACTAACGGTATGTGCTTAAGTTCAGGAGGACCGCACTACACATAAACAAACAAGTTTAACCCTCTACAATAATTCATTAACCTTTTAATTATGAGACGCCCAGTCACTATGTGAACAATGGAGATCACTCTATTGTTAGAAAAGTCTAGAATATAAACCGGCCCTATAAGCAGGTGACAGTGGTGACACTAAACGTAGCATAATAAAGTTTGGAACAAAATGGGAGACACACAACATTATGTTGTATTTTGTTTTTTTATAGCTTTCTCACTATGAGCGGTAATATTTGAATTGTTATCTAAAATCATGAAAACGACAAGCGCAATAAACGTAACTTAAAAACGTTTGTCACATAAGTTTTCTCAATATGAGTGAAAATATTTGAATTGTTATCTAACCTCCATGAGTAAAGCTTTTTCTCCTCGTAATACAAGTGTTGTTAAAGGTTCCATGATAGTTAATCGTGCTGCTGGTATTAGATGAAATATATTAATCATACCAGCACATGTCTTTAGTTCCTGTAATATAATTATTAAAGAAAATATTCAAAATCTTACACTATATAAAAAATATATTCTGGTTCTCGGATACTCCTGTGTCACCTATAGAGAGGTGCATTACCAGTTTTTATTTTTAAAAACATAAAAATGGTCTCATTATTTACTGCACGCAGATGGTTTCACTGGCCAAGAGGAAACGATGCTATTAAGAAATTCAATTGAATCCGGTAATGTACCATACTCTATTATCACATATGTGATCCTGATAATATTATTGACAATAATAAATAATACTGGATAATCATACAATGTGATGAAATGAATATAGCCCAGTAGTGATCCTTTGACAAAAATTTATAAAAAAAACCCTAAAAAACTCCCTCCTGCATTAGATTTTTAGGAAGGATTGTCTGAGGATTGGAATATTTTTTGGGTATGGCCTTATATAAACAGGTGAACTAAGATTGTTCATTTGAAAATCAGTGGTATTATGAGATTTGGTGATGACTTGGACCAACTATTGGATTGCATGCCTCCAAGACTCAAGTATAGGGCCTAGTAATTATTTTATTAGACTAATGTATCGTACCTGTGAAATAACTTGTCCATTTGTATTTGATGTTCCATTCTTTTGATTTTGAGCAGCAACTTCTAGCCATTTTTTCAAATGGCTCTGAAAAGAGAGAGAAATGAGATTTAATATTTACACAAAATAAGCTGGGTCATCCATGTGTTCATGTAATACCATGATAAAAACTTTCAGATTGTTATCTGGGCAGTATAACTATAAACCAAAGAATTATCCAAATAGATCAAAATATGAGGGGGTGATATAGGCTATCCTGTTCCCTGATCCTTTTTCATTTATTTGAAATAAAATATTGTTTATATGAAAAAATATATATTCACAATCTGTTTCAATCAAATGTAAAAAATAAGCCAACTGTTGATGGATGGACAGGCGGACATTGATGATAATATAATATGACTACACTGGATTGTGACATTATGTTAATCATTGTATTTCAACTTATCTGGATATCAAATACATCAATTGGACTTGGTCAATAGTTATCCCATCAAACAATCTGTTATTGGTTTGTGTTTTCCGTTTCTAATGCTTAAAAGTTTCCCACTGAAATGTAGGTTGGCATATAAAAATGTTCATGATCGTCTTAAATTTTTATTAAAGAAGAATACAATATTCATTTTATACTTACCAATAACTGTTCACAAAGTTTTTCAGTAAAAACATTGGGAAATAGTTGAACAAGACTGGATAATCTCTGTATTACGTTGAGATTAACATTACGGAAATCTCCTAGTTTCATCAAGAGAGGTCGTATAGCTACATGTAGAACATCTGATTCTATAGACGCACCCAGTATAAACTGTAAAATAAACATTGATCATAATAACATGCACATCATTGTCTGAAGACAAAATGTATACTTTACTATCTTTCAATACTCTAATCTTAATATCCATTTCAAATGTACATATAACATTTTGCCCTGAGAAACCCTTGTTAAAATGACTGTAATTAATAGGTATTAATATTATGATGATGATGATGAAGGAAGCCTTATACATCTCAAACTAGTCCAAAGGAATTTCAGGGGATCGATTGCTGTGTGGGAGTTATTACCTTTTTCATACATTCGTGAGCAGCTTCCTGTAAATCACTGTTAGTACTATTTAAAGCTTTATATAATATATTAAATATCTTCTCTCGTCTATTCGGTATATAATGACAAGCTGCTAACGCTCCTGAAATAAAACAAAATATTATATAATCTATTCTTAAAGTCTCATTGTGATATTTAGTGCAACTGGAATCCTTTGCAAACTACAATATTGTGATAGAAGAATCTCTAATCGGTCCAAAAATAGTTCAATTCTGTTCATTTTTTTAAAGATATGTTGAATTGAAATTTCACCGAACTATGCTGCTCGCTATGCAAAAAGCCTGCCACCATTTTGTTATGGGTGAACAGAATTGATAGGTCAGTTTTAAATCTGATTGAATCCAAGTCTGGATATTATCTAGCTTTGGTAATTTGATTTTATTTTCTTAATTAAATGTTGAATAATCAATTTGAGTACATATAAACATGGATTTAGTGAAAAATGACAAAGGACGCATCACTACTTTTACATCAAACATTTATAAATATTTCTGGATGACATGCACTTTTGTCTAATCAACACCAATTTCGTAAAACGTTTATAAACTAATTATCAAAACTATACTTACTTATGGCACTTTTTCTAAGTGGAACTAGATTGGTAACATTTTTATAACATGGCAGTTTTAACAGACTTGTATCTTCCGCTTCACACAGGTTCTGCAGCTGCAAATGCAAATTAAATAAAAATATTATTCAAGATATTCAAAACTACATATCCTTGATTAAACAATTGAATTGCGGTTCAATGTCTAGATAACATTTTACCTAGGTTGTTAGGAGAATATTTATTAAAGGAGCTAAATCGCTAACATTTGGGACCTAGAAATTGACACAAGTGGGTCGGAACTCATATAATACTGTAATATGAATGTATATAAACTGATATACATTCAATGGTTTCAGTTTTTACTCTAATTTCAAATCAGTTATGTTCCGCAAAATAAGCCAGCAGTCCCAATCGCCGTTTTGTTTGGTCCAATATGTCTAGCCTCGTTCCTCGAGTCTCTTGCTAGAACTGGGGCTGAAACGCATTATGGTACACGATTCGTGTACCAATGGTAAAATGTTTATTTTGTCTTAAATATTGGATATCAGAAGCCCATCTTTTTCCGGTAAGATCACAGCATCAATGTTGATTTAAATTGACAAATAATTTGTGTTTTCAATGTTGAAGATTTGGGATGATATTGAGTTAAAGACTTAGCTACTTTAACATTGGGTTATATATGTAATGTGAATGTGTACAGTGTTGCCTGTCTAATTTTTTTGGAATGCCAAATGTTCAGAATTCTTTTAGGTGCACACAGAAAGACATTTATTTACTGTCACTATCTGAAGGACTATGCAGTTTTCTTGTCGGTCCTACGGACACCACGTCTGGAAAGTATAACCAAGCTTAGGACTGAAATCCAAGACATTCTATTTGATGTTCACTACCATCACCACACAAATACTGCATCCCCCAATTATTTTAAGAATTTAAATATTAAAATATAGTGTACCTCGGTAAAGAAGACATTATGTTCTACAATATTAACATCTATAGTAAATAATCTAGGTTCTAATGTTGTACAGAATGTATTCCCTTCCTGTAAATATACATAAACATCATACATATTGTATACCAATATAAACATAATTCATATTGTATTCAAGTATAAACATCATTCATATTGTATTACAATATAAACATCATTCATATTGTATTCAAATATAAACATCATTCTTGCATAATAAACATCATTAATTAAATACTTAATTTCATTGTATAAACATAATTCTTTGTAAAATAAAGATATAAATCAAATATGAATGTAACAAACCAACATTGAGGCTGATGTCCTCTGTCTTAACCCAAAATAAATTATCTTTTCATAAAGTATTGATCAATCTATAGGTCAATCTATATTTATGACTGCTGTTTATCTGTATGGGGTATGCGGGTATAAGGGCAGCTCGATCAGGGATGTGGCATAGGCCTGGTAGTGTTGCATTACCACTTATGGTATCACAGAATCTTGTAAGGAAGTGTTGCAGGGCTCTACCCGTGCAACGCCAGGTAAACCGCTATTTGTACTGGTGCAGGGTCTTTGTTAGCGGGAACTATAAGTTTGTCATATAAATAGCATTACATCAAACTCTCAACACTGTAATACATGAGACCTGATCTACAACACATGTTAAAACACTCAGTCACACATCAATATGAGATCACATATCTATTAAGAGTAAATGTAACTGACCATTAAACCTATTTGAGCATTAAGAGGTTGATGACGTAGTAAATGTTTTTTAGGTGGTATCATATCTTGTAAAACATCTTTATGTGGTTCCATTATTTCAGTGATAGTTTTACCGGTTGTTTCAGCCAGCAGTCGTAAGGAATTCATTGCCTGAAATAATCAAATAACAATAATTATGCCATAAAATAGCATAATTTATAATACTCATACTGTTAAGGGTAAGAAGGACTTGATGAAAAATTCAAGGATTTAACTCCCCCCAATCCCACTGTGAGAATGCAGTAATTTCAAGGGACAAAGATGGGTAAGTAAGCATTTTCTCTAATCACCACATCTAGACTGACATAAAAGTTCATCAATTTGGAAAATAAAACACCCCAAGTCAATTGATAGTCTGTGAAAGAACTGCAATTCGTCATTTCAGCATTTTTGCCTTCTTTTCATCAACTCCAGTGCCTAAGGTTCTTATCATTTTTTGGAGACATTTGGTAACTAGATAGAGTGATAAACTATATAACATATAGCACATACTTTTGGAAAACAGCTACTAATTATTTGGGGGACATTTCAAAGAGTATTCTGTTAACATTATCAAGCTAATGCTAATGATAATGTTGAGAGAATACACTTCAAAACATTGCTCAAATGAATTAGTATTAATTATTTTGGTGATAATTCAAATGCTAATAATAATGTTGAGATAATTCTCTTCAAAAGGTTGCCAAAATGAAGTAGCTGTTTTTCAAAGGTATGTGTAATAGATTATTACTCTTATCAAGTCAAAAATAAAAGAAATGAATAAATTAATTAATTTAACCCACCTGTTCTCGAACTAATGTATTAGGTGATGAAACTTGATATACTAATTCAAATGTCACATCATGGAATGACTTCTTCTTTACAGCAAGTAAATCTTCTGTAGCATTTTCAGGTTCTATTTCTTTACAACAGAGTTTTAACATATTCTCTAGGTTAGATTTAGCTAGATCCACAGCTCCACTTGATACCTGATGATAAAACTAACTCATTTCAAAATCAGCTATCAATTATAATAAAGTTTCAAATGTTTGGATATTATTGGAAGTGCAACAAATCAAAACTCAATTTTTTGCATCCACAAAATGTTTTGTTACATTTATCTAGTGTATTAATAGGCATATATTATATCGCTATAACTTAGGTCTAATTATTCAAGATTTTTAAATTCTTAATACACTATCATAAATAATTTATATTTTATAATTAAAATATTTGACAATCAGTATTATATTTTATGCATTTCATCACTTTCTTTTATAGTATGAATTGGCTGCATACAGCTTGGAATTCTGTTTTATCCAGTCCTTTCGTTTTCTTTGGCAGAGCATCATACAAACAGAAATTTTTCCTACCTCTCCAGTTAGATCCATCATCACAAAGAGTAAAGCTTTTAAAAACAAAAACTGTTTCTCTAAAACCCATTTTAACGCCATTCTTTCATATAGAAACTTAATGGCTAGACATCCACCGTATTTAGCATACCATGCTCTATCATAACATAGTGAACACATTCTATCTACTAGATATTCAAACAATGGTAACTGACACGCCTGCAATTAAACAAAACATGATTCATTTAAAGGTATTTTAGATGAAATTATCACAATCAGACAAAATAAAAAATGTCAATAAGATTCAGAAGTCATACATAGTTTGGGTTGCAAATTTTTTTTTCTAAATACTATTTTTAAAGGGCAGAAGTTTCGGCCAGATAGGCATGTCGATAGGTCTTCAAATTTGAATATTTCTGTGAGCTCTACTGTGTACAGTATATAGTTCTAAGGTGAGTGAATTTGCCATACTTTACAGCCAAAGCTTAATTTAATCTTTATATATTATCGGAATTCATTTTGGAACTTACTCTTTCTTTAGAACCAAGTATAGTGGTAGCTGTGTCTAATATGAGAGCCAAGGCCAGATTTCCTGGTTTACACAATTCTTTCTCTTCATGTCCCATTATAACAGCTAGAGCATCTATGAGTATTTGGGTATCCATTCCTTGTAACTTGTCTTGTTTATCACTAACAGGGAAAGGACCTGAAATCAAACAGAGTAAATACAACCGTTACATATCAAAAAAATACTAAAGCTTTTAGCTGTCAGAAATACACAGAAAGATATTTTAGCTATCAGAAAAACACTGAAAGATATTTTAGCTATCAGAAAAAACACTAAAGACTTTAGCTATCAGAAAAACACTGAAAGATATTTTAGCTATCAGAAAAACACTGATGGAGACTTTATTTATCAGAAAAACACTTTATCTATCAGAAAAACACTTTTATCTATCAGAAAAACACTTTTATCTATCAGAAAAACATAGAAAGATATTTTAGCTATCAGAAAAAAACAGAAAGATATTTTAGCTATCAGAAATACTTTGATCTATTACTCACCACATTGTTGTGATATGGCTATCATGGTATAATGTCGTACCATACATGCCATAAATGTCAAGGCTGTTTGTCGGATTTCTTTTATAGCTGCTGCCACTGAAACGATAGAATAGGGATGCAGTAGTGTTTTATAAATATAAGAAGGACTGCCACTGAAATGATAGAAATGGAACATAGCAGTAGTTTTATAAATTATATAATAAGGGCTTTTTTCAAAAACATGATACCCACTTAAAGTTTCGTTATTTAAAAGCCAGTTTCATATTAACTCTGCATATCTCACATAAATAAAATAAAAAAACTTTTGTAGTGGGATTTTTGGACCAGGAACTTGTTCTATTTGTGGGTGAAGCTCCCTCGAAAAAAGTCTAAGGCTTTGACAATTCATATACGATCGAAATGAAACTTTACATGCTTGTTCCTTGGACAATTTGGGATTTTTGATATGACTTCACAATTATACTCATTTCCAGGTCTAAAGTAAGTTGGTACATATACTTAGATTTGCTAATAAAATTGCTTGATTTACCTTAAAAATCCAGAAAGGTGTTTGACACATTGTTTTACTGTAACAGAATTTGGCATTATTTACAATGAAAGGGAGTAAGTGAATTCAACATGGAGGATGCAAAAGCTATAATTACCAAACATGCCAGTCAGAGCTTGTTCATGTATTTTCCGTGAATAATGATCAGGATTTTTATACAGCGGAGCTGATTGGAATGGTATATCTTTCTCAACAAAACTGAAAGTAAATATATCAGAAAATTATTCAAATACTTTGAAACAACAAATTACCGCAAAATGATATTAATGCAAACTTCTAAAACGTTGATACAGACGTGTATTAACATGATTTTAAGAGTGTTGATACCTGAAGAGTGTTGATATAAATGCAAACTAAAATAACATGATTTATTAAATAACTACTCAGTATGTATACCATTTAACTATCAATTATGAGGACAGAATTTACTAATACACCTATTTCAGGTAGTAATATTTTCAAATATAATTTACTGTAATTATGGAAGTGTAATAAATGATAATACAATAACTTGTTATATTGATATATTATTTACCTAGGATGTGTAAAGAGATGAGTCATTAGTTGTTTATCATCTTCTAGATTCATCACTGATACTAGAAAACATCGTATTAATTCCCATGCTTGACGTCTACTAAATGTATCAGTTGAACTACTCTTCAGAGATGTCAATGCTGCATCTATAGCCTAGAAAAATCAAACATATGGAATGGTATTAAAAGTTGGTGATTGTCATTTGAGTAATTTTATTTCCCTTGCAAACTACCATATTGTGGAAATGAAATGGGGTTTAATGTCCTATTGTTCTGCTCCGACTGGGCTAATGAAGACGGGCATATGCCATACAGTGTGCTATGAGAGAAATTTTGAACAGACAGCAGCACTATGGTTTTTCATCTCATCCAAACAACTAGACGGCTGCCCTTGCCCTTGTCAGGCCCTCTGTCCTGCACTACTGACAAGGGTAAACCACGCTGAAAAACTTTCTTGGTCAACACCATGTGCGAACATGCAACCTCCAGGGTAGTGAGCCAGGGTAGTGGCTCCCTCCATATTGTGGAAGTTAAATCTCTAATATAAATATCAGTCCAAATATGGTTACATTCCATTCAGTACTTAGGCCACATCAGTTTGTTTTTATGTTCTTCATAAATAAAAAGGCATTTAAATCACATACATTTTGTTTTAAATTTCAAAACTCAAAAATTTGGAATTGAAAGCTTTTGAACAATGCAATGCATCTGAGTTTTTAAATCAGTCTTTTTCCTGAAAAAGTATAAAGAATTTTTTTTACAGGTGTTCCTGCAGAACAGAAAATCAAATTAGTGTGTCCAGAGTCACCTATGGTAATAAAACAATATCCAACCTTTTCTACTGGTAACGACAGAGCTGTTTTAGAATCTTGAAAGTGAATTGTAATACATGGTCCAACTGTTTCTTTATCATTAAATATTAACTGTTCAAATAAAATAACTTCTATTAAAATGTATTTATACATAATTTTTATTACAGCAGACTTTAAAGAACCGCTATGGTTTTTACTTAGAGTTTAACTTAACATTAAATATACATATTGTCTTGATTCTTAGAATCTGTTACTTCCCTTTAAAACATCTCACAATTCAGACTATTCTTGAAGATTGCCATGAAAAAATTGTGTTCAATGTACAAGACCTATTGCACAGTCGATCAAAACTGCCTTCAGCTTTCATCAGTTCAACAGCAGTGGTGATTTCAGATATACTTTTATATAAATCAACATATAGTATACAAGTCAGTTACCTTTTGTGGTTCTCGTAACATTTTTCGATTTCCACCACCAAATTTACCCAGAACTCTAAACGCTACATGTGCTATACTATCTGTAGGATTTCGTAATGTTCTCCACAGAGCCTGTAACAAAATTAAGTTTATACATAATACAATCTGTATATATAATTTGTTTTTTTATTAAAATCAGCATTCTTTTTTCATTACAATACATACCACAAACAGAAATGAGTAAAATTCGAAAAACCCTGAAAATTAAATGCATGTCACAAACAGAAATGAGTAAAATTCGAAAAATCCTGAAAATTAAATGCCAACATATGTTTTCACTTTCTTAATCATTGTAATAGATGTAAGAATTCTTCTTTTTTTAATTAAACTCATAAATAATTGTACGATCAACATGAAACTAAGAATGATTGTTCCTTGGACAACTGTGTATTTTTGATATCATGTCACAATTCCAAGATGGTATTATACTGAGTTTCAACAACAACAACAAAAACAACAACACCAACAACAACAATAATTTATTCGTACAAAATAAGTACAATTACAAAAGTATCAATACAAACATAAATCTGACCTTAATATATACATTATGTTAATTTCAGTTCGTACAGAGTTCATTAATTATATCATTTAAATTGTTACCATTTTCTCTTAAAGATATAAAATCTCTGACGGTGCCTGCCTTAATTTTATCATTCTCTGATTTTGAATTGATGTTGATTTTATTTACCATAGATAAAATTTTACTAAGAAATATATTATATCGTATTTTGATATACCATATCTGTGACAAATATAATTGAAAGTGTTACCCAGAGTTGACTGACTGCCGTGTACAGCTAACTTAGCACAAATGTTTGAACATATGTTTTTACTGTTGACAGCACTTTTGATAAATGCTGGTACTTTTTAAAGTTGTAGCCATAACGACAAAAACTGATTAAACAATGATTATATATATATATTTTAGCCATCGATTAACAGATGATTGGTGTTGTCATTCAGTGAGATTGACTATGGGATAAGTTTGAAATGATGTATATTAAATACCTGCATGAGTTCAGCTCTAACTGGTTGTATATGATCATAGAGAAAGTCTGGCTGTAAATTATCTACACATAATTCTAATGTTCTTAATCCCTGTAAAATAATATAACATTAATAAGTTCTATTGTTTTCACATTGTTCACTATTGCATATGGCTACTAAAGCTATTGACCAATTTTTGACCAATGTTTTTATATTTTCGGATGAATCTTATAGTTTTAGATCATTGATATGAAAAAAGTAGTAAAGGTAACTGAACTAGTTAAACCTAGCTATATCACCTGTCTAATGTAACTAGTGTAAATACAGTTAAAACCTAGCTATATCAACTGGTTAAAACCTAACTATATCACCTGGTAAAAACCTAATAATATCACCTGTCTAATGTAACTAGTGTAAATACAGTTAAAACCTAGCTATATCACCTGGTTAAAACCTAACAATATCACCTGGTAAAAACCTAATAATATCACCTGTCTAATGTTACTAGTGTAAACAGAGTTAAAAATCTAACTAACTAGTGTCTAATGAGGTAAATGCAGTAATAAACCTAGTTATATTACCTGACTAACTAGTGTCTGTGAACCATTTAAAGCTGATACTAGTGGATCCATTAACATAGGTAAATACGGTAATAAAGAACTCAATCTAACAGGTACAGTTAAACATAACTCAACAAATAAATCTTTCATATGTTGACGATGTAAACCACTCTGTAGACTGTTTAATCCTACAATATATACATTTCATATTATACACTTTCACGTCTTAATATTTAACACATGAAATACTTTATGCGACTCTAGAACACATAAGTGATATCCCACAGGGTTGGACAGGCGACCCCACTCCTTGTCACGATCAAGTAGGGAATTGAAACCAAACCATTTGACTCAATGACAGACTTTGTGATTTCACGCGCATGCGTTAACCACTAGACCATCCAACCCCCATGTAAAGTAAATTTTGTTTTGCTTCGATTAAATTTGAATTGTGAAAAGAAATGGGCCCACCAATGTGTACACTTATTCAATTTGAAATATCTACGATTTGCTATCTGTGACAACCTCGCAGGCTTTGGACTTGAAAAATTCAGAAGGCTTTTGTCAAACATTGTTTAAGGAATTACATATAAATATACAAACCTTGTAATAAATTAGGTAGCAAGGGAAGGAACTCCTGGTACAACAAATCATGACTACCACCTCCAATAGAACGGAATAAAGCTCTCAATAAAAGGAAATAGTTATAAGGTTCTTTAGCACTCATAGCTAACTCCATTGATCTGTTGACTATAGTATGCAGATGAGGCTGAAAATTAATCAAATGATCTTTATGTGCACTACCAATTTGCATACAGTAACACTGTGGGGGGTTTTCTCATACAATCCAAACAACTAGTCTGTAATTGTTACTGCTCTACATGTGATTACATACACGATGTTAATGATTACAGATATATATATATCAGTAACAATTACAACATAAGGTCAACAAGCTGAAATAAAATGAAACTTACGATCCTACATCAATCGAGCTAATGAAAACGGTGGTCTACAAGTTAATTCTACTGCATTGCTATAACGTAAATTTATCAAACAAAACATACCTTCAGCATCTGTTCATTTTCAGCAGCAAATAATTGAACCGAACCAAAAACCAGTTTAAATAACTTTAAATACAAGTTTGATCTGTCTATATTAGCTAGAAATATAAAATAAAAACAGAATGTATGGAGGATACCAGATATAATTACTAAATATGTATGACCATTAATTTCATTCCCTTTATAACATTAAATTTACACAGTTTCTCAATTACAACATAAACAGGTAGGGATGGATTCAGCTTTGTATGAGACCCCTGACTGAAAATGTCACTGGGGCCCTTGCATTAACAGTTAAAAGGGGACATATTCTGGCCATTGTCTGTCACTCTCACACAAATGGTAGATTGATAGATTTATTTGGCACAAATATTAAATAACATATTTATTCATGGTATAAAAATATTTTTAGAACAGATTTGGGGGAGTCTTTAATACTGGGGTCCCTGACTGCAGCCCAGTCAGGAAGCTCTTCAATCCGGCCCTGTAAATAGGTCAACTTACATCCCATTTCTTCCAGTCTAGCTAACAGATATTCAACCAATATGGTGGCAAATGTAGCAGATGTTGTATTATTAGCTAGAAATGAATTAGCTACTATCTGTAGAGCGTAATTATTGTGTATTCTCTCCACCATATACTGTAACAAATAATCATCATATATTTAGGTCACATTAATTAATTGGAATATTTTTTCTTTTGCAAACACCTATTAAAATTTTACTTACTTTTTGGGGGAACAAAAAGAATTCAAAATAAAAAAAAATTCTTGGCCGCTCTTTTCAACAGCTTTAAGTTCATATTCTTAACATTGCTAAATTATATTTCATTCATCGCTGCCTATTAACTACAACATTGCTTTCATAGTTTATCTCAAATATTCCACCTTTTGGTGCCAGATGTACTACAATGTCACAGAAGGAAAAATATTGATAGCACTATGTCACTGAAGGAAAAGTTGTTGCTCAAAAGTGAAATATAGTCTTGAAGAATGTAGCAGAAGAGAAAAAGGCTGCTCATATTGATGGCACTGGTGCTCAAAGGTGAAATATTGTCTGAATAGTTACCTCTATAGTTGAAGCGAATATTTCTTTAAATGTAATAGAACTCATCATATTAAACTGAAAATAATTAAAATACCATTACATCAACATTTAATTTACATTCACCTTAAGACTGATTAAATGTACTATACTGAGTGCCTTTTAAAACTTAGGCCATCCAAAATAAATACTAGTTCAAGTTAATTCATTAGAAAAAAAAGTCTGATCAAGACGGCAGTTTTTTATCTGTTTATTTTTATTCTGTCAAAGAAATGAGTTGTTAAATGACTTCTCAAGAAAACCACATTTAAACATATGGTCAACATTTTATGTTAACAATGATTAATGTGGGGAAATATGAACATGCAAAAATAAAACAGGTTGTGCTGCCCTTTTTAAGCAACTAGACTATCAGCACAAAAACAATTCTGTTCAACAGTATCAATCATGTTTAATGTGACTCACCACTCCAGCAAAATGTTCTAAGACTTCTTTTTCTTCCTTCGTTCGAACTGTTTGTACTCTAAAAGAATAAAACATTGAATTATACAAAACAATCGCAATCAATCAAATAACGACTACATATACTGAGAGTCACACATTCTCAATTAAGCCTGAAAAGTTTGAATTAGAATGAAACTAGAAGCTTACTGAGAGGAATTTGGGAAGGCTGCTTGCCAGTCAACAGATTTTAAATTGTTTCAAATGGGGTCATAATTGATAAAGTCAATTGACAATACACTGGAAGATCAACATCTACGTAGTGAAGTGTGCTGAGCATGGTTCATTTTATAAACCAAAGACATGTTCTTCCAGTATGTTGTTCGGTAACATAAAGTAACATATATCCTGTATAATTTTGTTCATTTGTATACATGTACTTATATGTATTTAGGGAGATGGGTTTTACATAGGCTAAGCCTATTCCCCAACCCCATTCAGATATCCTGTATAAAAATGTTGTTTCTAAAATAAATCCATGGCTTAAAGTGGCAACTATTTGAATTATTTACCAAGTAATATTTTAAAATATGAAAGTAAAAACCTACAATGCTGGCCTGATGTAAGCTTGTCCAGCAGACGTGACATTTATAGTATATATATCTAGGGCCTTCAGCGCATATTTCACCAGACGGACATACACTAATGTTTCTTTAGCTTGAAACATCTTATTCTGAACCAAACTCACATCGGCTGTAAAATAAAATTGAACATTTTCAAAAGAAAAAAAACCAAACCTTATTACATTTATCATTTCTAAACATGTCTGTTTGAACTATACAGAAATACAAGACCAGTAGCACTCTTTAATGACTAGGTTAACTTGAAATGAAATGGTGTTCGACATCTTACTTTTCTGCAATACAGCATGCTTTGAGAAACATTGAGACATGACAATTTTTGTGATCTAAATGTTAAAGAATAGAAAGTAACTGACCTGTTCCTATAGCTTTACAAGATAAGACACCCCATGTGATAGTCTTAACACCACAGACTAAAGTTTTAACTAAACTTCTACAATCAGCTACGGTATATACATTATACTGGGCTGGTGAAGCTCCTAACTTTCCAGTGGTCTGTAATATATACATCAGTAAGATCTTATTGTGGTTTATATAATATCAAAACGATATGAGAGTACAAACCACAAATGACGTCATTGCAGCCATCTTTAATCAATGCGTAATTGCCCAAGGATCTAACATGTCAAATTTCATGTTGAACATACTTGAATTGGCAAAGCCATGGACTTTTTCCGAAGAATGTCTTTCCTAAGAACACAAACAACAAGATGACCAGTTCCTGGTCCAAAAACAAAGTATTTGTTTGACATGTCATGATCTTGTATATACAAACTACATTCTATAGCTATAACAACCCTTTATCCACATCTCAATTTAAATACTTTATAATTTGATAAAATATTCAACATTTACTTAGTAAATATGACACATGTAGTAAATATTAATATTAGTAAATATTCAACATTTAGTAAATATTCAATATTCAACATTAAGTAAATATTCAACATTTAGTAAATATTATTACACATGTAGTAAATATTACACATGTAGTAAATGTGTTCTTTTTCTACAACTTTCCACTTGATACAAAAAATTTCAATTACTGAATTAAAATTATGTATATTTTTTTTTCAGGAAAATCTGATGCAAATAAAATCAAACTAAAGACTTAAAGATTTTACTACCTTTTCATCTTTAGTATCTGTAGGAGGTATAACAGGTAATGGTGTTGTAGGTGATAATAGACGTGGTGTTTCATCTTTAGGTGTTTCAGGTGCCACAAGTGGTTTAACATCTATTACAGTCTTAATGTCTAAACTTTTATTATCTGGTGGTGTAGGCTGTTGAGGTTTACTGAAAAAATACAGCCATAATAATAATAATAAATGTCCATAATAAAGCACCCCACTTATCTCACATACAGGTTCATACACCACAGTATTATTCTAATATTTAGTAATCGAGTCCAAACAGGACAGGTACGTCTTCAGACAAGAATCATTTAAATAAAATCTAGTCCCGAAATGATCTAGTTTGTGTTGAGGTGAAAACCCCATTACTCTCCCACTTGTTGCCATTCGATAATTCCAGTTTCCAATTCTATATCACACGATGTTTATTTCAAATGTTGTGAACGCATGAACAGTCTTCCCTATAATATTAACCTTCGTTTCCAGTACATCTAGATTCATGTAAAACTTGGACTAGTGAAAGAATTTGTTTCTATAGTGTGCAATATTTTCTTTTTTTAGTTTGTCTCGGACTTGTGTGACATTACCTTACAATTTATAGAGCAGTATTAGAATTCTTATGTTAATACAATACAAATTATATTCATTAATATAAATCTTACCACTTCTGTAGTATCAATGGAAGTTGTGTTTTAGCAATTGTTTTAAACTTGAGAACAAAAACTTCTAACATTCTCATCAGCAGTTGACGTCCCTGAAATTTCGATATATTAGATACAATGAGTTACAGAGCAGGAAATGTTACATAATTACTGAACCCATGGCTTTATTCCAGAACAAACTACAAGACAGCCAACAGGGTGTCTTTCAGCCATTAGTTGATATAGTACCACAATCAGTTTGCGCATTGACGGAAATGCAATTGTGCATCAAAGAATTGGGTCTCATCAGTTTTGCCAGTCCTGAAAACAGATGTTGTGTATGCAGAACCATGAACAAATAAGTGTGGGATCCCAAACCTCGGAATCATGACGTAATCAAATGTTTCAACTATTGTGATTGGTCGTGATGGTATCATATTCAGTTTGTGCATGCCTTGTTTTCTCGATTCACACGTTTCGAGAGATTGAAAGATGGAATTCCCTCCCGGTAAAACTTCATCGTCAATCTTCAAATCATGTATAAAAACTCATCTTTTCAAAATTCATTCTAAAAATTGACAAAAACTTAAAGCCAATGAAATTTTGTAGATAGTTTTGTATGTTCCATGAACACGTTTTGTGGATTTTGTGCCATATAATTGGACATATTATTATTATTATTTGAGAGTATCCCATCAATTGGACATATTATTATTATTATTTGAGAGTATCCCCTCAGTCTCTTTATCAAATAAAATGGAACATAATTCCTAAACTTACATTTCCCTTTTCTTGTTCACTCTTCTGTCTAATACATTCTACCAGATTTAATAATAATTTACATGACATAGTCTGTATACTACTGGGTAGTGATTCATCATGGACGTTTTTAGAGAAGAGATTAACAGCCAGTGACAGATCATTTAATGGTAGAGCTGTTCTCACATGATGAACTAAATCAGCTAATGTACTGTATGCTAAAGGTCTGGAAATAAATTTACAAATTTCAATATTTGATACGAGAAATTAATGTTCAACCAACAATTTGTAATGCATCCAATTTCAAGCATTAATTGTTTACTAAATCAACCACGTTAATTTTAAGTTTTTACAACTGGCGTCGCTAGTAAAAACTTGGTTCCACGTGACCTTATTGATGGTAAGAGAACTGTTTGTCCACACACCAGGACGTAGTGAATGTTCAGAAAAACAATGCTGTAAGGTAAACAATGAGGTCACGTGGGACCACCACCTCTATGGCGTCACCTATAAATTATGCCCCTTTATCTCTAGCGAGGATGCCCATTGATAAGAATTCAATGTTTCAAATTGATACTGTCACAGAGAAGAGGACAAAAATAAACCACTGTAAAATGAATTTATAGTTGATTCTTTACAAATCAAATATATTTACCTGAGTGAATCATATGTAGTCCATCCTGTACCTATCAATATTGTCTCATCAAATAATTTATCTATACATGGTACAAATTCTGAAATAAATAACATATTTTATGTGTATTTTAAATAGTGATTGTTATCCATAGAACAGTGTAAAAGGAATTCGTGCTTCAGAGGTCTTAATCAGTTGGGAAGAGGTAAATAATTTAATTTAAGTTATTTTTACATTGGATATCTTTAAAATTAGATTGTATTAAAGGCTGCCTTGAAATGAGTTATTCCTCTTGGGTACTGACTTTGCCTCTCCATTCTTAGGTAGGTAGTAATTTATATAGAAAAGACCTTGACTTCATCAAGGAATAGTTCTACTTACTATTTCTGAGATCTGTAGAGAGAATATGTTTAGCTGCTATCAACAGTTCTTTTCTATACTGTGCTACTTCTTGTGGACATAATGACAACAATCCTAGAAGACCCTGTACCATTTGTTGAGAATGATTATTCACTTGACTCTGTAGTAAAAAAAAAAAAAAAACCAATTAAGAAATAAAGTGACACTAAACCCCTATTGTGTTCACAGGACCTCAGTTTTTGTACATGGACTTAAGATTCTATGCACATGACAACAGTTTATGTGCACAGGCCTCAATTTTGTATACAAGACTACAAATCTTGTTCATGGGACTACGGATTTTGTACATGGGACTACAGATTTTGTACATGTGACTACAGATTTTGTACATGTGACTACAGATTTTGTACATGGGACTACAGATTTTGTTCATGGGACTACAGATTTTGTACATGGGACTACAGATTTTGTACTCAGAGCCTCTGTTTTTGTTTGAACAGTTATAAACACTAGAAAGCCCCACAGAATGTTACCAGACTTGAAAATCCTAATATACATTTTCCTTTGCTCAAGGCAGGATTGAATGAGTAGAGATGAGATATAAATACAAGTTACCTGAAAGAATTTGATGATGTAGGCCAGGAAAGATAAGGTTTTAATCTGAGCAGCAATAAAATCAACAAATACTTCTTTATTAAATGCTGGATTGGCTCTGAAAAAACCCCACAATAATGAAAATCATTTTAAGCAAACCAAGTTAAATATTATTAATGTTCTCTACCTATAGAGTATGTCTATAGGACTGATTTTAAGACTTTCTGTGCAAGAGGAGAATTCGGGCTGAGCAACAACAGACCTAGTACTGACAATTGAGACTTTATCGTGGAAATGGTATTTGACAATTGAGAATATAAACAGTTGGTGGAGTTTCCGTCTTGCAACGATCAGCAATTTATGTATATTTCTTGTCATAACTTCAAACATTCATAACTTTGCTCAGAATAAATAATTTGATTAAAATTTCAATATATACATATTTCATTACATATATACATATACATAATCTTTCTTTTCACAATAAAATTGACAAACCTGTGAGTAGGTGATGGTTGTAATGTTATGGTGTTCATGACTAGTGGAATAAATTCAGCCATATCAGGATGTACGTTAGTTTTATATAGTTGATACATTAATACAACAATTACTGGTAGTTCAGCTAAAACTTTTAATGACTGCATTCCTTTAGGTATAATATTATACTGAAATAAAGGAAATACATTGAAATTCAATGTAATATTTTTCTGCGTCTACCAGGCTTAGAAAGACGAGTATACACCAGTGTGCTATGAGGGAAATTTTTCAGAGACAGCGCCAATTTTGTCCGTCGAATTTAAGCTGCCAGGTGTTCTTTTATGTACATGCAAACTGTATGTGGGACCTCGCTTCTTCCTCCCATCGACCCAACTAGACACCATTCCTTGCCTGACACAGTACCTACACCACTGACAAGTTGAAATAGTGCTGAGAAATCCTGCTCCTCCCTCCCCCAAAAAAGCGAACCAGTGCCTTACTCACTGAGCCATGGCTCCCAATACACAAAAAAGAAATGCAACTAACAACCACGCTTGAGTATTTATACCCGTACCAATTGCAGATTTATGGTATTGTAAAATAATGACTTATAGAGTCTTTAAACCAATAATAAATTATTTTCCCATATTATACTAACTGAGATGGCAGCATTATCAGCATTCTTCTTGTCTGTCTGTATTGTGGTTGTCGTGTAAATCTCTTGTAACCAAATATCAACATTTATCTCAGACACATCTTTTACTTTCTTAGATGACCTGGGTTCAAATATTTTTGGCAGATGAGCTGGTAAACTATTGTAAATACCTTTCACAAACTGCATAAAATCTTGAATCTGTCGAAAAAATACAGTAAAATAGATTAGCCGACAGGTGTCATACATGAGCTATGAATGAAGAGAGGGAGAAATGATGTTTATCGTCCACTAAACACGAACACAATCATTAAAATTTTGGGATTAACACATGATTTAATTTTTGTCAATAATACGATTGACTATAGGAGTCTTTACACTGTAACCCAGATACTGAGTTGAGTATTAATGTATACTAATTGGAACGTTATTTTTGAATAGTGGTCAGGAAATTAAACACTTGTATATCGAACAGTCGTTATCATAATATCAAAATTAAATGATCAAAATTAAACGGCCAACTTTAAACTGGACACAAGTACAAACAAGATGACTTGGGGTGATTTTAGATATTTACGAATTTTTAAATAAAGATTTGATATGGAAAGAATGTGAAAGAAATTAGAGCTATATACACAATATTAAACACAAGGTTACAGTGTTAGCGGTGGTAGAAAACCAAAGGACACAGAGAAAACCCACAATGTTGGACAGGTTACCCTACTCCTGGTCACTTACAAGCTTAGTATCAAAATCATGCCACTTGACTCAATGACAGACATATTGATCTAAAACACACGCTATACACTACTGGACCCCCCTCTCCACCCCCAACATACAGTATAAACAAGGCATTGACCTAATAAACACATACACCAAGTTTGAACATTCTAGCTCAATTAGGAAGAGAGTTATTGTGTCCCAAAAAGTGTGACGGACAGACAGACGGACAGACAGACGGACGAACCCATTTTAATAGTCCCCTGCTTTCTTCGAGAGAGAGAGAGAAATGGGATTTAACGTCCACTCGACACAAACTAGGTCATTTCGGAACTAACATATGGTTCAATTTTATTTCAATAATTTGCTTGTGCATAGGGGTCTTTAGCAGGGGAGCAAATTGGAAAAAACCCATAAAGTTGAACAGGCGACCTTAGTCCTTGTTACGTACAATTGGGGAACCACACCAGTTGACTCAATGACAGGCCTTATGATACAGCGCGCACATGCTAACCATTCGGCCATCCAACCCCCCTATAAATAAAGCAGTAGGAGAATATCCTAACAATCTTTGTAAAGGGTTGTTTATTTTAATATTGTAGGTGATAAACCCCTTTAAATCCATTAAAACAAAAATTGAAATAGTGGACAATAAAAGTTGATTGTACTTACCTCATCATTAATATGTGGTCTGTATTGTTTATGTAACTCTAGTATAATTCTGATACATACTAATACATTATCTTCATTCTCTACCTATACAAACAAAATATAAATCAAATAAACAATGTTCAATAGTATATGTATACCTTCTTTGTCTCACACACTACAATCTAATCTGAGTAGTGGACAGATTTTAAAGACTAGCTTATAGGTCTTCATTAAATTAACAACATCAACTTCAGATCTATTTATGTTCTTTAAATGGCATTTAGTAACTGGATAGAATAACAACAAAACACATACTTATGGAAAACAGCTACTAGTGTATTTAAGGCGACGTTTTGTAGAGTATTCTCTCAACGTTATCAAGCTAATACAGTGAAACAGGTATGAGGCAAATATATATAGACAAAATACAACAACATAACCGAAACCATACTTAGCAACAACATGATCAAAGGCCTACACCAACACTTATTAAGATATACAATAGCAGATAGAGAGTTAATTAACCACGCCAGTTGACTCAATGACAAATCTTATGATACAGCGGCCACATGCTAACAGCCAACACCCCCATATTAAGAAGACCTAATCAAAGTAATTTTTACCTTTAATAGTCTGAACATCAGAGATAGAATGGGTTGAACAAATTTCTTGAGATGATCATTACATGGTATTCTGTGGATTATTTCTAGTAATAGTTTTCTCAGTTGCTGAAAATAAGATTACGTAAAGGTTAACAAGAGAATAATACAAGAATTTAATTTCTCATCAATACAAAGAGTCTAACATAAACATGCTTATTTTTTTAGTACTAGCAAATCTAAAACATGGTCACTTTTCTTTATTAAAAAAAAAAAAAAATTTGGCTCTAAAACATGTTCACTTTTATCAAATTGCTATGGTTATAAGAACAGTATAACAGTGAGACGAGTAAAGTCATTTTATGCTCTAGTAGGATTCTGAGATATCTTATAAAATGCACAAACTATATATAAATATTACCAGTTTATTTATTAAATGCCATCGAAACAATTTATATAAAGTTATTTTTTTTAAACACAAAATGATTACAGAGATTATTGTTACCGGTATTGAAGTTATTCACAAATTTTTTAAATAAAATAAGGTAGGAAAATTTTACCTGCATTGGTTGCTCTGCTATAAACAAAGGTTCTCCATCTTTCAGAATTTTCAGGAAAACTTGCATAGCCTCTGCTAGGAATTGGGGATATTGTGGTGATGAAACCACAGTCTGAAAATAAAACAAATTCTTCAAACCTAGATAAGCTTTTAAAAAGTGGAAAGAGAAAAGGTTACAAATTTAATAAATAAGTAGTTGGACAATGGGTATAAAAATACTCCCATGCAGTGAGGACCTTTCTTATATATCACCCTGTGGCTTAATCAAACACTAATATCTTACAAAAAAAAGACTGGTTATTGATGAGGACTGATTTAGAGCAATTATTGATGGCCACAGACAGGCAATTCTTTAATGATATTTTTTTTTCTGAAAACTCTGCTGCTTCCTAAACTTCATTTGTTTATCTAGTACACAGCAATTTCTGTCTATCTTCCCACTAACCCCACCCTATCTGCAAAATACTAATCCAAGATATAATGGACTTATTATGTAACTGTGAAAGGTATGGTTAGTTTTACTAACTAACCTAACACCACATCTCATCTGTATGGGAGGCTCACTATAGCTCTATAGCTGACAATTTCTGATAAACTTTCGAGATTTGTGAAAAATAGTTTATCCAGAATATTCCCCTCATTGGAATAAGGTTTTGCGTTCAAAAAAAAGGATTAATCTGTTTGGTGGTGCTGCAATATGTCACTGGAAATCACACACGAGAATGCTGTTTCATCCTTTTTCAATCAACAAAATCTTGTTCGAAGTAGAATGTCCTCTAATGTAAATTAACTTAGAAATCTTGATCTAATGTGAACTTAGTGTCAATAATAATACCAACCTCAAAGTTTTCACTCAATTCCTGGGCTGCTTTCAATTTTTTCTCCACAACTGAAAAGTAACAAAATACACTCGTAAACAGTTAGTCTTACACTGACAATTGGCCTAATGATTGGCTTATATTTGATGCTTTCGCCAACATATTTTTAGCTTTGAAACTTTTATTACATGTTCTAGAAATTCAAATTCCTTACAACTAATGGTGGTGTACCGACTTACATGTAAAAACAATTAAATTTATAAATTATACTGCTACTTACTTCCTGGGGTGGAATCATCAGCTATTAGAGAGACATATGATTTGAATGTTGTCAGCTGTGCTGCAGCATCATGGGGACTTAATGGAGACCCCATTTTGTTGTCTTTCAGTGTTAACTGTGTGTAAGTTTCTTGATCTAAAATAAAATTATAAAATGATGCCAGTACTTCAATAATAAAGAAGTGTGCTTTGTTGATAATAGTAAAAAGTTTTTGACTCTTATTATTCATTAAAAAAAAGAAAAACATTTATAAGTGGTATACAGACAACTCATCTCAAAGACAACTCATCCCAATATAAGACAACTCATCCCAATATAAGACAATTCATCCCAAGTTAGAAGACAACTCATCAGTAATAAATTCTTTCATTAATCAGTAATATAAGAATTTATTACATATAAATAACATAATATTTGTTTTGGTATTTATTTGTAATCTTCATAACTTGGTACGAGTGGTCAAATATATCTTGACCTGTCCATGTATTACACCAAACAAAACTATTTTGGGATGAGTGTTTTTTTAAAGTTGGGATGAGTTGGTTTTTTTTTTTATCTTGGGACTACCGGTAGTTGTATTTTATTTTGGGATAAGTTGTCTTCTAACTTGGGATGAGTTGTCTTATATTGGGATGAGTTGTCTTTGGGATGAGTTGTCAGGTATCCCTTATAGCATCCCATTAACAAAATGTGGTCATACATGTATGTGCTGTAAGTACGTATAAACTAAAACTGAGAAGTTAAATGTTGTGAATAAAGTTCTATTTGAAAAGGATATGTACAAATGCACATTATTCATATTGGGCCTACAGGCCTATCATTTTTAAAGGGAGACAAGCCAACAATAGCATGACATTGTCATTAATCAACAATTCTGCATGGTTGTTTCTGTTTGACAATTGCTTCACTTTATGACAACCAACTGCTGTTGAAATAATAGATCATTGTCTTTAACACATTAACAGTACCGGTAATCATTTACCACAATCCTAGAGGCTCTTCGATCAAATCAAATACTAACGAATGGATGAAGCCTTCTGCCTGCTGTGAATAGTGAATACATATATTCCTTTGGGATTTAGACCAAATGATCAAACACATTTTATGGCTTGGATGAACTATAACCCCAGTTCTCAGAAGCAATCCCAGTAATTTTGGTATTGGTATCGGATCCCCGATACTGGCCGCAGTTTCAGTTTGCAAAGCCTGTGTCAGTGTGAGTGGCCGTGGTCAGAATGGATTACTTTACGGTAAAGTCGACTTTGTCCAATGCCCACCTCTTCGTTTTACTTACCTTCTCCCTACATTTCAGGACAGTGATAGATCAGATACATAATTCATCAAATACTGCAAAGTCAAATTAGAAATTATCACAAACGTTTAATAAAACCTAAGAAAATTTCACAAAAATCGCAGCAAATCTTTCAATCTGCATTGCTAGCGCCCTCTTTAGTCAATTTTCTTCCATGGGTTATCTTCCCTTTTCTAGTCTAAAATGTGGTAGTGGATCAAGCAGACAGTTCACTTTAAAATGCGTAGATGTCTATTTAAATCGAGAAGGGGAATGGAAGGTACATATCGGAGATACCATTATTAGTAATTTTAAAGCACCACATAATAGATAACATATTTTCATATTTGCGGTGTTTGATATAATTATACCGGTCCGGTACCGTAGGTTAAATAGCATATTGTTTGACATAGTCCATCAAATTTTAATTTGTTTGATTTTTCTGTTTCGTTGATCTAGTTTGTTTTAATACATGGGACGCATTCATATGTAAATATTTTTGAATATAACATGTTTTAAGACATGGGGCGCATTCATATAATTATTTTTGTTAGTCGACACGCCTAAAACTAACTAAAAGGGGGCACGTATAGCTCCATTTTTTGAGAACCTTACATTAGACGAGAATGGAGCTAAAAGTATTAATCAATGTAATACAAGTGTATATCTAGTGATTTACATTCAATTTTCCACATTTTTATCGAAATGTCTAATCAAATATGTTCGGCTAAATACGCGAATAGTCCAAATTGAACGACAGTAGTTTTTGCCTTTTTAAAAATATTCCATTCTTATTAGCTACCGAGAACGTAGCTAAAAACGTTGAGATATACTGATGTGCTTGTTTTTAGCTACGATTCGGTGCCTTTAGTTCCAAGTGGCAAACACAGGTTCTTTCTTAATGCATGTAGCATCTTAAAAATAAGATAATTTTATACTAGTATGACTAATTAAACTTAAAGAGGCCAATGTAGTGGCACAACTATCGCCAAACTCCAAATATTCGCGTTTAAATTAATGAAACGTTGTTTTTTTTCCCCGACATACACCGTCATTCATATCTCGTTTAAAAATGGCGTTCTTAGTAAGGGCTTAATGCCTCGATTTTAAATACGATGATTTATACCCGTTTCAGGTAGGATTATATGCTTAAATGTAGTTGGATGTGGCAGAAATATTATAAATAACAATAATTAACCGTCGTTTTGATGAAAAGTATTGTCAATTTTGCTTTCTGAGACCCGATGTGATTTGCGTTGGCCTTTGCTACGTGGAACTATATAGAACCATCTCTTATCTCGAAACACGGAGGGCTGAGAGATGAGGTTTGTTATCTACATTCTTATATACGCGTTTTTTTTTTAACTTATTGTGTCGTTTGTGAATCAGCCATTTTTCAGTACTTCTGAGTTGTCTTGTGGTATGTATTTCCTGTTTATTACAAATGACACTCGAAACCATAGAGTACACGATGTCGTGTACTGATTTTAAAATGTTCATTGTGTCTCACAGTAGCCTAAAATAACAACGCCAACATTGATTCGGAGTCGTTCAGATGGGATGAAAAGCCGATGTTTCGCCTACACATTCGCGTGTACGTAAAAGATCTCCTGGCAGCCGGAATTCGACATTTATAAGAGTAGCCGTAGCGACGCAGTCGTTAAACCCCATTTCATTTCAATGTCAAATATTTTGACCAAGATTGAGTTAGAGGTTTAGGTTCTTTAATCAAGCAAATTTTAATATTATTTTAGTTTTAGGGGCAGAGTATATTTAATTCCAAAATCTGTCTGTAGGGATCGTGCCTCTCATACACCCCTTACCCTCTATTATCAATTTAATTCGGAAATTCTGCGTAATATACTGTTGTAGGCTATATAAAATTAAATGCGCCATGAGGTTTGATGTCTTATTATACTTTTCTGCACCAGCATAATTTCGCCCTGGCCGTGATCCTCGGTATACACTTGGCTCGATTCCTTAAAAACAGTCATGGATCTTTAACCTGCTGCCAAAAGTATGCACGACACCTTGTTTTTTTCGTCCCAACCGAACGACAGACGTTATTCCTCCTGTTCTAGAATGTTTCCAACATTTTTCATTTTGATTGAAGTCTGTATTACTACGGGACTGTGCAGCACAGTGGATGCCTACAGCAGGTCCCCTGGTCCAAGGTCCCCTGGTCTATTCACTTCTAATTGATATTTTTGTTGTTTATTGCTTGAAATTTCTGTATATTTTTATGTCCTGTTTTGGACTTTAATTTGTCTTCTGTAAAAGTTTATGGGTAGGAGCGTGCTGTCGTCCTTACTATTTAGAAGGACACGACTGGAACGGAACAGATTTCATGTATAACTTTTCACATAAAAGACACAGCGTGCATATTGGTCTAAAAATTAGTAGTGGACGTTCTGTAAAACGGGGAAAACCATGCGTATGATCCGGCATCTTATTTTAGACGTCAAGGTCATCGTTTCTGATCATTAATGGTGGATTCGGCACGTGGGTTGATGCAAGAACTAATACTAAAGTCTAAAATAATAATAAGTGCCATTTCCAAACCAGTCTGATTTCAAAAATGGATTTTTCGTCTTCACCGGGTGGCGGTATGGGGTCAGCAAACAAAGAACAAATGTTAGATCAAGTAAAACAACAAATAGCATTAGCTAATGCCCAAGAACTCCTCCAAAAAATGTCTGAAAAATGTTTCAAAAAGTGTATCACCAAACCTGGAAGTTCCTTAGATAGTTCCGAACAGAAATGCATAGCAATGTGTATGGATAGATATATGGATTCCTGGAATTTAGTTTCTAAAGCTTATGGAAGTAGAATTCAACGTGAAAGAAGTAGATAAATTTCAAATATCAAAATAGGACTTCCAAAATAATGATAACTAAACGTGTGATTGGAAATCAACATTATTATTATTAGCCGACTAACTCTTTACTATTTAGTAAATCAACTACCGGTTCGGCAATTGTTTTAAGTCAAAGTTATTGTAGATTATAATGATATATTATAATATTACTGTTGTGACTGTGATTTTGACAAGTGGAAGAGAAACAATAATTCGAATTTAGTAGCATTTGTGTGTTTTGGGTTCCAGTAACTTCCACTGTCAAGTTGCGTTTCTATTATAACTTATAGGTTGATTTGATATCAAAACTTTAGAGAATAGTAAAATATAATAGTAATATGGAATTTCTGAATAATTTAAATATATGAACTATTGTACATCATTTAGACTTTTGAAAGTGATAATAAATGCATAAAATGAATCAAGTAAATATTGATTTATAGAAGTCATTATGGCTTGATGCCAGAATCTTTTCAATACCAGTATTTACCTTTTCTCATCTTATACTGGGTACATGTATCTATTTATCCAAAAAATGTACTGGTATTGAAAAAATACAACAAAATGTATTGCAATACCCATGGTACATGTACATGTATGGCACTCATTGCAATATTGCAAAATCTATTTCCAAGAGAAAAATTCTTATCTTTAAAAGATAGGCTTCCATCCATGAGAAATATTTGACAGATATTTTATTTATGGAATATTTACCTGTACGGTAACATACGCTGATAAGTTTTGTAAGAGTAGGGCCTATTGTCATTAATGCACTTTGATGTTCAGTTTGCTATTATTACACTGAATCATATTTGTAATTGTCAAATGAGAGTTGAAAATCAGTATTTTAACAGAAATTTTTCTATATCAAGTAGAAGAAGATAAATATGTTTTGTAAACTGAACTGGGGTTTTGTTCATGTAAATAAATAGCTGAATAAAAAGAATTGA